GTAGTGCTTAAACAAGTTACTGATGCAAAAAAATGTTTTTGTATTTTTAGCTCTTAATCTTCGCAGATGCATGATGCAGGCTTTATTAAAAGCGTTTAATATTAATGGATTAACCTCTAGGTGACTTGGATACCTTTATTGTTTTTTTCGATGTCGTTGTGGTACATGCTCGTCTGTGGAATATGATGAATTGATAATTTTATCAAAGTCTTCTTTGCATTTTCCTATTTAAATATAAATATTTTGACGTTTTATCCGCTCCTGCAAGGCTGAGACATAGACCAGTCACAATTCTAGAAAGAGACAGCTTTTTAAATAAAACTATCTTTTCGGATTTTTTCACGGATTTATTTGGATTTTTGGTTCCCGACGTTTCGAATGCTTTACAGCAATTATGGTCACGGGAGAGACTGAGGTGTTAGATGTCTCGGAGGTATAGTTTAGCTATAGGAGTATAGTTGTTACAGACAGCCTACCCACAAATAACAAAATGAAAATAGCACCAATTACCTTACAATATTTTTTAACTTTATATTTTTTCCTCATTTACCATTTCATTTCAGGTTGAACTTTAAACTCGAATTACTTTTAAACGAGTCGACTAAGCAAAGAATTATATCAGATCTTTTATGTAGATCGTTTAATTCCCTACAAGATTATTGAAATATCTCTACAACCAAAAACTTCATTTTCAACTTACGTAATTTTACAAAAATTGTAACAACATTCAAAATTCTCTACAAACTTACTTTAGTCAGTTTAATTAGATTACAATAGGAAATGCAATAGCAAATTTAAGTTATATAGTCTAATTAGAGTAAAATAATCATAACGTGAGATGTATATCATATGCGACTACTGTAACACTCGCTTGTTTTTTTATTACAACTTCAACTCTATTTAACTTAACAAACTTCAATTCTATTTTTTTCTTTTTAATTCATGAGCAACAATTCAATAACTTTTAAGCGTAGATATTAATAATAATAATGGCCTTTATTCAACAATCTTACATATACATATTTTCTTAATAATAAACTTTATTATTAGACACTAGTTTCACGAAGATTATCTTGCTTTATAGCATAGATCTCCCCTAAAGCTTGCCACAGAGTGTGATTATGTGTTTTCCTTGTCCACATAATAATAATAAATAATAATAAATGTTGGGACATTAACACACAACACCATCTAGTTCCATGGTAAGCTACGAGGCTTGTGTTATGGATACCAGATAGTTGATACACTACACATATATAACTTTAAATACATACGTATTATAAATATATATTATATTATAATGCCTGCTGTTTTTTTAATATCGTCCTCCCACCACGTTATCTCCCTTTCTTCCTTTTGTAATGTCTTGGATACCATTCGGTAGAATCCTTCGCCCATTTATCTTTTTTATTCCTCATCATGTGACCTGTCCATTTCCATTTCAGTTTTTTAATAGAATACGTCACATCCGTAACTCCGGTTTGTATACGGATTGTTTTTAGTTTTATATTATTCCGTAGTTTAATATTGAGCATGCCTCTTTCCAATGTTGGCAGGTCTCTAGTTTGCGTATATTGTGTTCTGTTAAACTCCCAAGTTTGGCATCCATAAGTCATAATGGGCAGAATACACGAATTGAATATTTTATTTTAAAAATTTAATTTTATTATTATCAGTAAAGACTTAATTGTTCCATGACTTTTATTTTTGTATTTTATGAATTTGAAAACTATTTATTCTTTCTTGTATACACTACTGCACAATTATTAATTAAAACGTTAAAGTTTTAATAAATTAGGTAACAAGATGGCTTAAAATTAAATAAAACTTATGGACAAATACAATTGGCAATGAATGTATCATTTCTCAAGAGAGAAACTGGCATATGGGCATTGTTTGCAGCCTACTTTCCGTACAAACGTTGTATCAGCGAACGACGCGAGACGTGAAAGTGAATGGCGCAAGCAAGTTCATACGAATGCATGGACGCGCTTTACGCCCGATTTGATTCGTACACGCGAACTTGTAGGTTTACTACTTAAAACAATTATGACGTCACAGTTGTTACTATAGTCTATAATACTGTTCAGCGAAAATCGTTGACCATTATAATTGTAACCGCTATTGCACGTCTGTAGCTCGATACTTTTTATATGACTTTCCATTTTTTCCCAATAGCTACTGATTCCATTTAAAACATCTCTTTTAACTAAGATTAAAATTTTAATTAAATAGTTTCTTCCTTTGTTAAATGGGTCAAATTTATAATTTAAAATATTTTTAGTTTTATAATTCGCCAATAGGCTTTTTTAGTAATTTTCGTGTTAAATTAATACCAAATATCTACTCTACATTTAGATTTGACTTTAGGAGAGAAGAAAAATCAGTTATTAAAATAAGCCAATAAAATATATTTTTATGATGTTCAAAAATATTTTAATGTAAAACATTCATAAACATATTAGTTATTTACTTATAATTTGGTAAGGATTATACAAAGGTCAAGGCTTGTCTTACTCTTGGGGACAACGCAAATATGTTTTGAACATCTAATATGACCTTATGAGAATTACGTAATACTCAATACTTTATAATATTTATGACATCAATTTAGTAAGCCTTGTGCTTATTTCATTATTTATGTCTGCAAGTCTTTAGCAGACAAAATATAGTAAGAGGTTTGAAAATCTATACATATAATAAAATTTTAACTAAGTCGAATCTGTACATTAAATATTTTATGGAAATCTAATTGAAATAGATATTATTATCGATACAGAGTCCGAATCTATAGTTTTTAGAGTTTTTGTCTGTCCGTCTGTCTGTCTGTTACCGCATCACGAAAAAACCACTGGACAGATTTTGATGAAATTTGGTATGATGATAGCTGGTTGTCCGGGTCAACATATAGGATACTTTTTACTGCAGGAAAATTTCTCATTTCTGAGAAAAAATACAAAAACTGCATTGTAAGAGTATACTAATATGTAAAACCTAAGAATTTAGTTTTTAGTCATCTGAACGCGGGCAGAGCCGCGGGCAATGCTAGTCTTATTATAAACTGAAACTCCTTAGACGATTGTAAGATATCTAATAAAATTTCCACCGTTTGACAAAAGGGAGGAAGAATTTACGCTTTTTGTTTTTATTAAATACTTTAGAGTTAATAAAAACTCATTATATCTCGCTCTAGTAACGCAGATATTGAATGACGGCGCTTAGGAGTTAAGGTCCATTGAATTCATATTGCTTCACAAAACAGGCGGCATGTAAATGTTGGCGAGTACCACCATACGATTTTATAACTCAGTGACGATATTGATAGAGTTTTAATCTTTTTGTTTACAGGTGATTTTATATCAGATTTTGTACACAAAACACTTTAGCAAAGTTAATAAGAGCGTTGTACTTACAGCATATTTTGTGCATACAACTATATTTTTGACGACACGTACACGTAGTGGCCCTACTTTCTGTGCCAGCAGTCGCGGGTTCGAGTACCGCTGGGGGCATTCATTTGTGTGATGACGAAGATTTGTACTCCAGTCATGGGTGTTTATATTTATAATATGTATGTATTTAAAGTTATATATGTAATGTATCAACTATCCGGTATCCATAACACAAGCCTCGTAGCTTACCATGGAACTAGATGGTGCTGTGTGTTAATGTCCCAACAACATATTATTTATATTGAATTGAGCATTTGAACATACAACTATACATAGGTGAAGTAAAAAAAACTTAACCCGCCACTTTAATGTCAATGGCAAATTATCTTGCTTATAATCATTAAAATAGACCATACGATTATGTTTATATGTATGATACGGAACGATTTATAATACGACCACCTCCCGTTCACAGTTACCTGACCTCGTACTGTAACCTTCGCCTTTGTCGCTGAGTAAAATTTAACGGAAATGGTTCTAGCTACGTGAAAGGCATTCACAGTAATAATAATTTTATTGTTTTCTTAATAGAGCAATTACTACACCAATTGCTAATTATTTATATACTATAGATATACACCATTTGGGTATAACTTTAAATAAAAAAAAGCTTAAATTTTCTACTTTTTGTTATCCCAGCTATACCCCGACGATATATAACCCTGATGTATAATATTTTATTAAAAGGGATATGATCACTTAATTACTTTGGTTGCCTTTAAATGTGACTTATGAAAATAGAAATCATTTTTGACTTTAAAGGGATCGTTATTGTATTGAAATTTTGTTTCTTTTTTTGTTGGGTGTTTGTGAAAATTTTGTCTATGTGTTTTTTCATGCTTTTTGAGCATATGTCAAGTGAACATTAGGGGAAGGGCTTTGATATATCTTTTATGAACATTGTTCCCACGTAGTGACGTACCAAAGAAAACTTAGATATAGAGGCTTCTTGACCAAGTTACTTTTCTTTAGCTATATTTCGCTCGTCGCGCGAAATATACACCCCGGCGCTGACTGCCTGAAAGAAAACCATTTTATCTCATTTAATCTACATTGATAAAATTAATAAAGAAAATTAATTTCCCACGTTCGTAATCCGAATCGAATTCTATCATCCTGCAAACAGCTAAAAAGATTTTCATGACTTATAGCTGAGAACACTCTCGATCACTTGATTTGGAAGCTGACTTATTTTTGAAACAAAAAAAATAAAATAAAATCGGTTCATTCGTATGGGCGCTAGTCGCTACGATGACACAGACAAATACACAGATTAAACATATATCCTCTTTTGGCGTCGGGGATTAAAAAGCAATATAACGTATTAGGTTTAGAAGATATTATTTACAATCGAAAAAAAAACATGTATATGTAAATAGACATTTTTATTGTTATGTAAAATATATTTCTGAAAAAAAATCATACAGTGCATATAAATGTTTCTTTAATAATAATCTTTAATTGTATTTTTGTTTTTCATCAATTAAAGTAATTTTTATTATTATTTTTATTTTTAAATTAAAAAAATATATTTTTGTTTCAGAGACCATGTACATAGAAACCCTACCGCTCGTGGTGTGGACGCTCTTAGTAACAACAACACATGTAAGTACCTAGCTCTTTAAACATTAAGTGATAGTAAAGTTCCTTCAAATAACGATGATCCATTTTGATTAGCCAAGGTTGAGTGTATTATATTATAAATTATAATTTTAGAATGTGCAAATTTATTATTGATTGAATGTAAGTCTTCTATAGTACGAAAAACCGGCATTAGTCCTTAGAGAACTGATAATAAATGAACTTTAGGGAATTTATAGCTCCATAATATTTTTACAAAACTAAAACTTGTTTTTTTTTAAACTTATACCTGCTGCATTATTGTTATGATCAAAATTTAAAATAAAAGCAAGAATTTGATACATATTAATCTCATTTGGTATTATTTTCAATGTTTGCACTATTCTTTATTAATACGACGAATATAGTTTTTCCATGTTTTATATAAAGTTTATGACTGTCCTCATAATTTTATAACATTACATACCTGTTTTATCTATTCGCACGTGAGTGTTTAGGGACCATTGACCGTTGTCATTGGCTGAGCGTGCCGAAGCGTGAATGTATAATTTAAGTGTAATTTAAAATTTTAGCAGCAATTTCTTCCCATTTACTTGTATCTATACATATAGTAAAACAGCAACTTACCGAAATCTGTAAATGAAATATAAAAAAAATTATAATGACTGTATCATATTGTGTACACTACAGAATATAGACCCCAAAAAATACTTAATAAATTTTTGTCTGTTTGTCTGTATGTCTGTTTGTTTGTATGTCTATTTGTGTTGTTGTTTCACGTAAAAAGTACTGGACAGATTTTAACTAAATTTTGTGTAGTGATAACTTATTACTCAGGTCAACATTTAGGATACCTTTTACTGTAGGAAAATCTTTAATTCCCACAGAAAAACAATAATTGGGCCTATCGTCTCGTCCTTAGAAATCCATATGGGTAACGTTGGCTAAATCTTAAGAGATACATCAAAACAGTAAGTCTTAATAAGGCCTACAGAAAAAAAATCTAATAGCATAAGTCTTTCTCCTAAGGTACAATCGCAATCACTATTCATTCTTAACACCTCCAGGTAAATTTCTAAGAAATTAATTCAATTTCTAAGAAATCTATTGTTAACTGTAACACCCGGCGAGCGGGGGTAAGTCGCTAGAAAAACACTAAATTACATAACGTAATATATCTAAACTGAATATTCTTTACAGGTAGCGACGCAAAACCAATATGGAATAGGCTTAGGAATAAAACGAGAAGTATTTTTCTTAAATTTAGAAGACGGTTACTTCGGTTGCCAAGTCAACGAGTCAACACAAATATTACAATTGTATGAATTATCTAAATTATGTGATGGAGTACCAGACTGTTATAAAGCTTCGGACGAACTAAGAACAGAATTAAAATGCACAGGTGGCTTACTTGCATATGTTATTTACCATTTATTTAAAGACAATTATGGTCAAAACGAAATTTTGTATTGTTTATAAATGCCTACTTGACATTGACTTTTTTTGTATTGAAATTTTGTATTGTTTATAAATGCCTACTTGACATTGAGATTTACATATAATATGTATCTAAAAGAGCCTTATTATTTTAAGAAGATTATAGTCTTAATTCCACAATATAGTAACCAAATTTCAAAATTACCGCTCAATTTCATTCGTGTGTTCCTCACAAAACGTGACACTGGCAGAATGGATTGCGCCTGTTGAAGCAACTATAAGCCATTATAAAAAAAAGATCCCTTTCTATTAGATTATTGTAAAAAGTGAGATTGCACATGGCCTATGACTGTTAATGTTTACTGCACTTATTTATAGAAGCGCTTAAACAATATTTTGTTATTGACTAGATCATTATTATTACTTAATATTAAAAAAAATAAAATACTTTTTTATGATATTTTTTAGATGATTGTACCAAAGATGACGGAGCGCGTTGTGTAAACGGTGCCTGTCTTAACGGTGTATGCTATTGTAATGATGGGTTTGGTGGTTGTAATTGCCAGGAACTTGGTAAGTGATTTAATTAGCGTTTAAAATGTTATCATACTATTCCTACTATAGAGTACAAAGTAAGTTAATTAGCGTCTTTCTTACAGACATAAATGAATGTAAAGACCGCCCGTGTGACGTTTTCGCTCACTGTACCAACACCGTAGGCAGTTTTCAATGTTCCTGTTTTCCGGGTTATGTCGGCGACGGTTTCACTTGCAAAGGTATTGAGATATGTTTAAGATTATATCATTTTTTTTGCGCGGCACATTTTATAAATGAATATAACTAATTTAGATGTTAGAAAACATACGTATGTATATATAGTGTTAACTAAGTACCTAGTTGGCAATATCTTAACCATTTATTTGATATTTTAATCTCTTTAACAAAACTATTAATTTATGCTATACAAAAAGCTGGCCTTGTGGTAACGTAGTCGCTTGGGAAACCGAGTGAAGTAGGTTCAAAGAGGTGCAAGGTCTCCGATATTTTTATCTCCGAATCATTTCCAGCATGATTACCATTTGTCTTTCGGTGAAGGAAAACATCTTAAGGAAACCTGCATATCTGAGAGAACCTAGTAAGTTTTCGAAATACATGTGAAGTCCAACAACCCGCATTAAGGTGAAGCCCGTGGTCAGCAGTAGGACGTTAAAAAGGGGAATACATACATACAATATATATGAAATCTATTTGTAATGATTATTTCATACCTTATTAGACATACATACAAATATTCTTTAATTGAACTATTTTTTATTAATAATGTTATTCTAGATATAAACGAATGTGAAGATCCAGCGATCGCTTCGCGATGTGTGAAGAACGCGGAGTGCTGCAATTTGCCGGCGCATTTTATATGCAAATGTAACCGAGGATTCGAGGGTGACGGAGAGGAGGAATGTCGAGGTATAGTTTGTAGCAACATGTTAATAATTATTGATTTGCGAGTAGTGTTTGTTCATGTTCATTCATTTAAAGTTAATTTCTAGAGTTCCATACCTTAAAAGGAGAAAAGGAACCCTTATAGGTTCACTTCGTTGTCCGTCTGTCTGTCTGTCTGTCAAGACCCCTTTTCTCAGGGACGCGTGGAGGTACCTACCAAGTAAGACATTAATTTCAAATACTGAGATCTGCATTCCCTTGGAGCTTTTAAGCCAACCCAATCAAAAGATACGACGTTAACGACAAAAAAGACGTTTATGCCGAATATTTTGACCTACAATGATAAAATTTGGCAAAAAGCAATGTCTTATAACACAAGTACAGGGAAAGATCTAATAACCGTTTTGCTTTGCTTTTTGCGATTATAAACTTACTTTAATGTTTCATGCTACGAAACAGTTTCGAGTTTGCGAGTCAGAGATTTGGAAATTCTCGCCTAAGATGAAATTAAAATGTACATAAAATTACAAATACACTTAAAATTTAGAACAACAATGATATTATAGTGTATATTTAAAACGTCTTTTTATACAATAGGTATATATTTTTAATCTTTTATAGATATCGATGAATGTAAACGTCCCGGAGCTTGTGGAGATAATGCAATATGTCAAAATCATCCAGGAAACTACACTTGTGCTTGTAAGGCTGGATATACGGGAAACCCTTTCGATGGTGTAAGTCCATTTAAATTTAAATTTAAGAAATAGCATTTATAGGAACAACGAGAACATTTTACTTTGAAACAATATACTAAGGAGGAAATAATAACTTTTTTATATTACAGCTCCATTGTCATTGCAAATCAGTGTTTATAATTGTTCTTGTAGATAACTTACAGGTATTTAAATATGAATGTAACGTTTTATAGTGCGTGGATGTGGACGAGTGCCTGAATATTGAAGCTTGTGGTGTCGGCGCTATTTGCCGTAATATCGAAGGTGGATATGAGTGTAGTTGTCCGCCGGGACACGAGGGAGACCCGCGTGTTGCGTGCCGCGACCTGGAGCCCTGTCTGCGCGCCGCTTGCGGCCGTGGCGCGCTCTGCGAGAACCACCCTGATGCCCACCGCTGTGTATGCCCGCCAGGTTTTGAAGGCGATCCTAACGTACAGTGTAATGGTAAGCTCTCCGCTTCACGCGCCAGTAGGTCTGACTTTAACTTCTCGTTTTCATGGACTAATGCTTTTGTGAACTCCTAATCTACTGCTCGAAACAACCGAGCACTACCGCAGTGGATGCGCGGTAACTTCACGCTTCTACTAATCTAACACTTATGACATCTATAAATTTTCAGCTTAGAGCTAAGGGTACTCCTCGAAGCATCGAGGATTTCATTTTATTTTAAAGAGGAATTTTGAATTAGGTTCGTTTTAGGATGTGTGTTTTTTCTGGCATTTTCGCATATGATGTGGATTTCATCATTTCTATCATCATACTCCCTGTGTGCCTGTTTCTTCTTCTTCGTAGTTGCCGTCGATGCACCTACTGCGTGCGTATATGTTTTGTAATGTTTACGCAGATGGTATATGTAATAAGACCTGAGTTATTTTTTATACCAGACATGGATGAATGTAAGAGTAGCGTGCCTGTGTGTGGCGCGAACGCTGTATGCACCAATACTATTGGAAGTTTCGCGTGCACCTGCAAACCGGAATATACAGGAAATGCTCAAACTATGGATGGTTGCCGAGATATCAATGAGTGTGAGGCTCTAGAGCGTCCTTGTGGCTCTCACGCTATATGTGAAAATACTGAGCCTGGCTATAATTGCATCTGTCCCCAGGGTTATAGAGCTAAGCCGAATCCTCAAATTGCGTGTGAGCAGGTACGATGATAAGGTTATATTTTATTGTTAGTATGAATGATATATATATATATATATATATATATATATATATATATATATATATATATAGGTATAATAACATTATTTACTTCCAGGTTGATGTAAATACATTATGCAAATCTAATTTTGATTGTACTAACAATGCCGAATGTATAGATAATCAATGTTTTTGTAAAGAAGGTTTCGATGCCAAAGGATCGATTTGCATCGACGTAGACGAATGTAATAACAGTTCTAAATGTGGAGAAAATTCTGTATGCATAAATACGCTTGGAAGTTATAAATGTGAATGCAGCGTCGGCTATATTGGATCTCCGCCACATGTAACATGTCGAGCACCTTGCGAAGATGTGCAATGTGGAGAACATTCTTATTGCAAGCCCGACGGCTCTGAAGCTTACTGTGTGTGTGACGATGGCTTCACATTTGATCCTAATGATATAGCAGCTGGCTGTATCGATATTGATGAATGCGACGCTGCGGTCGGATTGGCTGGAAGATGTGGGCAAAATGCACGTTGCTCAAATACTTTAGGAAGTTTCAGTTGTAATTGTCCAGAGGGATTTTCTGGCGATGCTTTCAGGGAATGTTTCGATATTAATGAATGCTTAATAGACAGTTCATGTGGAGTTGGTGCAAGCTGTGTAAATAATCAGGGCTCTTTTACCTGTGAATGCCCGGAAGGTACTGTAGCTGATCCTGAACCCAATATACGTTGCTCTGAGATACTTACTTGTTCTTCAGATAAAAATTGCCCTGGCAATGCTATTTGTGATACAGTGGGAAAATGCTTATGCCCCGAACCGAATATAGGCAATGATTGTCGACGTAAGTGCAAAATATATTATTGTCTGTGTCATTTTTCATTTTTGTAATATGTATGATGTGTATAAATACAATGTATATTTGCTTATAGATCCATGCGAGGCGGTTCAGTGCGGAAGCAACTCAGAGTGCCTTTTAAGTAATCATGAAGCCCAATGTACATGTCGAAGTGGGTTTACAGGAGATCCATTATCACCTACTGGATGTCAGGATATTAACGAATGTGAAATAAACCCTTGTGCAATAGGAGCTGTTTGTCAAAATTTTCCAGGTCATTTTCATTGTGAATGCCCGGGCAATTTTAGTGGGGACCCATATATAAATGGCTGTATTATAGGCAAAATACCTAATAAATGTAGCAATGTTAACCCATGTCCACATGGCGAACAATGTATTACACATGAGGGTGAAAATGTTTGCGTATGTACTCAAGGATTTTCTAGAAACAGAGAAAATGGAATATGCGAAGATATTAATGAATGTACCCAAAACGATAGGACTCCTTGTGGATTGAATGCCATATGTAAAAATCTGCCAGGTAGTTATGAATGTAAATGCCCTCCTGAATACAGTGGCAATCCCTACAATCTATGTGAAATTTGTAATAATATAAACTGTCAATGTCAACCACCGTACAGTGTAGTGGATGGTAACTGTGTATTATCTGGTTGTACTCCTGAGAAGAAATGCGGCAAGGGTGCTGAATGTATTATTATAGCAGATGAAGTAAGTTATTGTGCGTGTCCTGCTGGTTACACCCAAAGCGCTGATGGATCATGTGAGGATGTTAATGAATGTACATTTGGCCAACCAGTGTGCGGTTTTGGAGCAGAATGCATAAATACAATTGGATCTTATCTTTGCAAATGTCCTCCTGGTTATGGAAAAGATCCAATATCAGGACATTGCAGCTTAAATCAAAAACGTTGTATAAGTGATTCTGATTGTTTTGCCAACGAAAAATGCGTCCAGCCGGGAAATTGCGTGTGTCCACCGCCATATTATTTAGATGTAAGTGATGGCCAAAAATGTAAAAGTCCCTGTGAAAGATTCATTTGTGGTATAAATGCGAAATGCACCCCTAGTGATCCTCCAAAATGTATGTGCATGCCTGGCTACCAAGGTGATCCATATACTGGCTGTACAAATAGAAATGAATGTGATAGTGCCCCATGTGCATATGGTGCGATTTGTAATGACGAAAAAGGTGGATATAAATGTAGTTGTCCACAAAATATGGCTGGAGACCCTTATAAAACCGGATGTAAGTATTTTTAATTATTTATCTAGTTGATAGTATTTTATTTTTCAACCGACTTCAAAAAGGAGGAGGTTCTCAATTCGACTGTATTATTTTTTTTTATGTTTGTTACCTCAGAACTCCGTCATTTATGAACCGATTTGGACAATTTTTGTGTTGTTTGAAAGGGTATACTTCCAGATTGGTCCCATTTAAATTTCAAAAAAAAAACCACCCCTAAGGGTGGAAAAATAGCTAATAATGAATTTAACCTACTTGTAATTGTCATATTGACTTGAAACTTTGCAAGTGTTTCTATTTCCGTTGATAGTACAGTGGTTCGGTATTGTTGACCTGATCTGATGGTAAGGCCAGAAGGTGGATACTAATAGTAGATAATTTGAGTTTGGGCTTATTTTGTTTGATTTGACAAGCCTAACACGTTAGAATTCTTACTTTGCTACTACTGTTTACACAAAAAAGGGAAAAATAAAAACTTTTTAACAAAAAAATAAAAACCGACTTCAAACAAAAGCACTAAAAAGTAAAAAATAACTGATTGGTAGTTTTCATTTACTATACATACCTAATCAAATATTTTCGAAGTCGGTGTGCTTTGCTTTGTATGGGCTGGCACCGATTTCGAAAATATTTGGTTAGGTATGTATTTAATAGGTAGGCTTTAATTACTTAGCCAAAGCACACCGACTTCGAAAATATTTGATTAGGTATGTATAGTAAATGAAAACTACCAATCAGTTATTTTTTACTTTTTAGTGCTTTTGTTTGAAGTCGGTTTTTATTTTTTTGTTAAAAAGTTTTTATTTAATAATTATATTATCCAAAATAAGTGCTAAGAAATTCATTTCTTAAATTAAAATATAGTATAGTTATTTTAACAGTAAATTACTAGAAAAACTGGAATTTAAAATTCATACTCACTCGATTCGGCAGCCACAACTTTTCAATATACCCTCGGCAACTAATAACGTTTCCCAAAACAACCCTTTACACAGAATGTGTAAAACATACTATAGTTTAAATAATGAATACGACATTATTAATAGTTTTTTATCGTTCAAGAAAAAATTAAATAAGTTATAGTTCTTACTTTACATTTTCGATAATAAGGATATGCTTTCCCTCTGTTTCTTCTCCTTTATCTTTTTTTTTCTTTGTCTTTTTTTCACATAAAATGTAAATATTATTTTCTTTTTTAATATTTTTTAACATTTTTTATGTAACTTTTAATGCACAGACGCATACTGTAATATTCACGTTCTGGTTAAGTTTGTTTATATAATTATTATAAATGTTTTTATTTGAATGTTGTGTACTGATGTAATTAGACAACAAATTTAAAATGATATTTTTAGTTTTTAATACGTAGATGTAATTTTTTTAATTTGTTTTCTATTTCTGTACCTAAATAAATAGAATAAAATATAATATTTTTTAGGTACTGCAGAACATGGCACTTTACCAAGACAATTATGTAGCAAAAGTAGTCAATGCCCTAATAATCTTGCTTGCGTGAACCGCACTTGTGTGTCTCCTTGTACGAATGTAGCTTGCGGTCCTAACGCTTTTTGTGAAGTAGAGAACCATGCAGCGTGGTGTCGCTGTAATCCAGGATATACTAAACCTGAAGGGGGAAAATGCATCTCTGGTAAATTTTATATACTGTTAATGTGAAAACTAGAAATTGTATATTTATAAAGTCATATTAATAAGTTAAATTTTATTTTTAAATATGATCGGACATTAACTAACGTAATCTGACATTAACTTTCAGGATGCGACAACTATTCTTGTGCTCCTGCTGCGCAATGTATTATATCAAAGAATGGTGCCACTTGCGTTTGCCCAGAAGGAATGGTAGGAAATCCTTTTCCCGGCGGAGCGTGTATAAGAGATATATGCGGTCCGGGAGTACCTTGTGAAGGTCATCTTACTTGTATATCAGGAAGGTGTCGACAACGATGTGAATCAGTCGTTTGTGGAATTGGTGCATCCTGTGACGAGAGCAGTGGTCGCTGTGTTTGTAATGAATTCTTTGTTGGAAATCCTGATCTACTGTGTATGCCACGTAAGTTTCATCATAGAGTAAATTATTATTTTCATTATATAACGCGCATATATTCTCATATCTCGTTTAAAGACCCATGTGTACCAATGGTTTGCGCAGACTTTGTTACTTTTTTTTTAAGATCCTAGACTTATTTTATTAATTTTAATATTTTATTACTATTTTTAGCTGTCGCACCTCCAGAGTGTGATCCAGGTTGTGGCGAAAATGCGCATTGCGTATACGGCACAATAAATAGTTGCAAATGTGATAAAGGCTACACAGGAAATCCGTATCATAAATGTCTTTCGCGCAAACAAACAACTTGTGCAAATACATCTTGTGGAAAAAATGCAGTTTGTCAACAAACAAAATCTCATGTAGAATGCTTATGCCCTCCAGGCTACATAGGAAACCCTAATTTGCAATGCATTGACATAGATGAGTGTAGTTCTAGACCTTGTGCTGAAAATGCCATTTGTATTAACACCCCGGGAAGCTATAGTTGTATTTGCAAAAGTAAATATGTAGGCAATCCATATGAATTATGCACACAAGTTTCAGTTTCGAAATGTGCCGATGGATCTAATTGTGCGTGCTCTAAAAACTCTACCTGTCCCAATGGATACTCATGTGAAAATTTTAAATGTGTAGATACTTGTCACGCTAAAGTATGTGGTCCTCAGTCGATTTGTGAAGAAGGAAAATGTGTTTGCCTTCCGGGATATATTGGAAACCCAAGCGATCTTATTCAAGGTTGTAAACCGGACAATAAATGTATCACTGATGGAGACTGTAAAGATTCAGAAATTTGTTTCCAATTGAGCAAAACTGGTCGTAAATGTGTTGATTCATGTAGTAAAATACAATGTGGGCCAAATTCTTTGTGCGTTAGTGCTAATCACCAAGCTCACTGTATTTGTGCAGACGGTTATGTAGGAATACCCAGTGATACTAAATCGGGATGTCATTTACTGCAGAGAGAACCGAATGAAGTCGAATGTAATGTTAACACGGATTGTGCTACCCCACAAGTTTGTGTATCGGTAGATGGCACAACTCACAGATGTCTTGATCTATGTTCTACAATAGCTTGCAGTGCAAATGAAATTTGTAAAGTTATAAGTGATGTTGCTCGCTGTGAATGTAAAGATGGGTTTCTTTGGAATCCAGTGAATTCCATATGTGAGCAACCAACAACACCTACTTGTAATAATGATAATGATTGTGATGGAACTAAATCCTGTCAGAAAGATGTACTTGGAGTAAACAAATGTATTGATAAGTGTTTAGTATTTACATGTCCTCAAAATTCCAAATGTATAACAAAAAATCATAAAAGTCAATGTCAATGCTCAGCAGGTTTTACAGGCAATCCTAATGATCGTGATGGTTGTCTACCAGTGGACAAAAATGAATGTTCAAATGACGTTCAATGTAAAGAAAATGAAGAATGTAAAAGCATAGGAAACGTAAACAAATGTGTACCTGCATGTAATCAGGTGAAATGTGGTCCTAATGCCATATGTGTCACAAATAATCATGTTGCGAAATGTCAATGTCCTTTGGGTCCATTTACTGGCGATCCAGACGACCTTGAAAAGGGATGCCAATCCGTACCATGTGTCTACAATATTGATTGCCTTCCCCATCAACTATGCAACCGCATGACTCATACTTGCATTAATGTGTGTTCTGAAGATAGTTGCGTTGAAAATGCAGTATGTATAGCAGATAATCACAAATTTAAGTGTCAGTGTCTAAGTGGATATGTGCCCGATCCCTTACCTGATATTAATTGCAAAAAAATAGATTTATGCAGTTCTAATTCTTGTCACTCAACTGCCGTGTGTGAACCACTATCTTCTTCATATGTATGTAAATGTCCTGTTGGCCATATTGGCGATCCAGTTAAAGAAGGATGTAGAAAACAAGGTGAATGTCCGAGAGGAGATATTGATTGTTTAACTGAAGCAGCTTGTATTGATGGTCGATGTGTTAATCCATGTGAAGGTGCTTGTGGTATAAACTCTATATGTAAAATTATTGACAGAAAAGCATTGTGCACGTGTCCCAAGGGTTATGAAAGCTTACGTGATGGTATATCTTGTAAGAAAAAAGTAATGACATGTGCGAATGAATTGGATTGTGATGGTGACATTTGCCATAATGGCCAGTGCTTTACAGCTTGCAGAAATTCTAGTCATTGCGATCCAGGAGATATTTGTGCTAAAAACTATTGTATTAGACCATGTAATAAAAACTCCCAGTGTGCCCTAGGACAGGCTTGCGTAGAAGGTCAATGTTTAATCGGTTGTAGAAGCAATGAAAATTGTCTAAGTGAAGAATCTTGCATAAATAACAAATGTGTAAATCCATGTAAGGTTACACGAGCTTGTGGACCAAATGCCATATGTTCTAGAACGAACCATATTACAAATTGTGATTGTCCTGTAGGATTTGAAGGGTCACCTACACCTCAGCAAGGATGTGTACGCAAACCAGCTAGATGTCTTCGAACATCTGAATGTCCACCGGATCATATGTGTATCGGATTCCTTTGCCAGGTCCCTTGTCAAGATAATTCAAACTGTGCTATAGGCGAAAAATGTCATGATAATAAATGTCACAAAGTTTGTCATACAAGTAGTAACTGTTTACATGGAGAACATTGCAACACTGGAATTTGCATTCCCGGATGTAAAAGTAACTCAGACTGTCTAGACAATCAGTACTGTATTTCAAATGAGTGTAAGTGCGCTGCAGGTTTTCATATAGAGAATGGTGAATGCATAAACATTGATGAATGTTTGAACAATCCATGTCATCCATCAGCACAGTGTGTAGATTCTAGGGGCACATACAAATGCGTCTGCCCCACTGGTGCTATAGGTGATCCCTATACGACTGGTTGTTTATTACCCAATCAGTGTAGACAAGATAACCAGTGCGAGGATTCTCTTGCCTGCATTAGAGGAAAATGTTCTAATCCTTGTCAAATGGACGTCTGTGGCTTGAATGCTATTTGCAAAGTTAGTAAACATAGGACAACGTGCACTTGTGAGAAAGGATTTCTCGGTAATCCATTGGACAAGAAAATTGGTTGCTTTAAAGTTGAATGTATAGATGATTTAGACTGTTCATCCGAAAAATTCTGTAATCATCGGACCAATAAGTGTTCTGGTAGGTATTTCTATAGTTATATTGTATAATGTATATGTAAGTATAGAGGTATATTTTTAAATATATTGTATATTGTAAATTATTTTATTTTTACAGAAAAATGTGAGGATAACGCATGTCAAGGCGGTAGTTGTAAAATAGAAAACCATAAACCTAGTTGCACATGTTCCTCTGGATATGATTTAATAAATAATAAATGTGAAGATATAAACGAATGCTTCGCTAATCCGTGTACTTTAAATGCAGTTTGTGAAAATACACTGGGATCTTTCATTTGCACTTGTACGAATGGAACTGTATTGGATATGAATACAGCTACTTGTAAAATGCCTGGTGAATGTACATCTGATGAAGATTGTTCTAGTGAAACGAAATGCTCTAACAATCATTGTATAAATCCTTGTGATAAATTTACATGCGGTTTGAATGCCGTTTGCTTTGTCGCTAATCATGAACCTATTTGTGAATGTGAACAAGACAGTCAAGGTGATCCATATAAAATATGTGCTAAATTTGAATGCGTTAAAGATTCTGATTGTCCTGATGAAGAAGCTTGCACTAATAATATATGTCAAAATTCATGTAATCTCCCACGAGCTTGCGGGAAAAATGCAGATTGTTTATCTAGAAATCATATTGGATTTTGCTCTTGTTCGTCAGGGTATACAGGCGATCCCGTTTTGGGCTGTGTACCAATTCAATATTGTTCCGATAATAGTCGATGTTCCTCGGGTACCAGATGTATTGATAATTTATGCGTCGGTAAGCTATAATAAAATTTCTAGCCGAATTCATTTTATAAATTCAAAATCAATCTTAAATTTATTCTACTAAATCTTCTTTCAGGAATATGCCAAAATTCGCGAGATTGCTTCGATGACCAAACATGTATTCAAGGAACTTGTAGACTTACATGTAATTCAAATGATTCCTGCCCTGATTCATATTTTTGCGTTAACAGAATCTGCACTAAAAATGTTAAATGCAGCTCGAACAATGATTGTCTTGAAGATGAAATATGTAAAGACGATGTAAATAGCGTTCCTACATGTGCAAAAATATGTGAAAATCAACCGTGTGGTAGAAATGCATATTGTAAAGCTATCTTACATGAACCAATTTGTACATGTAAAGAACATTTTATCGGCGATCCTATAAAAGGATGTGACAAAAAAGAATGCGATAGTAACAAGGATTGTTCTGATGATAAATATTGTGAAAGTAATATGTGCAAAATTGCTTGCTTGGCTTCTAATGATTGCGGTGATAATACAATATGCGCTTCGGAGAATCACGAGCACATATGTTATTGTCAGCCTGGTTTTACAGGAGATCCCCATAAAGGTTGTACTGAAATTGATTGGTGTAGCCTAAAGGCATGTGGTAATGGAGCTGAATGTGTTAATTCTAGAACAAGCGCAAAATGTACTTGTCCTGTTGGCACTATTGGAAATCCATATGAGAAAGCGGGCTGTCGTAAGGCCTCGGAATGTAGATTTAATAGAGACTGTCCTTCGGAGGCCCGTTGTACTGTCGTTGAAGGAGTCAGGAAATGTACCGGTAAGCTTATACGGTTTATTTTTTATGTACTCCAAATATTTATTCACAAATTTAATTTTACTTACAGTATTTACAATATAACAGATTCTTCAAAATTGTCTTTTTTTATTTATTTTTGTCTCTTTAAAGATGCATGTGAAAATATCAAATGTGGCGCGAATGCAGAATGTACAGCTGTGAGACATTCTGGTCAATGTAAGTGCAAACCAGGATATATTGGAAACGGTCCTAATGAAAAAGATTGTCGTCTTCAAGAAATAACCTGTAAAAATAAAACTAATTGTCCTAATGACCAGTATTGCCACAATGGAACTTGTCAAGGTAAAATATAATTTTTTTAATATATTAATAATGTATTGCTTTAATTTTTAATATAATAGAACAACATTTAAATTTATTAATGTTAATTTTTTAGGTTTATGTGTATTAGACGAAGAATGCGAATTAACAGAAAAATGTTACAACGGCCAATGTTTAAATCCATGTGAATTAGAAAAAACTTGTGGAATGAATGCCATATGTCGTATCGAAAATCATGTAATACAATGTAGTTGTCCTTACAGTTTTACTGGTAATCAAGACGTCGAATGCGTTAGAGGTAAGTATTTTAAAGAAAATCGCTTCATAATTATAATTAATTATTCAGGTACGACTATAGGCGTGTAAACATATATTTTATATCATTGCTCTATTGCTAGTTCCTCGACTTTGCGGTGATTCTGGCGAATGTGATGATAGTTATGTCTGCAAGGATTTTGCTTGCGTACCTCGTTGCACCAAGGATGAGGAGTGTGCTTTTAACGAAAGATGTTCTAAAGGAACCTGTTTATGTAAGTATTCTTTACTTTTTTCTTTTTTTTTCTTTTTAAGCTAACATAGGTTAAATATTTTGTATTACTAACTCTTAGAATAGATAAATTGTATATGTGTTTTCATTTCATCTTTTTTTGTGTAATTATGGGTTTTTTGCCTGAAATAAAGATTTATTATCATTATTAAAACTCGTTGCTTCTGAAGTTCAATTTTTTTTACAATTAAATATTTATTATATTCTATACAGTGACATGTCGAGTGGACAATGATTGTTTCCTTGGGCACATATGTTTGTCGAATAGCTGCAGATACGGATGTCGGCAAGATGATGATTGTCGACAAGAAGAAGTGTGCAAAAGCAATTATTGTAAGAATCCTTGTGCTAGTGATGTTAATCCATGCGGACCAAATGCTTTCTGCTCTGTAGTTGACAGAAAAGCAGTATGCTCTTGTGTAGAAGGATTAATTCCAAACCCTACGCCGAATATAGGTTGTGTTCGTACACCGACATTGTCATGTAAAATGCATACGGATTGTTCAAATGGATGGAAATGTGAAGATGATAAATGTAGACCCGTATGTAGTACTGGCAACTTGGAATGCTTAGAAGGAGAACGATGCAATTCAGGCGTATGTCGTTACGCGTGCACATCTGATGATCAATGTTCTGATGACGAAATTTGTGATGGACGAGTTTGCGTCACAGGTTGTAGAACAGACTCCCATTGCTTAAGCAATTTTGCATGTATATCCGGTCAGTGTGTAGATCCATGTATAAAGCCAGGAACCTGTGGCGCCAATGCTTTGTGCACAACCATAGATCATCGCCCTGTATGCACATGCCCACAGAACTTAGATGGAGATCCTAAAACTGTATGTAAGCGGGTGACATCTGCATGTGATAAAAACAAAAATTGCGCTGATGGATTTAGCTGCTATGGTGATATGTGCTATCCCTCTTGCAGAAGGTAAATATCTTTTTTTATGTTTGATTTGCGATAATACAGTTTGCAGTTTATTAATAAATGCGTAAACTTTTTCAGAGACAATATATGTTTATCTAACGAAAAATGTATACGAGGCATATGCAGACTTATATGTAACAGTGATGATGCTTGTAGTGAAGGGCATATTTGTGAAAATAGGATATGTAAGCAAGGGTGTCGAAACGATAACGCATGTGACAATGATCTGGCTTGCATAAGTGGACAATGTAAAGGTATTAAAAATGTATATAAAAATGTATTCATTAGGCGTAGTATTAACTAGATCTTTATATATTTTGTGCTTAATTTTTCGCAGATCCTTGTAGTAGCAACACAGCTTGTGGTATTTGTTCTGAATGTAAAGTAGTAAATCATCGTACGTTATGCAGCTGCACAAGTAATTACACTGGAAATCCATTAGTTGAATGTAAGAAAAAGCCCTTGAAATGTGATGGTTTTTGCCCATGTGACGAAAGTGGTTATTGTATTTCACTTTGTGAAGATAATTCTGATTGTAGCTGTGGGGAGAAATGTTTTAATGGTGGCTGTCGATCTTTGTGCTCAGCTAGAAATAGATGTCCAGAAAGGCAAATATGCCTGCAAGGTGTTTGCGTACCCGGTTGCAACAGTAATAAAGATTGTGGAGATGATATGATGTGCTCTTCCAAACAATGTATCTCTGTCTGTCGGGAAAATTCTTGTGGGAAAAATGCTATATGTTTTGCAAATAGACATCGCAGCTTTTGCAGTTGCCCCAGTGGTTTCTCTGGTGACCCGGAAAAAGAATGCAAATCATATGAATGCACAAATAATGGTGACTGTGGTTTAGATGAAGAATGCACTGTAGAAGGCAGGTGTAAAAACGTATGTCAAAACATTTGCGGCTTAAACGCAATATGCCGACCCGTGAATAGAGTCGCTCAATGTTCTTGCCCACCAAATTACTTTGGTAATCCAAAGGTCGAGTGTTCGAAAGTTGTTGCTGGTAGCTGTTTACGTAATCCATGCGGCATAAACGCTCGTTGTAGAGATCTTGACGATGGTAGCTATGAATGTACTTGTGCTCCAGGATGCGCTGGAAATCCTCAAAGGCAATGTTTTTGTGGAACGATGGCTCCTTGTGCTCATAAAACTTGCGGTACAAATGCTCAATGTCGTATTGGGCAAAAGGGAGAAGCGCAGTGCTATTGCCCCCGTAACTACCCTAATGGAGATCCTAATATAGATTGTAAGTATTGATATCAATTATAATTATTTGTTAAGATGTTTAATATGATATTCATTATTATCATTTAAGAATAATATTTTGACTGAGGATTATAATAAATAATAAGCATACGATTTTTAGGTGCACAAGAGCGCACTATTGTGGACTGTCGAACAACGGGATGTGGAACAAATGGAGAATGCCTTAGAGAGGGCGCTGAGTTTGTATGTCGTTGCATTCCTGGCACAGAAGGGCAAGCCGATATTGAATGTCACACCAGTAAGTAGACTCACTTAACCTTGTTTATCATAATTATTACACATGTATAAATGCACGATAAGGGTGTTATATAAAATAGGTTTTAACTAGGTGAAAAAGACAATATAAAATATATTTTTTTAGCAGCATTTGATCTAAAGAATTATAATATATATATAATATTAAAAGAAAATCCATACAGAAGCTAATTGACTTGTACATCCTTTTGTAAATACAAATTTAGTAAAAATATTTGTTTATTTTTGTAAAGTTTACATATTGAATCTGGGGTTAACTTTTTAGATATTTAGTTGGTCATTCTTAGATGCTCTCTAAGGTTTAACTGATTTAAGTACATTATTTGAAATGCCCAGAATTAGTTAATATTGTACAAATATGTATTTTATAAATGTAATTACATATATGTACAAATGTCATATTGTACTTTAAAATTAGTGGAAGCATTCTCACCGTTCGTGCTTGAATACAGTCAGTAACATTTTGTTCGGCTTCATGTACATATTGCTTGTATTATAATATAACGTTATATACTTCTGATCATAAACCCTCAATTTCAAAAAGCATGCACTGTCTCGTGAGAAAGTTTCCTCTTCGTGGCTGAAGGTACAGCTCTTTCGACTCTGCTTTCTTCTTTCACATCTTCCTAGGTATCGAATGCACGAGTGACAAAGATTGTCCAGTAGACAAAGCGTGTTTGAGCTTGCGTTGCGTCGACCCTTGCACCATACGCGGTGTGTGTGGAGAGGACGCCCTGTGTGTATCTGTCATGCACCGCGCCCAGTGTTCCTGCCCCCAATGCTATGTTGGCCAGCCTCGACTGTCGTGTCACCTCGATCCGAAATGTAAACCCTCTGCAGATGTTAACTTGACATTTACATGCTCTGAATCAAAGCCTTGCCCGTCTAAATTGGCTTGTGACTTATCTACCAAGCAGTGTAGAAACCCATGTCTTGGATATCAAAATTGCCGAAGGAATCAAAAATGTGAAGTTCGAAATCATGAACCTGTTTGTGTATGTCGAAATGGGTTTGCTTTGAATGAAAAAGGTGAATTAACATGTGCACCAGAACACGCCGAATGTACTAGAGATGAGCAATGCCCATCGAATGCTGCATGCCGACAATCCAAATGTGTAAATCCATGTTTAGCATCAAGAGATCCAATGTGTCCAAAAGGAAAACAATGTGATGTCGTAGAGCACCGAGCGATATGTGTATGCATTGAAGATTGTCATCCAACAGTGTCTATATGCTTAAGAGATAACGGATGTCCTCAAAATTTAGCGTGTATTAACTTCCAATGCAAAGATCCATGTAAAGAGGCATGTGGTGATGCGCCTTGTTCCGTTGAAGATCACCACCCTGTATGCAAGTTTTGTCCTAGTGGATTCGCACACGATGAAAAATATGGCTGCATTAAAGGTAATTCTGCGTTAACAGAAAGTTATTATATACAGTATTATTAGTTTATTATCTTTTACAAAGAATCTTATTAATTTGTTTCTTCACATTCCAGGAAAAACGCAATAGTATACTTTATGACTTCATCCAGCTCTTACTATTCTCTATATTTCTTTTGTTTCTAGCATGATCATTTTCTTTGTCAACAGTTGAACTTCTTCTAGGTCAGGTAGTTTCAAGCATGTTATTTCTTATCTGTATAAATACTACGTATTCATTTAAGATGTCATTATCACTTAAATAATATGGTGTCGGTTGCGTTTGGGTAACTCTTAACGCTTTCAATGCTTTGCACAATCCTCATTATGCAAAAAACTGCCACGAGACAGAGTTTGCAAAGTTTTGTCCGAAGCTTTTTCACAATTTACACTTATGAATTACTATATAATTATTTATTAACATATGTATATATATAGGTACCAATCATAATTGATAATCACATTTATACGAATTTATAATTAAATATACGTAATGTAAAGAACGGCTTTTCTATATTTCACAAAAACTGCTAGTAGTAAAATATAATGCACTTATATTGTACTTAAAAAAATTAGAAGGCTCAACAAGAACTTTGTGATATACATATACAATTAGAAATATAAACTCAAATAGGCTCATTATAAGCAAAATATATACGTTATATGATTATAAAATTCCAATGTAAAGAGAAACACAGGGAGAATTTCATTTGATTTTATAACAATTTAATAAAAGCGAATAAAAATAATTTAATAAGCGAATCGTCATATTGAATTTAGTACTATCTGCGTAAAAGGCTGTTGGTGACATGGTTGGGTTTCACAGTGCTAGAATGCGGTGATCACGGGGAGTGCGCTTCGGGCCTGGCGTGCGTAAATGGACGCTGCGCGGACCCATGTGAACGTGGTGGCCCCTGCAAGGCTGGACAACATTGTGCCGTTATTGATCATCAACCTGTTTGCTCTAAAGGTAATTTTATAACGATAAAAAATTTGCTATATAGAAGTGAAGCAATTTTCAAATATCTAATTTAATGTGCACATCTTGCTTGCATCTTTACTTGAGTAAATACTTTACTGATCTTATAAATCAAAAATTAAATTAGCTTTTAGTTATTAAAGACTTTGTATATAACATGAAATTTTAAATTTGTAAGCTATTTGAATATTTTGTTTTATTTGGATTTTCTTGTTAAGAAAGCTTTAGTGTATTAAACAACTATTTATTTATTTATAGTTTGTCAATGTCAAACATCTTCCGACTGCGCGAGGTATCCAAATACAAAATGTGATGGATGCCTTTGTGTGCGAGGTAAGATCTTTAATTACAATAACAATAAGTTTATAGGGTGAGTCGCTAGTGTTGCATAATAATGATATTCATATTCATATCTATCATAAAAAATATTATAAAAAGAAAAATTGACTTCAAAAGAAAGTTTGTAACGTTCCACATTATTTCCAATATTAAAAGCAGATTTTTGACATTTATGTACAGTCACGAGCAAAAAATGTATGACCACGGATAGCTCGTCAATAATATCTGATTGCATGATTCATTAATATCTATACTCACGCTGTGAGCAAAAATATGTGACATCAAAGAGATAACAAAACTACCTGACTAGAGTTGCGATGCAAAAATATAGGATGCAACATCAAATACTCGTATAAACAAAACAAAAATATCTGACCTCTTTCATGCATAAATATCGGGCATGTCTTACATTATTAATATCTATCTGATATTTTTAACCCCCGACGCAAAAACGGCGGGGCATTATAAGTTAGACGCGTGTGTGTGTGTGTGTGTGTGTGTGTGTGTGTGTGTGTGTGTGTGTGTGTGTGTGTGTGTGTGTGTGTGTGTGTGTGTGCGTGTGCGTGTGCGTGTGCGTGTGCGTGTGCGTGTGCGTGTGCGTGTGCGTGTGCGTGTGCGTGTGCGTGTGCGTGTGCGTGTGCGTGTGCGTGTGCGTGTGCGTGTGCGTGTGCGTGTGCGTGTGCGTGTGCGTGTGCGTGTGCGTGTGCGTGTGCGTGCGCGTGCGCGTGCGTGTGCGTGAGCGTGAGCGTGTGCGTGTGCGCGTGTATGTGCGTGTGCGTGCGCGCGCGTGCCTGCGCGCGCGTCTGTGTGTGTGTGTGTGTTTGTGCGTGGCATCGTAGCTCCCGAACGAATGAATGTTTTAGCTATTTTTGATGAAAATCGGTCCAAGATAGTCAGGGGGTTTTTCAAATTGTTGATTTATCATTGTTACTCTAATAAATAATAATAGCCAATATGTGACAGTCTGTGATAAAAATAGTTAATGGTAAATTGCTAACGCTTAAACTCATTCGTGTCTTCCTCACAAATTCCTTGGACGCGATCATAGTACACACGGCACACCTTTTCGAACGCGAGGATACCCGTTTGCATTGGGAAAAAGACGCTTGTTACATGTCAACGATGATCTAGGTTATTTATATATTCTTAGTATAAAAACATATTATTTTATTTTTAGTGAAATAAGCGTCTTGCCTATGTTAATGTTATTTATTTAATGTACTGTATATATGTATAGACCACAAGTAGATACTTTTAATGTTTTACAGGTAATAATCCAGGTAATAATTGTGCTCACTGTCGCCCTGGAGTCTCTTGTGATCCATTTTCTGGCGCGTGTATGGAAAGTAAGTGCTGAAAATAATTATTTATTTTTACACAAATAATATATCTTTGAATATTCTAATTGAACTTAAGATGCCTGTAACGATTAACTAACTATTTTTATTAAGTTATATACTTTAAGATACTCATCTAAACTTATTACTTACATACTCCTCAGTGATGTATGCCACAGACTACTACTTTAAAGCTAGCAAGTCTGTAAATACTATATGATGTGAATAGCAAAACTAACTCCAAGTAAACTGGTTATTGCTATGAACAGCGTACCATTTTGTCCGATAAAACGCCACAAAGTACTGGTTATGTTGTCTCGGCAGACCCGATAAACAATATTATATTTACTATCTTTATTTTTCAGTGTAGTCTTACTTACAAACTTTTAATCATAATCTGCTGTAGAACCAGATATTTATTTAAAAACAAAGGGCTTGAGTATATCGTTTTATACATATGTAAATAAGGATTATGGATGGATATCACATAAAACCATCAGTTTATTGTACTTAAGACATTTTTCTTCAAAGTCTTTTTATTTTCCTTTATAAAAAAGCCTTTCCTACATTTATTTTCTATTTCTTGATTGCTTATGTTATCTGCTATCGGAAACTTTATATCTATTAATTTATAAGTAAATTTCTTCTTTAAATTATATTGAATAATTTTATCTGCAATGGTAATAAAATGATAATTGCACATAAATAAAATGAGCATTATATTAACTAAATATTCCTCTCCCATTAACAGATGATCAACCTGTTAATGTCCCACTAACTGAAACAAACTCCGAAACTATGTCCGCAACAAGTACAAATATAAATGACGATAATAATGGTCCAACTACTAAAAACATGACTATGACAGCTGACATTTATGAGTATATTGAGAGTTTTACAGGTATAACAACAGTAACACAAGGCTTTACAACTGATATAACTGCAGACATAACAACAGAGATAATGACTGATTTTACAACAGGCACAGGAAATGTTACAATTGCAACGTTACAACAGACAACAATAGACGAAAACAAAAATATAACCATAGCCATAAAAACAGATGTAAATACCACAATAGATATAAAAACAATAATTACAACAGACAGCACAACAGACATTCAAAATGATATAAGAACAGATGTAACAACAGAAAGAATACAAAATATTACTACATACATACCAAAAAACACGGCAGATATAACAATCGATATAACGAAAGACACAACAACAGTTATACCAACAGACTTAGCAAAAGAAAAATCAACAAAAGTTGCAACAGAGATAATAAAAGATATAAGAACACTATCAAAAATCAGTATAACAGATATAGCGAAAGACATAACAGAATCATCAATACTAATGAAAAGTACAACAGACATACCAAAAGAAACAACAATAGACATACCAATAGACATGGCAAGAGACATAACAACAGGCAGTATAATCACCATAGTGAAAGATACAACTACAGAAACATTGACAGATATAAGAAAAGATATAACAACCAACAGCCGTACAACAAACTTAGTGAAAGAAACAACAGACACACTAACGAACATGATGGCGAAAGATATAAAAATAGACAGTACAATAGCCGTAGTGAAAGACGCATTCACAACAATATCAACTGACTTCGGAAAGGAAATAACAACAAGAAGTACAATTACTGTAGAACAACCACCAACAATAGACATACTAATAGACACGGTAAAAGACACACCAGTAGCTAGTACAATATCTATAGCGAAAGATACCGCAACAAAAACATCAACAGACATAGCAAAAGACATAACAACCGGTAGAACGACGTACATGTCAAAAGATATAGTATTAGGTAGTATATTAGGCACAGCAATAAATGAAACAATAAAACCATCAACAGATATAGTTACAAACATCAGAGATAAGACAACCGGCATTACAACAAACAAAGCGAAAGATATAATAAATACACCAACAGATATACCAATAGATATGGTAAAGGATAGAAGAATAGAAATAACAACAGATGGAATGAATAGACAGGTGGAAATTGACATAACAACTGAAAATATAATAGATAGAGCCACAGAGACAATGAAAGATATTAATAAAGATATTACAACAGACATAACCAAAGACATTACAACAGACATACCAGCAGATTTCGCTAAAGACTTAAGAATAGATACAACAACAGTAAAAACAACAAACATAGCAAAAGATTTGATACAATACACAGAAACAGAAATGAAAAAAGATATAAATACAGGCACACCAGCAGATATAGCAAAAGATATTGCGATAGAAATAGTCACCGATATAACAAAAGATATTACAACAAGTAGAACGACCGATATTACAGAGGTATATTCAAATGAAGCGACAAAAAGTACTTTATTACCTTTTACTTTAAATTTTTCGACTGGTTTCAAGACAGATTTTTCTACTCTTGCCACCGGAGTAACAGAACCAGTTGCTTCTGATCTACTCCAAACATCAATTGCTGTAAATACCACGACTATTCAGGATTCATATCTAGGAGATTATTCTAAAGAAGATACAATTACTATAAAAAGTAATAATATTTACACTACTTCTACAATAACGACCTCAATTCCTTTTGAATCAACAAATTTAATAAACATATTATCTACTACGTCAAATATTTTAGATTCAAATCCTAATATTCCTAATGTCGTAGATTCAAAAAATGGACTAAACGGTGAAATCATAATAAGTAACGAAAAATACAATATTCCTTCGACTGAAGTTAACGCAGAAAAAATGAGTATTATAACTGATTCTTATGAGGCTTATACTACTAAACTTGACAAGGATATATTAAAAGAAATATCAGTAAAACATACATCAAATATTGAAAAAGATATTGAGATAACAACAGAGGCTTATCCTGTTAATCAACATGAAAAAGATAGTTCAACTACAACATATTACACAATGGCCACTAATGAAGGAACCTTTAATATAAATACTAAGGAGTCTTCCACTTTAGTAAATAAATATCCAGTACAAGAGGTTACAGAGACTTTATTTGATGATTCATCGAAACATTTATCCACAACGCTAAAAACAAATGAACAAACTACATTTTATAATTATAATAATGTACCTTATCCTCAGAAAGAACATAGTGAAAAATCAATTATAAATAAAAAACTAAGTTCTACGTATCCAGTAACTGATGAATCTGTTACTAGTACAACAATTATGTATAACTATAAAAGTGATTCTTTAAATATTCTTACGTCACAATCTTTTGAATTAAACTCTGATTTCAAAGATACGTCTATTACTGAATCTACTATTAAAGCTAAGCTCTTAACAACATCAAATAATATAAACGAAAAAGACAATAAATGGTCAACAACTACGAAAGAAATTTTAGATGATAGTAGCACTCATAAAACAGAAACAAATACAATTAATTTGTTTAGTACGCTGAATTTCAAACAAAATTTTAAACCTGAAAAAAATATAATTAATACATTAACGACGACATCAGAAGCATTCGAATCAACAACAAATTTCAACAATATTCCACTAAATGCTTCCAATAATATTCATGATTCTAAATCAACTCCTTTTAACGATTATAAAAAAGAGATTTTTCTATCAACCACTCCTGAAGATATTATGACTGGAGTATATGAAAGAACAGAAGAATTATGTGTCAAAACTGACACGCCCAGTTTTTCAACTGATATTGATTATATACCAAAGACAGAGCGAAATTTACCTACAGAACAACAAGCAACAATGAAATCTGTTGTAAACACTAATATACAAGAGATTCCCAGTACAGATAAAAAATTTGAAACCACTTATCCTACTGAGAGTACCATGAAAACAGAAGTATTAAATAATAATTTATCGGAACTACTGACAACTACAGTTGCACATGATTTGAGTTCTGATGTAAGGGTAACATCTAACTATAATAAATTACAAAATGGAACTATATTTACAAATAATAATCAAATTGTTCTACCCACTACTCCAAGTGGCACTGATTCATCTAACATTCAACAAGATTCTATTTATACAACACAAAATCCTAATTTAGAAAAAGATTCAATGATGCCTATTACATCTGAATCTGTTCCATCAAGTATTGATTTAGAAATCTTAAATAATTCTAGCAAAATATATGAGTCTGAAACTTTATATACTACCAGTAATAAAATGGAATTTCAAAGTACACTTGATTATGAAGAATTAATACAAAGCAGCAGTACTATGCATACGGAAAACACCGTTAAACCTCAATTAAAAAGAACTGAAAGTAGTGGTTTCCAGAAACAGTTTCATGAAAACAAAAATACTAAAACCCCAGAAAATCAAAGAAATTTACATAATAATTATACTAATAACCTAATAAAATCCTTAGCAAATAACACTCATAAATATTTACAAACAAAAACTATTAATGCAGTAACTCTCCCTACAGATCTTTTATCTACAAAGGCCCTCACAAATTCCTTGATCGATAACGTGAGCTCTACTAATCTTCCTATATTAGCCACAACAAATAATTATATAAATAGAACAACTGTAGATTTAGAACATTTAGATGGATCCGATATTCCATTACAAGAAACAAAACCTACTACTATTGAATTACAAGCCGACATTGGAAAACCTGGCCAAAAATATGAAGTAAATTCTACAGATTTGAAAATAACTTCTACAGAGTCAATAATGATAGTTACAGATATGAGTACAACTGATTTCACAGAAAAATCACAAACTAAATCGATTGAAAGTGAAGATAAGGTTACAACTCCTACACTATTTACGTCAACATATGGTGAGACATCTACTATTTCATCCGATGAAAGAACAAGTTCCTTATTAAATGATTACCTTTATGGATATACTTTAATGGACTCAACACGTAGTAAAAAATATCCAAAAATGACCACTATGACAAAACTAGATTTCACTACGTCTAAGATAAATATTGGAATTTCAAATCAAGAACCTTTATATACCGATAATAATCTCTTTGTATCAACTACAGACTCACAAATATTTAAGAGTGACTTTGATTCAAATAGAATGAGTACAACTAGTGTAATAAATGAAAATACTGAAAATGATAATCTGTCAATAGATACATCAGAACCGACCATCCTTGATGATAATATTCTGACTTTGAAATCTAAAAGTGAAAGTATAGCACCTATTGATACTAATACAATCTCTAGTATATATACTAATTTCGATTTAAAAAGTACCTCATCGTCGTCATATACAGACACAGAGATGAGAGGAGATGAAATTTTGGATAGCCAAAAAAATAATAATAAAAGAAAATTATTTACAAAACATGATATTTTAGCAATATCTGAGAGAACAACCTTAACGAATGCAGAATTCGATTTGGACAAACCTACAACCGTATATGTTTCGACTGTACCTGATAATTTAGTTAATCCTGTAGAATTGATTTTATCAAATGGTAAAAAATCATCAAGTTATACTACTATTTCATCTATATCCGACACAGAAGAAATTAATTTGACTGAAGTTATCACCAGTCCTGCAACTTATAAAGATTTTTATAATACACAAAGGGTTACTGAGAATGATGAAATACTTACTTCAAATCAAAAGTCTGTGACATCATCTGATTTAACCGAAAAACCGACTACTAAAACGGATAATGAAATTTTAGCAACTAAAATATCTACTTCACGTTATTTATCGTCTACTGATGCGACTACACAACAAACTGAACTTATCTCTGAATCATCGAATACAACTATTGATATAGTGAGTACAACTAATATAATTAATTTAAATATAGATTTAAATTCTCCTGAACAATTTGGTAATGATACTATAACTTCGACAACGAATAGAGCTATGTACATACCCAATCAGGTAATGGACATAGCAAATAGTACTGAAGTATCATCAACTAAATACGTTGAAAATAGTACAAAAGAATCAATTTTAACTACATCGGATTCTGTTATTATCATAGACACAAAGGATGAGAACAATGATACAGAAACGGAATTAAGTGCTTCTAAAAATACAAATCTTGATGCATCATCTACACTTATAACAGCTCCGATAACTATAGCTACTTCACATTATGGTGATTATTTCTATACAAATTCATACGACCAAACAAGAACTTCGTCTAGTAGTATAATAAATTCCAAATTTAATGAAAAAGAGATAACTACGGAACCGGTTAGTGTTATCTCACACATAAATTTAGGAAATATTTCTCCGAAAACTACTGATTACACAATTAGTACTATGGAATTTGTAACAAATACTCAAACTGAGTTAATAAATGATGACTTAGGTAGAAAAAAAGAGTACCCTTCCACCTTGTCACCTCTATCAAGTACTTCTTTAGATAATCTCTCATCGCGAAGAAAAGACATAGATATTGCTGCCTGGACAGATTCAACTCCTTACTTTGACATGGCAATGACGGAGACTAATACATTTACTAACGACTTTAAAATTAACCATTTGTGCGAATCAAATTTTAATTGCTCGACGGACAAGTCCTGCGTTAATGGAGTCTGTGAGAACCCATGTGAAGTACGCAACCCGTGTATAAAGAATGTTTCCTGTAAAGCAATTAACCATGATGCAGTTTGTGTGTGCGACGGCGGTGCCAGAGACAACTGTAGAAAAGGTATGGCCGCAGGTTTCTGGTAAAATATTTTTTCTAAATAGCTTTATCAAGTATTACTGTACTCTTGCGGTCGTTTTATCGGACAAATGTGTACAAAAATTATGATATATGAATTATAATAATTCCATTGTAAATATACTAATTTTAAATCTTCCATTATAATATACTAATTACGTATTTAACATATAACATATTAGAATCACCTGGGACACCTAAGACTCCGGAACCTTGTCATTCTGATCGCGATTGTATAGAAACAGAAGCCTGCTTTATGGGGGTATGTCAAAATCCTTGCGAATTTGACAATGTTTGTGGCATACAAGCTAAATGCCATCCAGTAAAACAAAGACCAATGTGTTCATGTCCAGCGGGATATGATGGAGATCCTGCATTTAAATGTTTGCCTAAATCATGTAAGTATTAGGGCTAACAGAAACTAATTTTTTCTAACAACGTATTTTATAAAGAAAAAAAAATCGTAGTTCATAAATAGTGTTAATGTTATTCATGTGTTTTCATAGATATTTTCAATCGCATGGTTGCATTATTGCGTTGTTCTCTGTTTATTTTATTATTATGTATAATGTATATGTAAATTGTAAGGGACAAAATGCAAACTTATATGACAAATTCGTAGAGCCACTTGCGTCAAAATCATAATTGTATATACTCGTATCTCAAACTCGTTTAAATTCAATCAATCAATTTGATAGTTTCTATAAATATCAAATTGTATTATTTGATGTTTTCTAAACAGTCAAAACATTTAAAGTAAAACAAGAACGAAATCGCTAAGGTGAATTTAAATTTCATTATTGTAATTATGTACGTAAATAAAAAAATGGCGCCGTATGTATGTATATAGGCAAAAATTTTACAACCTTTGAACGGACTATCGCTTATTTATATAGCATTGTATTCATTTTGTATAATACTTTTCACTTTTGCTCAGCCGGTTGCACTCAAAATGAAGATTGTCTTTTGACCGAAGCTTGTATAAATAGTGCATGTCAACATCCATGTTCCATACACAATCCTTGTGCACAAAACGCTATATGTATAAATACAAACCATGGTTCGGATTGTAGCTGCGCGGACGGATATCAAGGAAACGGATACGTCGGTTGCATGCCAGGTAAGAAAATTTGCAGCCGATTTGCTTTGTGAAGTTATTTGTATTGTTTTTATTTGATTAATAATGATTATATATTATTTTTAGTCATCAATACTAACTCTGTATGTCAATATAATGAAGACTGTCCTCCAGAATTATTATGTGATAGATTAAACAGAGTATGCATAAATCCATGCTCAGTTAATAAATGTGGAGATAATGCAGAATGCTTTCCCTCAAATCATGGTATCCAGTGTGAATGTTTTGCTGGGTACACGGGAAATGCTTTCTTAGAATGCTTCCAGGGTAAGCAGTCTATTTTGTACAGTTTTCCACGAAATGTGGAGTATTTTGTACAGATTTCCAAAAAATGAGTTATTACTTAACTATAGAATCTTTATTAATTTTAGTTCAAGGATGTCGTTCTGATAACGAATGCGCAAACGCGGAAGCTTGTATAAATGGAAAATGCGAATCACCGTGTAGATGTGGAATAAATGCTATATGTGATGTTTTAAATCATCGCGCAACGTGTAAATGTTTATCTGGTTATACTGGAAATCCTATGATTAATTGTGAGCCACCAACAAATCCCTGTTCCCCAAATCCATGTGGAATAAATGCACTTTGTGAAAATGATAATGGTAACCCAATATGTTTCTGTCCTAAAGGTTTGACTGGAAATCCTTTCAAAAATTGTAGTAAGTACATTTGATTATTATATTTTATTGACTTTATTGATTAATTAATTATAAAACACACACGTACATACGTATGTTTATGTATGTTATTATATTTTCCAGTTCCGGAAGGAAATGAGTGCGAGCCAAATCCATGTGGATCATTTACTGGATGTCGCATTATTGATAATAAACCCGCTTGTTTCTGTCTACCTAATTATGAAGGCAATCCTCCGCGTCAACCCTGTCGTCTGCCAAATAATCCTTGTAACCCTTCACCTTGTGGGCCTAATACACAATGTACTGTCTTATCAAATGGATTTTCGAAATGCACTTGTTTACCAGGTTTTGTAGAGAGTCCGAATACTGTACGTGGTTGTATTGAAGCACGTAATCCTTGCGAACCTAACATGTGCGGTGTAGGAGCACGTTGTGATCCAAATAGAGCGCCCGCATGTTATTGTCCCGAAAATACTAGAGGTAATCCTTATAAATCATGTGTACGTGAAGGCTATTTACCACCAACAGTACTGTGCCAACCAGGAAATTGTGGTGAAAATGCAGATTGCTATGTAAGTGGCAACAGAGAAATGTGTTTTTGCAAGTCAGAATTTATTGGTGATCCTAATATCGGTTGCCAACCACAGAGAAGTCCTTGCAATCCAAATCCTTGTGGACCTCAAGCATTATGCAATGTCAATTACGATGGACAAGCACTATGCACTTGTACTGAGGGCAGTACTGGAGATCCTTTCAGCTTAGAAGGTTGCCATTCTAGAGAGTGTGAAATTGATGATGAGTGTGCGTTAGACAAAGCTTGCATAGGTTATATGTGTCGCGATCCTTGTCCCGGTGCTTGTGGCTTGAATGCTATATGTCACGTAGAATCTCACCATCCCGTTTGTATTTGTGAGAATGGATTAGTAGGTAATCCTTTGATATGTTGCTTACAACCTGAAGATCATAAAAATAACAGCCCATGTACTAAAGTTCAATGTGGTACAAATGCAATTTGTCAAGATGTTGAAAATACAGCGTTGTGCTCATGTCCTCCTGACTTTTATGGTGATCCAACAAAAGAATGTAAACCTGAGTGTGTCATGAACTCAGATTGCTTACCAAGTGAGTCTTGTATTGATAGGAAATGTACAGATCCATGTCATCAAAGCAACGTCTGCGGTATTCATGCTGTTTGCTTGTGTTCGGATCATACAGTCTCATGTTTATGCCCTGATGGTTACATAGGAGATCCACTTATACAATGTGTTTATAGACGTAAGTTTTTGTAATATAATTATAAATATACATATGTATATATTCACATCGACAGTTTAAGTTCAATAATCATGTGGTTTTTATTTGCAGCTATAATAGTTATTCCTGATAATACAACAGTGCAACCATGTGCACCAAACCCTTGTGATCCTACATCATTATGTGATACATACGGAGATAAATTTGCAATATGCAATTTGTGTAATGGACCAAACTCTATCAACAACCCTGCTTGTCGACCAGAATGTATTTTAGATTCAGATTGTGCTTTCAATAAATTTTGCTTGAGAAATAAATGCGTAGACCCTTGTCCAGGCTCTTGTGGTGTTAATGCAGAATGTATGGTATACCATCATGATCCAATTTGTCAATGTAAAGATGGTTTTACAGGAAACCCATACGAGCATTGTAAATTTACTTCAAAACGTAAGTTTTTTATTATTAGAATGTCCTTAAGAAATTCAAATTTACCAGGTGCGTAAACGTTCTTTTTTTTTGTTTTAGCTATCTCTAAAGAAACTTGTGGTAATATTCGATGTGGAGCTAATGCTGTATGCCAGAATTTAAATAATGCCCGCTCATGCAAATGCTTGCCTGGTTTCTTCGGTAATCCCTACATGTCATGTAGACCCGAATGTGTTGTTAATAGCGATTGTCCATCAAAACTTGCATGTATTAATAATAAATGTGAAAATCCTTGCAAAGATGTCTGTGGGCTTGGAGCACAGTGTGAAGCTGTTAATCATCATGCAATTTGCTTCTGTGCACCTGATCAGACTGGTGACCCTTACGTACGGTGCCAGAGTAGTATCCCCACTTCACCGTCATTGTCTATATGTGACCCATCGCCATGTGGACCGTACAGTCGCTGCCTAGTTTCGGCAACCGGATTTGCGGTATGCTCTTGCGTACCAGGATATAGAGGTATTCCTCCAATGTGTCAACCAGAATGTGTTAGTAATTCAGACTGTCCTCAAAAAGAAACTTGTGTTAATCAAAAATGTATAAATCCGTGCCTCGGTAGCTGTGGCGTTAATGCTAACTGTATTGTTGTTAACCATAATCCGATATGCAGCTGCGGGCCAGGAGAAAGTGGTGATCCGTTTGTAGTATGTACTAAAAATTTGGAGTATGAACCAAAAAATAAAAATCCATGTGTGCCATCACCATGCGGACCTAATTCTGTTTGTGAGATCAAGTCTAACCATCCTGTATGTTCGTGTTTACCGAACTATTCTGGATCTCCTCCATATTGTAGACCCGAGTGTATAATAAGCCAGGAATGTCCATCGAGCCAAGCTTGTATCAATGAGAAATGTGCCGATCCATGTATAAAAACTTGTGGTAACAATGCAGTCTGTAATGTTGTAAACCATACGCCATTATGTAGTTGTCTGCAAGGATATAAGGGCGACGCTTTTATTGGATGCATTGCAGTAGCAAAAAATGAAACTTTGACACCTTGCAACCCATCGCCATGTGGTGAAAATACAATCTGCACAGTTATAAATAACGTAGCGCGTTGTTCATGTATACCGCCTAATATCGGAAACCCTTATGCTGGCGGTTGTAGACCAGAATGTTCCATAAATTCAGATTGCCCGAATCACTTAGCATGTTTATCTAACCACTGCAGAGATCCTTGCAAAGATTTATGTGGCGTTAATGCAGAATGTATCGTTACAAGCCATGTTCCTGTGTGTACATGTTTCAAGGGCTACGAAGGTGATCCGTTTTCTTCTTGTCGCCGAGTATATGCAGAACGTGAGTAGCTTTAATAAATACCGTAGTAATAAATACTTCATTGATTATTTTGCTTTAAAAAATATTGCCTGTACCATAGCTATAATTTAAATAAATTAAATAAAAATAAATCGTATTTAATATTCTATGTTAAACAATAATATGTTTTGGTCTATTCAAAATTTAGGCCTATTGTACGGCAACTATTTATATTTGCAGCAACACCCATAAATCCATGTGAACCTTCACCATGTGGTCCGAACAGTGAATGTCACATTGTGAGTAACAGAGCTGCTTGCTCATGCCGCGCCGGCTACCTTGGTGCGCCACCAGCCTGTCGTCCCGAATGCGCAGTCAACTCGGATTGTCCAACAAATAAAGCCTGTATTAACCGAAAATGCAAAGACCCTTGTATTCATAGCTGTGGTTTAGATGCTCTTTGTCATGTTATCGGTCATAACCCGATATGTATGTGTCCTGAAAACTTCCCCGAAGGCGATCCTTTCATTCGGTGCTACAAAAAGAGTAAGAATATATTCATTACATTTATATTTTAAATGAAATTTGAAAAATGTAAAGTGGAGTGATTTTATCAAGACACGCGATAGCGTGTCCAGCCAAGCTCAAACCAAAGGAACTGGCGACGCAGCACCGTGTGTATATTTACACGAACCATTTGGAGCTACTTTTCACCTCGTATTAACTCAAAATCTATTTAATATAAACTCACGAAATTTGGTTCATTTATTGAATCCCCTTAGATTAACTAGAATCCCTAATTTCAAAAATACAGTTTAAACGGTTATTCAGATATTAACGTCTAAAAATCGGCATTTTTATCACTGACTGACTGACATATAGTAGTTAAACCTAACCCACTTCCAGATGACCTAGAAAGTTGAAATTTGGCATCCATATGGTTAATTGTGTGCATATAAAGGGAAAAATCCAAAAACAGTAAATTTTTAAAGTTTGAAAAAAGAAATTAAATTAAATATATTTTATTAACACCTTGCGCCTTCCAAAACATAATGGCAATAGCTTAACACTTAGTGCCTTTTGAAATATAACGGCAATAGCAATCATAGTAACAGCAAAAACTTTTTCTTTCTCAGGAGAAAAGGTTCCATGATGATTAAATATCATTTTCCTATTCCGCCTTATCCATTAACTATGACTATTCAGTCGCAAAATTATGAAAAAAAGATTGAATTTACATGTCACTTTGGAATTATGAATAATAATAGTTTCTTTACAAAAAGTCATGTTATTCCATAAAAACATAAGTATGAAAATGGGAGCCAAGTTCAATATTAAGAATATGCGTGGGTGCGTGTATGTGGGTGGGTGTAAATGGGTGCTTAGTTCTGTAGATAATCCTGATTTTTTTCATAAGAAAATACGTTCTAAAATAAATTTAAAATACAATTTCTTGTTTTTTCTGCTACAAAAGTGTTCGCTATTTAAAAATAGAATTTATTAATTTTGAACAGTCGAATTAATATTTACACAGAGTAAAGGAACTTAATAACTTAGGATAAATTGAAGATATGTTTTTTCTTTTTTGTTATAAACCAAACGGGTTTATTATTTTAAATTTACACAAAAGAAGAAAATTACATATGTAATCTTATATTTGGATATTTTCTTAACAGGTATTTTGCAGCCAGCTCCAGATCCTTGCCTGCCTTCGCCCTGTGGGCCTCACTCTACGTGTAAAAGTGAATTTGGTCGAGCAGTATGTGCATGTGAACCAGGAACTTTAGGCGCACCTCCTACTTGCAGACCTCAATGTCTCATAAACCAAGATTGTCCACTTGCACTTGCGTGCTTGAGTGGAGCATGTGTCAATCCATGTGTAGGTTCTTGTGGATTCAATGCCCGGTGCATTGTACAAAACCATCAACCAATATGTTCGTGCGATGATGGCTACTCCGGGGATCCATTCTCAGGCTGCAGTCCAGTGGAGAGTAAGTATATTTTGTAAATTTTTGCACGGTAGTTTTTATGGTATTCCTGCAGGTTGTTGTACTCGTAGCTACCCACATTATGAATTGTTATTATTAAAAACCAAATTTCAGCTCCTAAAGACGTACCCAGACGTCCTTGCAATCCATCACCTTGTGGACCTAATGCTATTTGTAACGAAAGAAATGGTGCTGGTGCGTGTACTTGTATTGATGATTTTTATGGAGATCCTTACTTGGGTTGTAGACCTGAATGCGTAATGAATACAGACTGTGCTATTGACAGTACCTGTTTCAATAATAAATGTGTAGATCCATGTCCGGGTACTTGTGGACAAAACGCAGAATGTAGAGTTACAAATCATGCACCTTCATGTTTTTGTTTACCTGGATATAATGGAAACCCTCTTCATGCATGTACTCCTACTATGTGTAAGCCTTTTTCTTTCTAAATCTTTCTTTTACTTTGTTTCATACTTTCTATGTGCTATATATCTTTATATCTTTCTTACTATACAGCTCTTCCGGGACCGGTTGATCCGTGCCACCCTTCGCCTTGTGGCCCTTACAGCCAATGTCGTACGTTTAATGGCCATGCGGTTTGTACATGTCTTGATATGTGCGTTGGTTCACCACCTAATTGTCGAACTGAGTGTATTGTTAGTTCGGACTGTCGACCAAATAAAGCGTGTTTAAATAATAAGTGCCAAGACCCGTGTCCTGGGACCTGCGGAATAAATGCTGAATGTCGAGTTATAAACCACAATCCAGTCTGTAGTTGTATAAGTGATTTTACTGGCGACCCATTCGTAAGATGCTATATAGAAGACAGTAAGTGTTAACATTTACGATTTAATTTAAATGTGACTTTTTCTCTACATTTTGTTTTATCGCTAAATAATTATGTTTTCAGAACAAATGACGCCAATTAATAATTGTCTTCCTAATCCATGCGGTCCGCATTCTCAGTGTAATGATTTAAATGGAGTTCCTGTATGTTCTTGCTTAAATAATTACATCGGGCGACCTCCAAATTGCCGACCAGAATGTGTCATAAATGTTGAATGCCCTGGAAACTTAGCATGTATTTCGGAGAAGTGTAGCGATCCATGTCCAGGTTCTTGCGGTTTCCACGCAATATGTAATGTAGTAAAACACATACCAATATGTATTTGTGAACATGGATATACTGGTGATCCGTTTTCTGGATGTACAATAGCTCCTTGTAAGTTACTTGTAAATTTTTAAAATATTTAAATCTGACAAATAATATGAGTACTTAAAGTGATGATATATTTTCATTCTTGTAGCTATCGAACCACAAATTGTAAGTCCTTGTTCTCGATCACCTTGTGCAGTTAACGCTATATGTAAAGAGAGGCATGGAATAGGGTCATGTTCATGCCTTCCAGAATATTATGGAGATCCATACATTGAGTGCAGACCAGAGTGTGTTTTGAATTCAGACTGTCCTAAGGATAGAGCCTGTATAAACAATAAATGCAAAGACCCATGTCCAGGGGTTTGTGGAATGAATGCGGAATGCCATGTGAACAATCATGCTCCTTCATGTGCATGCATACCTGGATACGAAGGAAATCCGTTTACTTCATGTTATATAAGTACGAATATTTTGTATTATGTTCATTTATGTGTATTATTTAACACATAAAAATTTTCGCATATATATTAGAAAGAAAATCAGACTTAAGTCAGACTTCAGTTTATTTAGATAAGCATTAATAATTATTATTCACACACTAAATACGTTAAACTAGAATTGCTATTTTTAGGAGCTATCGAGAAACCAACTGACCCGTGTGCACCTTCACCGTGTGGGCCTTATAGTGTATGTCGTGCTAATGGTGGACACGCTATTTGCTCATGCCAGGAACAATATTATGGATCACCTCCTAATTGTCGTCCCGAATGTATGGTTAGCAGTGACTGTATGCCTAATAAGGCTTGCATAAATCAAAAGTGTACTGATCCATGTGTAGGTTCTTGTGGCACAAACGCGAAATGTACTGTAGTGAATCATAATGCCTTATGTAGCTGCCCTCAAAATTATATCGGCGATCCATTCGTCAACTGTGCTTATGAAAGAAGTAAGATATTTATTTTCTTTTGATAAATACACACTTTGATATAAACGTATTCTAAATATAAATTGTTACAAAAATTATCAAATTCTAGGACCTAAGCCAAAGCCATCTGGTAACCCGTGTATTCCTTCCCCTTGTGGGCCAAACTCTCAATGTCGAGTAGTAGGTGAAACACCAGCATGTTCATGCAAAGCTGGTTATATCGGTCGTGCCCCGCACTGTCGTCCAGAATGTATTTATGATGAAGAATGTCCCAGTAATCTTGCTTGTATTCGTGAAAAATGTATGAGTCCTTGTGATGGCTCTTGCGGCTCTAATGCAAACTGTCTTGTAATTGCGCATAAAGCTATTTGCCACTGTCGTGAAAGTTATACTGGTGATCCATTTAGCGGTTGCTATTTCATTGGTAAGTATCGTAATGCATTTGCTTCTACTATCAACGATAATTTTGATGAGTTGTATAGGCCATATTTGTTAAAAATTAATATTATCCAATAAATACAGTAACAGTACCAAGTGAAGATGAAACAAATCCGTGTAACCCATCACCTTGTGGGCCAAACGCACAATGCACGGAGAAGTATAATGCTGGAGCTTGTACTTGCTTAGCTGGTTACTTTGGAGATCCATACCTAGGGTGTCGCCCTGAATGTGTGACAAATAACGATTGTCCTTTAGAAAAAGCTTGTTCGAATAACAAATGTGTAAACCCATGTCAAGAAGCATGCGGAATAAACGCAATTTGTAATGTAGCACACCATACTCCTGTATGCCTCTGTATTGATGACTACGAAGGAAATCCTGTTGTATCATGTCATCCACAGAGAAAGCGTGAGTATTTTTTTTAATCTAATTTATTATAATATATTATATTATAACTGTATAGTTAGATAAAATTATATTTTTTGCTTATAGCGGTGCTACAAAATTATAATCCGTGCGTTCCATCGCCATGTGGCCCATATAGTCAATGTAAAGAATTAAACGGACATGGAGTTTGTTCTTGTGAAGAAGGATATATTGGATCACCCCCAGCTTGCAGGCCAGAATGTGTTATTAGCACGGACTGCCCACAACATCAAGCATGTATAAAACAAAAATGTAGTGATCCATGTCCAGGAACATGTGGAGTAAATGCTCGATGCCAAACTATAAACCATAATCCTATTTGCACATGCAAAGCCGGATTTACTGGTGATCCATTCGTTGTTTGTCAATTAGAGCAAAGTAAGAATATAAACGAAATTATAATAAAAATAGAAAAAAATAATAAAAATGTTGTATTTGATTTTGAAAGTTATTTAATTATCCTTAATTTGCATGATTATTTATACTTTCTCTAATGTGATTTTCGTTTTTCTTTTCTTTATCTTTTTCTGTTGTTTTTCTTAATTCATATACTTTCTTTCTTAGAACCTATTTTCTTGGGACCTAAAGGAAATCCATGCATACCATCACCATGTGGTCCATATTCTCAATGTAAAGTAGTCGGCGAAGCGCCTGCATGCTCTTGCTTACCAAATTTCATTGGTATTGCACCAAATTGTAGACCGGAATGTTCAATCAATGCAGAATGCCCTGGTAATCTTGCATGTCAAAATGAAAAATGTGTAGATCCTTGCCCTGGTTCTTGTGGCTTTAATGCAGAATGTTCTGTAGCAAATCATGTAGCATTATGTAATTGTGTATCGGGACATACGGGTGACCCATTCAGTGGATGTTCTGAAATCGAATGTAAGTCTTATGGAAGTAAGAAATAATTGGCATCATTATTATTGTTCATTATAAATAAATTATTTTCAACCATTCCCAACAGATGCTTCAGAACCACCGCCAAATCCATGCAATCCATCACCATGTGGTGCAAATGCACTTTGTAAAGAACGTAATGGAGTTGGTTCTTGTTCCTGCTTACCGGAGTACTTTGGAGACCCATATACTGGGTGTCGCCCAGAATGCGTATCCAATTCAGATTGTGATCGTAACAAAGCTTGTTCCAACAATAGATGTAAAGACCCATGTCCAGGATCATGTGGTATCAATGCTGAATGTAGAACAGTAAACCATTCACCAACTTGTACTTGCGTTTCTGGATTTACAGGAAATCCTCTTTCAAAGTGTGAATTCGAAAGTAAGTTTTATTGAAAAGATTAAAAAAAAGACTTAAAACTTTATTGTTGATTTTATAGAATATAATTTTTTTACAGTAATTCCAAGCGAAGCTGATCCACAATTAGATCCTTGTCAACCTTCTCCATGCGGACCAAACAGTCTTTGCCGCGTAATAAATGGCCATAGCGTGTGTACTTGTGAAATTGGATATATTGGCACCCCGCCATCTTGTCGACCGGAATGTATTGTTAGTTCTGAATGTCCTCAAGATAAAGCTTGCATTAATAAAAAGTGTATAGATCCATGTCCAAATACTTGTGGTCTGAATGCTCGTTGCCAAGTCGTAACGCATAATCCTATTTGTAGTTGTACATCAGGCTTTACAGGAGATCCATTCACCAAATGTAGCCCGGAAGAAAGTATGTATAGATATTATTTAAGTTTAATAATATTATAACTAATATTTTTTAAGCTATATTAAGCTCTACAAGAAACTAATCTATACATACGTATAATAAAATTCTGAGTCGATTCTGTACATTAAATATTTTTTGAAAATCTTAATGTAATATTCATTATCATTTGTTACGAGTATATTATAGTTTCTTATGGACTATTTTTTTGCACCAACTATTATCTATGCTAGCCTACGAGTTTCTTTATATTATAGGTTTCCTGGAAGAGATCACTTTAAGTGATAAGGCTGCCTTTACACTAAAATATATATTTGTAAAGTTATATATTCTTTTAAATTGTAAATTTTTGTTTTGGTGTAATAAAGGATTAATAAATAAATAAATAAATCAAATTATTGATACAGAGGCCAAATATATAGTTTTTCGATTTTTTCTCTGTATGTCTGTCTGTCTGGGAACGCATTACGAGAAAGCCACTAGACAGATTTTGATTAAATTTGGTAAGATGATAGCTGGTTATCTTGTTCAACATATAGGATACTTTTTACTGCGGGAAAATATCTCATCTCTGAGAAATCTATACTAACCGTTAAAACGTACCTAGCTGTTAATATATCTATACACAACTAGCAGTATCCGCGGCTTCGCCCGCGTCCAAACTTCCAACCACTAACAAAATTCACAGGATCACCCGCTGGGCTAATATGAAAATTTCATCAAAATCGCTCCAGCTTTTTTGAAGTCTATAGGAAACACACATCGATTTTTATTTTATTTAATCAATAATTTAAATTTATTTATTGCTTGGAAAATAGAGTCTTTTATGAAAAATTTTGGACACACCGACTGCAGCGCCATCTACCAGATCCATTTGTTAATTCAAACCTTGCAGGGGCCCACTCGAACATACACAAAAAATATCATTAAAATCGTCCCTGCCGCTTAGGAGAAGATCAGTGACATACCGACAGCAGCGCCACCTACAGGGTCCAATTGTGTTTTCAAACTATCCAGGGACCTATTGAAATATACATACAAAATTTTATCCAAATCGGTCCAGTCCTTTAAAAAGAGTAGGTTAACAAACACACGTACTGAAGAATTATATTAAGATATAACATAACTTGTATTTATATAAAAAAAATCACTTTCCAATTTTATCTCACCCTTCTAGCAGAAATATTTAAAATTAATGATATTTTAATAATTGAAAACTCAAGCAAAATATTTTTTTTTCATTTTAGGAACTGTGCCAACAAACCCATGTGTTCCATCACCATGTGGACCTAATTCGGAATGCCGTGTTATTGGTGACCAAGCTGCTTGCTCTTGTTTACCAAATTATATAGGTCGAGTACCAAATTGTAGACCAGAATGTACTATAGATGCTGAATGTCCAAGCAATGCTGCTTGCATAAATGAGAGATGCAAAGATCCATGTCAGGGTGCTTGTGGATTAAATGCTCTATGCCTAACAGTTAATCATAACCCTATGTGCACGTGTCAACAAGGATTTACAGGAGATGCTTCTAAAAGTTGTGTTCAAATTGTAATTTCATGTAAGTATAATTAATTAATCACGAAAGGAAATATACATATATAATAACAAAATTTTTACTGAATTATGTTTCTGATCTTGTTAATGCAGTAGATATGAATTTGCAAGTGGATGCTATTTACACAGATTTTTCAAAAGCATTTGACATGGTTGATCACACGCTTCTTATAGGAAAGCTATCTTTGCTTGGAGTATCTGATTCTTTATTGTCTTGGTGTAAAAGTTATCTTCACAAAAAATCCGATAGCTTTCAGGCTCTTTCGGGCAAGCTAATCTCGATAGACTTGTTGAATGTAAATAAATAAATAAAATTAATAAAAAAATATCATATCTTAAGTTTGTCCATTTTCTCTAAGTGGCCCGATTTTTTTGCACGCCAGTGTATTATGAGTACATGCATGCAGCTTTCTAAATCATTCATCGATCATTTTATAGAATATACTTTTTATAATTTTAGCAACCGAAATGACTCCAACTTCAAGTCCATGTTCACCATCACCCTGTGGTCCAAACGCAGAATGTCGAGAGAATAATGGCGCTGGTGCATGCTTTTGCTCTAAAGGATATGAAGGAGATCCATATGGCACAAATGGATGTCGTAGGGAATGTGAAAGCAATGACGATTGTGCTTTAAACTTAGCGTGCACACGGTTCAAGTGTATAGATCCGTGCCCTAGAACTTGCGGCCAACTAGCTCAGTGTACAGTTGAAAAGCACGTCCCTATTTGCTCATGTCCATCTGGATTTACTGGAGACCCATTCTTCCAATGTAGAGAAATAGTTTTTGAACGTAAGTTTTCTTCCAAGCTTAACGAAATAACAGTAATATATAAAGATAAAATAATTATTTAAAAATCAATAATAATTAATTTTCATTTTTCTTTTAGCACCCGTCCTTAATCCATGTGAACCTACACCCTGTGGACCTAATAGTCAATGTCGACAAGTAAATATGCAGGCAGTTTGTTCATGCTTACCGAACTACATAGGGTCACCGCCGTCATGTCGTCCTCAATGTGTCGTAAATAGTGAATGTGATACATCTAAAGCATGCATCAATCAAAAATGTGACGATCCCTGCCCTAATACATGTGGGCTTCGAGCTCATTGTCTCGTTAAAAATCACAATCCAATTTGCACATGTCCAATTGGAATGACAGGAGATCCTTTTACACAATGTTATAGTAAGCCTTATTTTTTATATTAAATTTTTATGTATTTTCATTTAACAGTTTATTCAATATTTGTTTGTACACTTGCCTGTTATTTAGTATAATCGTTGATTTACATATTTGAAACATACAAAGCTATAGCTTATGTAAATGAACATTTTTTTAGAATAAAATTAATGCATCTTTCAGCAATTCCAACGAGTACAGAGCGACCACCATCTTGCACCCCATCGCCCTGTGGACCACATTCTAACTGTCAATTATTGGCTAGTGGACCGGCTTGTTCGTGCTTGCCAGGATACATAGGATCACCTCCATCTTGCCGACCTGAATGTACAATTAATTCTGAATGTCCTGCATCCCTAGCTTGTGTCAGACAAAAATGTGAAGATCCTTGCCCTGGGTCGTGTGGAGTTGAGGCGAATTGTCATGTTCTGAACCATGTAGCCGTATGTGTTTGCAATGAAGGTTTTACAGGAGATCCGTTTTCTAGGTGTTCACCGATTCCTGAAGGTAATTTAATATAAACGCTGTATAAATTGTATACTAATTGCTGTAAGAAATATGTTTATAGTATTAGTAGGCAATGGTAACAGCAATACATTTAGCTGCTTGATGTATGACTATATTATACTGTTTTTGTAACATAAAAAACAGTAGTAAACTTCTATTAAAAAAAATTAATTTTTTTCCAGTTCCTACAACGCCTGTGCCATCCGATCCATGTAACCCGTCGCCGTGTGGGCCAAATGCTAGATGTGATAATGGATTTTGTACTTGTTTACCTAACTATAGTGGAAATCCTTATGAATCCTGCAGACCTGAATGTACTGGAAGTCAAGAATGTCCTAGGGATAAGGCTTGTTTCAGGAATAAGTGCCGTGATCCATGCCCAGGAGTTTGTGGCCAAAATGCTAAATGTGATGTAATTAATCATATACCGAGTTGTTCTTGTATTGTTGATTATACTGGTAATCCGTTTACACATTGTCAACCAATGGAAAAAGAAAAAACACTTCCTAAAGATCCCTGTCATCCATCACCATGTGGTCCCAATAGTGTTTGTAGAACAACAGACAATACTGCAGTTTGCGCTTGCATCGAAGGATTTAGAGGATCACCTCCAGCATGTAGACCAGAATGTATTGTGAGTTCTGAATGTCCGTCAACTAAAGCTTGTGTAAATCAAAAGTGTATTAATCCATGTATTAATGCATGCGGCATATCAGCCCGCTGTGAGGTCATCAATCATAGTCCAATTTGTAGTTGCAATACGGGACAAACAGGAGATCCATTTAAGAGTTGTTATGATATAGTAGCAATACTTCCTGAACCTGTCGATGTTTGCAACCCTTCACCTTGTGGACCAAATGCTTTATGTATAGAACGAAACGGAAAAGCTAATTGCCGATGTGTTGATGATTATGTGGGACAGCCACCGAATTGTAGACCAGAATGTGTTATTAATCCTGATTGTCCTTCAAATCAAGCTTGTGTTAGAAATAAATGTATAGACCCGTGCCCAGGATCATGTGGTGTCAATGCGGATTGCATAATAGTAAGCCACACTGTATCTTGTATTTGCAGAGAAAAATATACCGGCAATCCATTCTTACAATGTGTTCCGGTAGAAGGTATGTACTTTCATAAATAACGTGTGTTTGTCGTTGATATTTTGTTAACTAATTAAATTAAATTTCTTAGATTTTTACAAATTGTAATTTTTTTTATTATAGATACTGCTATAAAACCATGTGATCCATCTCCATGTGGAGCTAATGCACTTTGTACTCAGAGAGATGGCGCTGGAGCATGTTCTTGCTTAGAAGGATATCAAGGAAACCCATATGAAAGTTGTCGCCCCGAATGTGTTCTTAGTTCAGACTGCTCTGCTGATAAAGCTTGTATAAGGAATAAATGTATCGATCCTTGCCCCGGTATTTGCGGAACATTTGCAGAATGCACCGTAGTAAACCATGTTCCCACTTGTGCTTGCATAAAAGGTTATACAGGAAATCCGTTTACTCAATGTACTAAAAATGAACCAATAGCAGGCACAGGTAGCCCATGTCAACCATCTCCTTGTGGGCCCAACAGTATATGCAGAGAAAATGGAGAATTAGCGTCTTGTGAATGCTTGCCAGACTATAGAGGAGCTCCACCTGATTGTCGGCCAGAATGTACAGTGAGTAGTGAATGCCCTTCAGATCGCGCATGCCATAAACTAAAATGCGCAGATCCTTGTAGAGGCACATGTGGAATAGGTGCTCATTGTCAAGTTATCAACCATAGCCCCTTATGTAGCTGTCCGTCAGGAACTAATGGTGATCCATTTACTGTATGCCGAGAGATTCAATATGTTGTAACTGATCAAGACAAATCGGTGCAGCCATGTAACCCTAACCCTTGCGGCCCATATAGTGAATGTCGAGCGATAAACGGTAACCCATCATGTTCCTGCACTGTTGGTTATATCGGAGCCCCACCTAATTGTCGTCCAGAATGTCTTGTAAATACTGATTGTCCATCATATCAAGCTTGTATTGCAGAAAAATGTACAAATCCTTGTGAAGGCTCTTGCGGATTTAAAGCAGAATGTAGAGTACAAGATCACATACCAATTTGTAGCTGCCCATTAGGCTTCTCTGGAGATCCATTTATTCAGTGCGCTGAGATAATAGGTAACAAAATATTTATTGTATACATATAATAAATAATATTGTAAATTTTACCACTGCACTGCATCCATATCTTCTAAAAAATGAGGAACGTAAAGAAACAGATAATGAAGAAAAAAACGGTCTTGTTATATAGATTTTTTGTCTATCTTTGCGCAATAGAGACTTATTAAACTCAAAATCTTATTTCTAAACATTATGTACCTTCACTCAGAGCATTAATTAAGAGTTTATTGCATCGAAATCTCCTATATCCAAAGATTCTGGTATAAGAACCAGGGCCTACAATCAAAAATTGAAATTGACTATACAATAGGATATCACTTTCTTGCACCTTTAAAAACCGTAGTCACACATTATTATTACATATTATGTCACAGGCTAGTAGATCGTTCATATGGTTAGTGTAGATCGTTCAAATAGTTTAAAGATATGCCGTGACAAATGAATATCAGTGCATAGACTTCAAAATCATTTTTTATTTGCCGTTGTCGGGTAAAAAAGTAAGAGTTCTCATGGGAGAAGAGATAAGACTTCTATGAACAATCAGTATTTTTGCACCTAATTACCACGTATGTATATCGTGTATATTTCCCAGAAGTCCAGATTTAGCTTAATTTTTTTTCACAAACTGCAGCAGTTTGGTGCGAGGCAGTGTTAAGGTTTTTTTTAATATTTTCTTCTTACAACAAAGACAAAATATTTTTATAACTTCTCATTGCTATACTGCGCGAACTGAACTTAATTATAATATTTTATGTGATCAATAATTGATTAATATGGTATTCACGTTTTAATATAAGATAGATCGATAGATATGGTTATTTCTCCGAGATTGCGTTCTTCGTCTGCTTTATCTGGCCAAAAATTATTTTCATTTTTGGCTCTATTCAACATACTCTTATGATTAAAGACATGCCATATATTATTTAGCATGTCTTTAATCATAAGAGTATGTTGAATAGAGCCAAAAATGAAAATAATTTTTGGCCAGATAAATCAGACGAAGAACGCAATCTCGGAGAAATAAATAAATAAATATGTTTGGACATTAACACACAGCACCATCTAGTTCCATGATAAGCTACGAGGCTTGTGTTATGGATACTAGATAGTTGATACACTACATATATATAACTTTAAATACATACATATTATAAATATAAACACCCATGACTGGAGTAAAAACATTCGTGCTCATCACACAAATGAATGCCCCCAGCGGGATTCAAACCCGCAACCGCTGGTACAGCAAGTAGGGTTACTACGTACTGAGCGAAACGTGTCGGTCGTCAAATACCCATATAAATATGACATCATTCAAAATTAGACTATTACTCAGTTATTTTATCTTATTTTAGTCACTCCGACTCAAGCATCTGATCCTTGCAATCCATCACCCTGTGGTAGTAACGCAATATGTGACGCTGGAGCTTGTTCATGTAGTCCAGGGTATTTTGGAGATCCATATAATGGATGTCGCTTGGAATGCTCCACTAATGGTGAATGTTCGCCGACACTAGCCTGTCACGGTGGAAAGTGTGTGGATCCGTGCCCTGGTGCGTGCGGTACGGGTGCGACTTGCTCTGTGAATAATCATATACCATCGTGTACCTGTCCACTAAGTACGTCTGGTGATCCGTTTTCATACTGTACGGAAGTAATTAAATCGGGTAAGAATATTTCATTGTTTATCAACAAGATTATTATATTATAGATAAAATTAATTCGTAAATATATGTATGTATTTCAGTATAACTTAATTAAAGTTGAAAGTAAGCCTTTAGGATAAATATGTATATTAAAATTATTTAGATTATACTATATTAATTAACAATAAAGTAAAACAACTATATTATGTAGAGAATAATGAGTAGCATGACACCATGACAATAGGGAATATGCATGTAATTTAAATTTGGATCAAATATTTTTATTCCGAATCTTTATTGGTCGGAAGTTTGAATAAAACTATTATTTTAGTAATTAATATCTTTTAGTTATCTAAAATTAATAAATAAAAGTGCAAAATAAGCGAGGGAAATTCAAATTTGTAAAACGCAATACCATTGGTTAAAGCGAAACGTGACGTCAAATACTGTGTCTAGGGATGTTCATGTAAAAAAAATTAGATATTTTTTTCGATATAATATATGCAATTGTTGTATCGATACTTCGCGATATACCTATCGTACCAATATATCGATATTTTCGATATCTCGTGAGTCGTAAGTTATTTGTTTGTATTTATCTAGTCTGTAATATTAAATATTAGATTATATAGTTAATATGAGTAAAAACAGTTAGTAAAACAACAAATTATTTTATTTATCTTCACAACAATGTAAACAAGTTGTTGCAGACATTTCGTCTATTCTAATAACCTTACACCATTCCTTACGTATTTTTGCACCTATCGGGATTGGAAAAAACCATTTGTGAGATGTACTTCTGATAGTGTTTTTGCATTCTGGTACAATGAAATACTTATAAATTGGCTTTTGAGTTTTTTTGATGGTGACATAAGCTATGGCCTATGAACGAGAACACCTTAAACTTGTAGTACACAATGGACTGAACTGTCACTATTCAGTACTCACGTTTCACTGACAGACAGGACATCAGTGCTGCCATTTAGTGCTTTGGGCTCCACATCTAGGGCTTTTTTGTTTCTGTTTTTTATTATAATTTATAATTCAAGAGAAAAAAAAGTTCATTTAGCGCGAAGTTTAGAGTTTTTTGTGCGCTGAATGAGTTTTTTGATCTGGCAACACTGCTAGACATAGTATTTGACGTCATCAATAGAGCGCGCGAAAATGGCGGCGTTTAAACAGCTTAAAATGATTCTCTATTTTAAATATATTTTTAAACTTAATTACGGCATTTTTAAACAATATATATTTTTTCTATGTTATAACAGTGTAAACAGTAAATTAAAATATATAAAAAATACATGCATATTGCCTATTATTGTTACTGTTTAATCAGAAAAATAACTCTTTGTTTTATTTGCAGAAAGACCCCCATCACCGTGTAGTCCTTCACCATGTGGACCTTATAGCGAATGTACAGTGAGTAGTAATGGAGCTGCCGCTTGCTCATGTAGAGCTGGACATATTGGCTCTCCTCCATCTTGTCGGCCAGAATGCTTAGTGAGCTCCGAATGTAAGCTTCAAATGGCGTGTGTGGATCGTCGTTGCCGTGATCCTTGTGAAGGTGCATGTGGACGGGGAGCTCGGTGTCAAGTTATCGCTCACTCCCCTATATGTACATGCAATGACGGTTTTACTGGAGATCCATTCACTTACTGTTACATCTCTCCAGGTAAGGCAAAAAATACTGATGATAATATCCACCAAAAATATAAAATAATATTGATGATAAACCAATTTAGCACACGGTGGCCAATCTCACCAATACTAGACTACTATGCTTAAGATATGATATGTACAATGAGTGTGCGCAGACCCAAGTGTACTCTTTATTCTTTCACTTTAAAAGGTCGAGCGCAGGATTATAATTACCCTGACTCTAATTTAATTTTAATTTATTTTTATTATAATATAGAATTTAGAATGTATCAAATAATATTTTATTTTTTAGCACCTCCGCCAACTCCGACAGATCCGTGTGATCCTTCACCTTGTGGACCTAATTCAATATGTGTAAAAACTGGGGACATACCAGCTTGCAGTTGCCAACCAAGTTTTATAGGATCTCCTCCAAATTGCCGACCTGAGTGCACAATAAGTGCTGAATGCCCTGCAGCGTTAGCTTGTGTCACTCAAAAGTGTAAAAATCCTTGTGTGGATGCATGTGGTGCCGGCGCTGTGTGTACGGTTGTAGACCATCGGGCAAGTTGTACTTGTGAACCTGGCTTCGAAGGTGATCCATTCCAGGGTTGTTCTCGACCTAAGGGTAAGAATAATGTAACTTTAAACATTTACGTATTTTTTATATTACAAATAGTTGTAAAAATAAACTGTATAAATGACTTTAAAATTATTTTAAAAGTTAATAAAGGTAATAAACTTGTGTTAGTATAAAAAAAATCATTAACAATGCGAGCTCATAAACAAAAGAGATTAAAGCGCCTTTAACCATCAGCTTTGCAAAGCGTGAAAATTCATGCTATACATAAATTGTGTGCTTAAAAATGTTATCAACGGTCACGCCTTACACGGTTTACTAATTTAAAATAGAGCTACATGGGTGTTTTAGCTTAAAAGTTGTCCGGCGACCATGCCCGCTGTTCAGTTTGTAGGCGAAATCATCGATGTAGCATCTATTTATACGCTTAAAAATAAAACAAACATACGGAATTTGGAGATAACTATAAATAAACATACTTTTAAAAATTTAGATTTCTTAAGTGCTTTCAGAAGGGACGTAACTTTTAACTTTTTTATTTGTGAAATTAATGCCTTGCTTATGAATTGGAGCACGCGGAGATAACAAAGCACTTACAGTAAGCTTAGGCCGTTCCCTGAGACGGCCGCTTTTTGATGGCGGCTAGATAAAAACGCCATCGTCGGATTGGAGAGGTCACTAAATGTCGCCGAGCCCAGCTTCGACTAACGCTTAGGAAGAAAAAGTGCTTCAACGGTAACAGAACTATTCGTAGGTAAGTGTATTCATCCTATAAAAATCGTATTTCAGCTCCGCCCAAACTAGAGTACCTTAATCCCTGTGAACCATCACCATGTGGTGCCAATGCTGAGTGTAAAGTTCAAGGAAATGCAGGATCTTGCACATGTCTTCCGGACTATTTTGGTGATCCATATCAAGGATGTAGACCTGAGTGCTTAGTTGACTCCGATTGTCCTTTGGCCTTAGCGTGTAGTAGAAACAAATGTGTTGATCCTTGTCCTGGAGTATGCGGCTACAATGCCGATTGTTTTGTAGCAAATCATAAACCCTCATGTAACTGCAAAACTGGTTATACAGGAAATGCACTATTAATGTGTTCTGTAATGCGTGGTAAGTGTGAAAATTGAATTGTCTAATATTAACATTTAAAAACAGCATTTTATTTAATATATTTTTTTCCCTAGATAAAGATGTAACAGTAATAAATGGGTGCAACCCTTCACCATGTGGAGCTAATGCTTTATGCAAGGAAGTAAACAGCCAACCAGTGTGCTCTTGCTTGAACAACTACATTGGCATGCCACCAAATTGCAAACCTGAGTGTATCGTAAATTCTGAATGTAAATCAAATAGAGCTTGCGTTAATAATCGATGTGTAAATCCTTGTCCAAAGCCTTGTGGTAAAAATACAGAATGTAAGGTAATAAACCACAGTCCCGTTTGTTCATGTCGTGCAGGATATTCTGGAAACCCTTTCACTACCTGCACACAAGTGTTACGTAAGTATTGCCTATAGGAAATAATTGTCTTTGAAATGTTTAGAATACAATTATTCATTTTATAAATATATTTTTTGTAGAAATATCGTCCACACCAACAACATCTACAAATCCTTGTATTCCATCGCCTTGTGGTCATTATTCTGAATGTCGGAATAATAACGGCTTAGCAGCATGCTCATGTTTGCCTAGTTACATAGGATCACCACCTTTCTGTAAGCCTGAGTGTGTTATACATTCGGATTGCCCAAGTGACCAAGCATGTGTAGCCGAAAAATGTCGAAATCCTTGTGAAGGTGCATGTGGAATATATGCAAAATGTTTCGTGAATAATCACGTACCAGTTTGCTTGTGCTCAGAAGGCTTTACAGGTGATCCATTCCGGGAATGTATTCCAAAACCTTTCGAAGGTATTTAGATTTTATTTATAATAAAATTTAATCCATTGGGATATCTAAGGTAATATATTATTTTTTTTGTCTCCTACTACATAAAGTTTTTTTTTGTCAGATATCCCTCAGCAAACACCAATCGATCCGTGTAATCAAAGTCCTTGTGGACCAAACACAAAATGTGTAAATGGTGCCTGCTTTTGCTTAGATGATTATCATGGCGATCCATACCTTGGTTGCCGACCAGAATGCATCTATAGCTCAGATTGCCCTCAAGATAAAGGATGTCAGAGAAATAAATGTGTAAATCCATGCATTGGCACTTGTGGAATAAACGCCATTTGTGATGTAAATAACCATATTCCAATGTGTACTTGTCCAAAGGGTATGAGCGGAAATGCATTCATTGAATGTCGCCCAGTTACAGGTAATAAAATTTTAAATGTATTTATATTTTTAATTTCGACTATTAACATAAGCTTAAAAATATAGTAAACAAATTTTACTTTCAGTAATTAACGTGAACCCCTGCAATCCTTCTCCATGTGGACCTAACAGCCAATGTCAACAGTCGCATGGACAGGCTGTTTGCTCTTGTTTATCTGGTTACCGCAGTAGTCCACCTACTTGTAGACCGGAATGCGCTGTGAGCCTTGAGTGCTCTTTGAAAGAAGCTTGTCAAAATCAAAAATGTATAAACCCGTGTATTGGTACATGTGGAGTGGCAGCTGTGTGTGATGTTATCAATCATAATCCAATATGCTCATGTCCAATATCTTTTACAGGAGATCCTTTTGTAAAATGCTCAATAATTGGTAAGAAATTTAAACTCCGAACGCTACTTTTAAATATAACCTTATAAAAATAACAATTTTTGTATATTTTAGTTGAAGCAGTGCAGGTTGACCCCTGTGATCCATCGCCCTGTGGTCCTCATTCAACATGTAAGATAAGTGGAGAAAGCCCTGTATGTGCATGTTTGAATGGCTTTAAAGGATCCCCTCCTAATTGCAGACCAGAGTGTATTAGTAACAGTGAATGCGAATACAATTTAGCCTGCCTTAATCAAAAATGTTCAGATCCTTGTGTGAACAGTTGTGGGACAAACGCTGAATGTAGAGTCGTTAGTCACTCTCCTATGTGCATCTGTGAAGTAGGTTACACTGGTGATCCATTTTCGCAGTGCAGTCTTATAACACTTACGCCAAATGAAATTTTAAATCCATGTAGCCCAAGTCCATGCGGCTCGAACGCTATTTGCAGAGAGCAAAGAGGTGTTGGAGCCTGCCAGTGCTTAGATGGCTATTTTGGTAATCCGTATGAAGGATGCCGACCAGAATGCATAGTTAATTCCGACTGTTCACTTAATAAAGCTTGTTCACGAATGAAATGTATTGATCCATGCCCCGGGACTTGTGGAACAAATGCTTACTGTCTGGTTAATAACCATATGCCGAACTGCGAATGCCAAACAGGTTACACTGGAAATCCATTTAGTCACTGCAATATAGTACAAGAAGGTAAAAATCTCTTTTCCTTAACATATATTTTTAAGGATTAAAATGATAAATGAAAGTTTTAAGTCCATTTAAAATAACAAACCATATAAACATTTTTTTCTAGCTCAAGTCCTTACAACTAATCCATGCAACCCATCGCCATGCGGAGCAAATAGTCAATGTAAAGAAACTAAAGGCCAGGCCGTCTGTTCTTGTCTTCCTTCATTTGTTGGATCTCCTCCTAACTGTCGACCCGAGTGTGTAGTTAGTTCGGAATGCCCACCACATCTGGCTTGTGATAATCAGAAATGTATAGATCCTTGCATTGGAAGTTGTGGCGAAAATTCGAATTGTAACGTTATCAACCACAGCCCAATTTGTGTTTGCAAAGCCGGATTAACTGGAAATCCTTTTACAAGATGTTTCCCTATAAAAGGTAATTGACATGCAACTTTTTTTTGATCAAGTACATAAAATACCATTATTTAAAGCATTAATATCATTTTTATATTATAAATCGTTTTCAGTGTCTCAACCTATAGAGAAAGTGCCGCCAACATCAGATCCTTGCTTACCATCACCATGTGGTTTGCATGCAGAATGTAGAAATAGCGGTGGATCAGTTTCATGTGCTTGCCAATCAGGTTACGTTGGTAATCCACCAAATTGTCGACCTGAATGTACAATCAATTCTGAATGTCCAAGCGATCAAGCCTGTATCAACGAAAAATGTCGAGATCCGTGCTCTGGAGCTTGTGGTCTGAATGCTAGATGTACAGTGTTTAATCATATTGCTCAATGTAGTTGTTTCGAAGAATACAGTGGCGATCCATTTTCGCAATGTATTTTAAAACCATTAAAAGAAGGTGAATACTTTATTTACATGTCCTTTTTTTTTGTAACATTTTCCAATTAATAGATACGTTTTCTTTTGAACTTTGGTTTTAAGTACACAAAATAATTAGTGTAATATAAACAATGTTTATAACGAATAAGTAAAAAAATAAAATATATATTGTTTTTTTTTGCAGAAATAACTGAGACAGATCTTTGTAATCCTTCTCCTTGTGGATCTAATACAAAATGTAATGATGGTGAATGTACGTGCTTACCTGGGTATTCAGGCGATCCATACTTTGGTTGTAGACCAGAATGTTTAATAAATACCGATTGTCCACAAAACAAAGCATGCGTTCAAAATAAATGTGTGGATCCTTGTTTTAATACATGCGGAATAGGGGCAAATTGCAACATCTATAATCACATACCAATGTGCACTTGTCCACAAGGTTTCTCTGGAAATGCTTTTCTAGAATGTAGAAGAATTACAGTTAGTGAAATTATTAATCCTTGCAATCCATCGCCATGTGGTCCAAATAGCCAATGTAGAGAAATCAATGGACAAGCTATTTGTACTTGTTTACCGGGTTACAAAGATGCCCCACCTACTTGTAGACCAGAATGTGTAACCAGTGCTGAATGTGCTTTGGATAAAGCTTGTTCTGGTCAGCGTTGTATTGACCCGTGTAAAGGAAATTGTGGGATCTCTGCATATTGTCAAGTAATAAACCATAATCCCATATGTTCTTGTCCAGCTGGTTTAACTGGAGATCCATTTAGTAGATGTATACAAAAAGGTATGTTACTTGCATAAGAAAGATAACGACATTTAATGTTTGTTATTAATACATATACAATAGCACACAATATTGAACATTATCTAATTCATTTAGTGTCGCGAAAATAAGCTTTGTTTAATTTTAAAAACCAACCCATCAATTAATTTATCTTATAAAATTAGTATACTAATAAAAATAATTTTAATTTTAGAAGAAAACCCCGTTTATGTGAATCCGTGTGAACCATCACCATGTGGACCAAATTCTATTTGTAAAGAAATAGCAGGTTCGCCTTCTTGTGCATGCGTGGAACAATATATAGGAAGCCCGCCCAACTGTCGCCCTGAATGTACAGCTAATAGTGAATGTTCAAATGATCTGGCATGTATCAATCAAAACTGCAAAGATCCTTGTCCTGGATCTTGTGGAATAAATGCAGAATGTAAAGTTCTCAGTCATGCACCTCAATGTGTTTGTCCAGTTGGGTTCACGGGAGATGCATTTATTGAATGTAAGATCATCGAAGTAGTTCTTACGCCTTGTTCTCCTTCGCCTTGTGGTTCTAATGCAGTATGCAAAGAACTAAACGGGGCCGGCGCTTGTGTATGTCTTCCTGAATATATTGGAAATCCTTATGAAGGCTGTCGACCAGAATGCATAGTAAATTCAGACTGTCCCCTGAACTTAGCCTGCATGCAGAATAAATGTAAAAATCCATGTGGAAATATCTGTGGACTTAATGCTGTATGTAGTGTTATAAATCACAGTCCTAAATGCGAATGTTTGCCAGGACTAATAGGCAGTCCTTACCAAGAGTGCCGAGTAAAGCCACAAGGTTAGTAACGCTGTGATTTAATAACAATAAATTGTAAATTTTTCGGTATCGAATGTGTAATATAAAATAATTTTTGACAGATATTCCAGAACTTTCCAAAAGTCCTTGCATACCATCACCATGTGGGCCTAATAGTATTTGCAAAACATCAAACGGTCAGGCTATATGTACCTGCCAACCAGAATATCTGGGATCACCTCCAGCTTGTAGGCCTGAATGTCTTGTTAGCTCTGAATGTGTACAACAACTCGCTTGCATAAGCCACAAGTGTAAAAACCCATGTGAAGGCGCATGTGGCATCAACACGGTGTGCAAAGTAATAAATCACAGTCCAATTTGCACTTGTAAACCACAACATACGGGAGATCCATTAAATCGTTGTTACAGAGGTAGGAAATAATTTGTTCAGTAACTATATTTAAAATATTATGCAATATAATTTTTCACTGTATAATTTTATTAATTGTTCTTGCAGTACTTGAGATAGAGCCAATTACGACAAATCCTTGTGCGCCTTCGCCTTGTGGACCATATTCACAATGCCAAAATATTAATGACTTACCTTCTTGCTCTTGTTTGCCGCAATACTTTGGTAATCCACCAAATTGCCGACCTGAGTGTACTATAAATACAGATTGCTCAAGTGACAAAGCATGCATAAATGAAAAGTGCATCGACCCCTGTCCAGGATCATGTGGTATTAATGCTGCATGTAGAGTTCAAAGTCATGTGTTAATATGTACTTGTCTTGAAGGTTACACTGGTGATCCATTCACAAGATGTTCTATTAAAAGGGAAATTGGTAAGATAAAATATAAAGTGTCTAATTTAAGTTTTAAAAAATCAATAGTTCTTAAAACTTAGGTAATATGGGGTTCATATATCAGATTTTAAATATTTAATATAATTTCTATTTTAGAACCAGTATCAATCAATCCTTGTAATCCTTCACCATGTGGACCTAATGCTCTATGTGATAATGGCGCATGTACTTGCATACCAGAATATCACGGTGACCCATATTTCGGCTGTCGACCCGAGTGTACGATCAGCTCAGAATGCCCAATGAATAAGGCATGTGTTAACCAACACTGTATAAACCCTTGTGACAATACTTGCGGTGAAAATGCATTATGTGAAGTCATAAAGCATATGGCTATGTGCACGTGTCCAACAAAATTGACTGGCAATGCGTTCGTCCAATGCTATCCTTTGAAAGGTATGATCATTAAGTTTAATATAAATATTAAACACCAAGCTGAAATTTTAAATGTTAAATCAGATTCTAAAAAAATATTATCAGGCCTAATTTTTTAGTTACTAACACTATTAAATAATAGTAAATCATATGATCATTATTAAAACTAATAATATCATTATTTTTTTATTGCCGACATTATGTATTTAGTTTCAAAGTCATATAAACATGCAAAGTGAAAATTAAATATATTTTTTATTACAGATATTGTTCCACGAAATCCTTGCCAACCAAGTCCCTGTGGACCTTATAGTCAATGCAAAGAATATAACAATCAAGCAGTATGTTCCTGTATGCCAGAATATCAAGGCGCACCTCCCTCTTGTCGTCCTGAATGTGTTGCGAGTTCAGATTGCGCTTCGAACAAGGCTTGTAGTAATCAAAAATGTATTAACCCATGTGAGGGAGCTTGTGGAGTAGCAGCTTTATGTCAAATCATAAACCACAATCCAATATGTACCTGCCCTAATGACATGACTGGTGACCCATTTACAAGATGTATCTTGAATCGTAAGTATAATGTATTCTAATATTATAAAGACGAAATTTTTTTTTTGTTTGTTTGTTTATTTGTATCGAATAGACTCCGAAATTACTGAACCGGTTTATATGAAATTTGGTAAGAAAATAGTTTGAGACCTGGGAAGGACATAGGATAATTTTTATCCCACAAATAATCTCTTAAGGGGGTGAAAAATGGGGGTGAAAGTTTTTATGGGGAAGCAACCTAGGGACGAACCCGAGCGAAGTGAGGGTGAGTCGCTAGTTAATAATATCGGTAAAACATTTTACCAAGCATAGTGTTATCTAAATAAAATAATGTAATAATAATATTATTCGACACTTATTTTTCAGCTCTGTCGGAACCTACAGTTGCAAAAAAACCTTGCCTACCTTCACCTTGTGGACCGAATTCTATTTGTCAAGAGACTGCTTCAGAAACACCGTCATGTCAATGTATGCCAGAGTATATTGGTTCACCTCCTTATTGCCGTCCAGAATGTATATCGAACAGTGAATGCTCACCGCAACTAGCATGTATTAATAAGAAATGCCAGAATCCATGTATACAAGCATGTGGTACGAACGCAGAATGCAGAGTTGTAAGCCACAGTGCTGCGTGTGTCTGTCCTGAAGGTTATAGTGGAGATGCAGCTGTACAATGTATATTAAATGCTTTAATACCCCTCGAATCTATATCCCCTTGCTCACCTTCACCATGTGGACCAAATGCTGAGTGTAGAGAAAGATCAGGAACCGGTGCCTGTATTTGTTTAGTAGGCTATTTTGGAAATCCCTATGAAGGTTGCCATCCGGAATGTGTCGTAAACTCAGATTGTTCTAGCAATAAGGCATGCACAAAAAATAAATGTATGGATCCCTGTCCAGGCACGTGTGCAATAAATGCAGATTGCCAGGTAGTAAATCATTCGCCTTTATGTACTTGCCGAGCTGGATACACTGGGGATCCGTATAAATACTGTACTTTAAGAGGTACGTTTTAATTGTTTTAATAAGGTTGTTGGTTATATATTTTGTTTTAAGAATTATTATACATATGATTATTTTCAATGTTGCTCTAATATATTCTTGTTACATTTAAGAACGTGAAGAAACGCCAACAAATCCTTGCCAACCATCACCTTGTGGACCTAATAGTCAGTGTAGAATTTCAAATGGGCAAAGTGTATGTTCTTGTTTGCCGGAATATCGCGGAACACCGCCTAATTGTAGGCCGGAGTGTGTAGTGAGCTCTGAATGTGCCTCAGACAAAACTTGTAAAAATCAAAAATGTGTGTCTCCATGTCCAGGACCATGTGGACAAAATACAGACTGTCGTGTGATTAATCATAGCCCAATATGTACGTGCATTAACAGATTTACCGGTGATCCCTTTTCAAATTGTTATAAAATAACAGGTAATATTTATTTTTTCTCAATTGGATATATTGTTGACAGAAATATTTTTATTTATTTTGTTAACTTATTAGTGCCAGTCCGAGTTCCACAAGAAGTCGATCCGTGTATGCCATCTCCGTGTGGACCAAACTCGCTATGTCAAAACCGTAACGGCATTCCATCTTGTTCGTGTCAATCAAACTTTGAAGGAAGTCCACCGAATTGCCATCCTGAATGTACTATTAATGAGGATTGTTTAAGCGATCTTGCTTGTATCAATCAAAAGTGCAAAGATCCTTGTCCAGGCTCTTGTGGAATTAACGCTAACTGTCACGTTATGAAACATGTCGCTATTTGCACTTGTGATGAAGGCTATACTGGAAATGCGTTTACTCAATGTAATACTATACCGATAAAAGGTAAATTGGTATGATTTGTAAGTTAATGTAACCCACAGTTCTTTTTTTCATATTAATTTTTATATTTTGTTATAGTACAAGATGATTTATGTAATCCATCGCCATGTGGGGCAAACGCTGAATGTAACAATGGTAAATGTAGTTGTATATCGGAGTTCCAAGGAGATCCATATAGTGGCTGTCGACCTGAGTGTGTCCAAAGTTCAGATTGTGAACGTGATAGATCATGTATTAAGAACAAATGCTTAGATCCGTGTCCCGGAACCTGCGCATCCACTGCAGTTTGTAATGTCGTTAATCATATTCCAATGTGTAGTTGCCCTGAACGCATGACAGGCAACGCGTTCTTAGAATGTCGACCAATTACAGGTAAAATTTGATTAATATTATTGAAATAATAATAAAGAAATATTAGTAATAGTTTCAAAATACGTGTTAATATACAGTACACAGAACTTGGCTATATTTGTAATACAGCAAACAGGGTAGATTATTTTCATGAATGATATTTTCAGAATCTGTAAATGTCAACCCATGTCATCCGTCTCCATGTGGTCCCAATAGTCAATGCAGAGAGGTCAATGGTCAGGCTGCTTGTTCTTGTGCTCCAAATATGATCGGATTTCCTCCTGCTTGTCGCCCAGAATGTACTATAAGCGCCGAATGTCAACTCGATCAAGCATGCAGTAATCAACGATGTATCAATCCCTGTGTTGGTGCGTGTGGCGTAAATGCAGAATGCAAAGTAGTTAATCATAATCCTATTTGCACATGTCCAATGTTTTTTACCGGAGATCCATTCTCGCGATGTTTTGCTCTTCGTAAGTACTAAGTGGAGGTTTCTATTCATATTTTTTTAATCATAGTAAAATACTACAATTTTATTTTATTTTTTCATAGCGGAAAAACTTCCTGAAACCACAAATGTGTGCGTACCTTCACCATGTGGGCCTAATTCGATCTGTAAAGAAATAAATAGTGTACCATCCTGCACATGCCAAGAAGGTTATCAAGGCCAGCCTCCTAATTGCAAACCTGAATGTACAAGTAATGAGGAATGTCCATCACATTTATCCTGTGTTCGAATGAAATGTATAAATCCATGTGAAGGTGTTTGTGGCTTAAATGCAGAGTGTAAAGTAGTTAGTCACTCACCTATCTGCCTATGTGCCATTGGATTTACTGGCGATCCTTTCTTTGGGTGCACTCGCCAAATTTTACAAATTGAGGCTTTTTCTACACCATGCTCACCTTCACCATGTGGTGCAAATGCTAAATGTAAAGAAAAACATAACGCTGGATCATGCACTTGCATAGAAGGATACATCGGCAATCCATATGAGGGCTGTCGTCCAGAATGTGTAATCAATACTGACTGTCCATCTAATAGAGCATGTGTAAATAGTAAATGCACAGATCCTTGCCCTGGAAGTTGTAGCCAAAATGCTGTTTGTCAAGTGGTAAATCACGTTCCTTTGTGTACATGCTTAAGTGGTTATACTGGGGATCCTTTTAAATATTGTGTTTACCAAGGTTTGTATTCACTGCTACTAACTTCAATCTTATATTAAACATGTGTGATACTTTTCTTTGTAAGAGAGACAAGACATAAGTTAATACTATTATTATTTCAGAACCAATTTCACCAATCTCATCAACTGATGTCTGTTATCCTTCCCCATGTGGTCCTAATAGTCAGTGTAAGGCTAGCAATAGTCAAGCAGTATGCTCCTGTTTATCAGGTTATGAAGGAACACCACCAAATTGTCGACCAGAATGTGTAGTAAGTTCTGAATGTCCACTGGACAGAGCGTGTGTTAACAACAAATGTTTAAATCCTTGTCCAAAGCCTTGTGGAACCAATGCTAATTGTAAAATGATTAATCACAGCCCGATATGTTCATGTAGGACTTCTTACACCGGTGATCCTTTTACATTATGCACTCCTATAAGCTGTAAGTGTTATATGCCGAATTTTGCAATTTAAGTTACAAATTTATTTCTTATCCTTCACACTAAAATACGCTGTTTTTTGCAGTTGAGCCAATACGTGACATCAGTAACCCATGTGTACCATCACCATGTGGTCCAAATGCAGAATGTCGAAATATTGGAAATACTCCTTCTTGCTCTTGCCTAATAAACTTCATTGGAAGTCCACCAAACTGTCGCCCGGAATGTAGTATACACTCAGATTGTCCCAGCGACCGTGCATGTATAAATTCAAAATGTCAAGATCCTTGTCCTGGCTCATGCGGTGTGTCTGCTTCATGCAGCGTTCTTAATCATATTCCAATTTGTACATGCCTTGAAGGCTATATTGGAGATCCATTTACAAGTTGCAGGCTGCAGCCATTAGAAGGTATTAAAAATTGTTTTGAATCCTAGATTCAAAATAGTTATTTTACTTTAAATATATTTTTGAAGTTATACTTCTTTTGGCACATTTGGAAAAAATTGTGAGAGTAAAGTTTTTACGATGATCACGCACATCGACAGCCAAAAAACGACATGATGAAGTTAGTTGCATTTCTTTTACAAACAGAGAGTTGACTATGTTGAATAGGATGAAATCTTTAGCTATTTTTGTTCTGTTACGCCAAAGAAGTATAACTTCTAACGTGCGTCCATAAGTACACACACACTTTTTTTTACAGTGGAACCTGTCGTTTTGGACGTTTGTACAAACGTCCGTTGTGGCTCCAATGCTGAATGTATCAATGGCCAATGCCAATGTCTATCTGAATATCACGGGGATCCATATTTTAACTGTCGACCTGAGTGCGTGTTTAGTACAGACTGTGAAGCAACAAAAGCTTGTATTCATCAGAAATGTGTCGATCCTTGTATTGGAACTTGTGGAATAAATGCAATTTGCCTAGTAGTAAATCATATACCAATGTGTAGTTGTAACAGTGGGTTTACCGGAAACGCTTTCGTTTTATGTAATCCTGTTAGAGGTAACTATATATAAAATAATCTAATAAAACATATATATGTATATCTGTATATTTTTCGTGGTACAAACATAGATAAATATACAGACATTTTTTATTTCTTATGTTAGAGAATATTTAACTCTATATATATTTTTTATTTTAGTTCCAGCATCTGAACATCCTTGCACTACGGCCGTATGTGGACCTAATAGTCAATGTCGTGAAATAAATAATCAAGCTGTATGTTCTTGTTTGCCAACATATTTGGGTGTACCGCCAGCTTGTCGCCCTGAATGTGTAGTTAGTGCTGAATGTTCTCAAAGCCAAGCTTGTAACAAACAAAAGTGTGTTAATCCATGTATAGGATCTTGTGGTTTGAGGGCTACCTGCGAAGTAATAAATCATAATCCAGTATGTGCCTGCCCAGATGGATCATCGGGAGATCCATTTGTGGAATGCTCATTTATACAAAGTAAATATAGCTAAAAAATTAATTCTTGTGCGCTTCGATAAAATATTTAATTAATTAATTAATAACGTTTATTACAGATGTACCACCTTTAGTTGTAAATCCTTGTCAACCTTCACCATGTGGACCTAACTCTATTTGCTTAGATGTAAATGAAAATCCATCGTGCACTTGTAAGCCAGAATATAAAGGACAACCACCGTATTGCAAACCAGAATGTATCAGCAATAGCGAATGTTCGCCACATTTAGCTTGTATTAATCAAAAATGCAAAGATCCTTGTGTTAGTGCATGCGGTAGGAACGCTGAGTGCCGCGTTGTTAGCCACTCGGCTATGTGTGTATGCCCACAAGGCTACGAAGGTGATCCATTCACTCAATGTTTTATAAAAACAGCTATTGAAATTTTAACACCATGTTCTCCAATGCCCTGTGGATCAAATGCAATATGCAAAGAACAAAATAAAGTAGGATCATGCATATGTAACGAAGGTTATTTTGGAAACCCATATGAAGGATGTCGTCCTGAATGTGTGTCTAACTCTGATTGCCCTGGAAATAGAGCTTGCATTAATAATAAGTGTCAAGATCCTTGCCCTGGAACATGTGGACTAAACGCAGAGTGTTCTACTATTAACCATTCACCATCCTGTATATGCATTTCGGGCTATACTGGAGATGCATTTAGAAGATGTACTGCAATACCATGTAAGTTACTAACAATAGTAATAAAAACAACAACGCTAATAATAAGAATCGATTTGTATATCTTAACATTAACACCTATTATCACCTTCAATTACTAAGCGAACCTGCAATGTTTGACATTATATTTATTAATATTGTACTAAAAACTTTTTCCAGTGCAATCCACTACTCCTGTGAACGGGTGCTACCCTAGTCCTTGCGGGCCAAATAGTCAATGTAAGAATATAAACGATCAAGCGGTGTGCAGTTGTTTACCAAACTACTTTGGTGAACCACCAGCTTGCAGACCAGAATGTGTTCTAAGTTCAGATTGTACGTCAGATAAATCATGCATAAACCAAAAATGTGTTAACCCTTGCCCTGGGCCTTGTGGCCAAAATTCTGACTGTCGAGTGATTCATCACAATCCTATATGCAGCTGTCTGCCAGGCTATATGGGAGATCCGTTTACAAGGTGTTACATTAAACCAGGTACATATATTATTGTAACTCGTTAATATAACTTTTTAATTTAATTTTTCCATGTATTAAAATTGTTTAAATTACTTCAGTGTCACAACCACAATTTGATGAAATTAGAGATCCATGCGTACCGAGTCCTTGTGGTCAAAATGCTTTATGTCATACTATTGGAAAACAAGCAGCATGTTCCTGCTCTCCAGGATACTTTGGCAGTCCACCCAATTGTAAACCGGAATGTACCACAAACGAGGATTGCATTAGCTCTCTAGCATGTACTAATGAAAAATGTATTGATCCTTGTCTTGGATCTTGTGGTAAAAACGCTAAATGTCTTGTTATAATGCATGTAGCTATTTGTTCATGTCTTGAAGGATACAATGGCGATCCGTTCTCAGCCTGTGAAATAAAACCAGTACAAGGTATTTAAGTATAAACAAATTTGAATTTTCTTTAAATATAATTACTATTAAGAGTTCATTAACATTTTTTTATATTTTACTTTACAGATATTCAAAGTGATCCATGTAATCCATCGCCATGTGGCTCTAACGCAGTATGTAATGATGGTGAATGTTCTTGTTTACCCGAATATCACGGTGACCCATATGTAGGTTGTAGACCAGAGTGTACAGTCAGTACAGACTGTGCAAGAAATTTAATTTGCAACTCTAAAAAATGTGTGAACCCATGCCCAGATATGTGTGGCAGCAATGCCATGTGCGAAGTAGTTAATCACGTTCCTATGTGCAGCTGCCCTGTTGGTTTTACAGGAAATTCTTTCGTTTCTTGTAATCCTGTTAAAGGTATTAAAAGTATATTTACTCAGCATTTTTTTTTCATTTCTCTGTTAAATTTTAATTTATTTATATCTTATTTACAGTTTCATTGCCTTCAAATCCCTGCAACCCAAGTCCATGCGGACCAAATAGTCAATGTCACGAAACAAACAACATCGCAGTGTGTTCATGCTTACCGGAATATAAAGGATATCCACCAACCTGCCGACCGGAATGCACAACTAGTTCAGAATGCCCCTTAAATAAAGCTTGTAACAATTACAAATGCATAAACCCATGTAATGGTGCGTGTGGTATTAGAGCGATCTGTGAAGTTGTCAATCATAATCCTATTTGCTCATGCCCAGCCGATTATACTGGAGATCCGTTTAGTAGATGTGTACCTAAGCGTAAGTACTTTATCGTTGCTAATAATTGTACAAATTAAACAAATAACAAATTGTTATTATTAACTATAAAATTTTATTTTGTAGCTTTAGAAACACCACCACAAATAAACCCATGCGTTCCATCCCCTTGTGGGCCTAATTCGGTATGTCAGTCTATAAATGATTCACCTTCTTGCTCGTGTATGCTGACATTTGTAGGAATTCCACCAAACTGTCGACCAGAATGCACGAGTAATAGCGAATGTCCTAACAACTTAGCTTGTATAAATAGCAAGTGTAAAGATCCATGTCTGGGGGCTTGTGGCTCGCTGGCACAATGTCGGGTGGTCAGTCATACTCCTAATTGTTTGTGCCCACAAGGATATACGGGAGATCCTTTCGTAGCATGTCAAGTACAAAGCATACTAGGGAACGAAATTCTGTCACCTTGTACTCCTTCACCATGCGGAAGTAACGCCATATGTAAGGAACGCAATAACATTGGTTCATGTATCTGCTCTCCTGGTTATTTCGGAAATCCATATGAAGGATGTCGACCCGAATGCACTGTAAATACTGATTGCCCATCAAATCGAGTATGCCAACAAAACAAGTGTCAAGATCCTTGTCCAGGAACGTGTGGCGTAAACGCTGACTGCCAAATAGTTAATCATGCACCCTTATGCAACTGCATTCCAGGATATACTGGAAATCCATTCCAAAATTGTTACTTCAAACAAGGTAAATATAATTTATTTGAGCAAATAAACATCATAACTCTTTGAAACATACTTAATGCTAATTATTAATATTTACAGATATAGAATTACCATCTGATCCTTGTAATCCTTCACCTTGCGGACCCAATAGTATTTGCAAAGTTCATAACGAGCAAGCGATTTGCAGTTGTATACAAGAATATCAAGGCAGTCCTCCAAATTGCAGACCAGAGTGTATTATTAGCGCTGAATGTCCGTCTGATAAGGCGTGTGTTTCACAAAAATGTATTAATCCCTGTATTGGACAATGTGGACAAAATACAAAATGTTTAGTAATTAATCATAGCCCTATTTGCACATGCATAGAACGTTTTACCGGGGATCCTTTCAGTCGATGTTACCCAATCGAAGTGTACATACCAGAAAAACATAGCAATCCGTGCTTACCATCACCCTGCGGTCCATTTAGTGAATGTAGAGAAAACAAAGGTGTTCCATCTTGTACTTGCCTTGAAAATTATCTAGGTTCACCACCAAATTGTAGACCTGAGTGCGTTATAAATGCTGACTGTTCTAGTAATTTAGCATGTATTAATCAAAAATGTAAAGACCCTTGCCCCGGATCTTGCGGTATTAACGCGCAATGTGTAGTTAAAAATCATACGCCAATTTGTACATGCTATGAAAATTACATAGGAAATGCATTTATAGAATGTAAAATTCAAGGTAAAATATCTATTCAATAAATATATAATACAATATTTTAGCATTATTAAGCATAAATTATATTATACAATGTTTTTCTTGTCATTTTTACAGAAATCATAAGCGATGAGAGTAACGATCCTTGTAATCCGTCGCCATGTGGTGCAAATGCAATATGTAACAATGGAGAGTGCACATGCCTTCAAGATTATAAAGGCGATCCCTACTTCGAATGCCGTCCGGAATGTATTCTTAGCTCAGATTGCCCACAGAATAAGGCTTGCTATAAAAATAAATGCGTTAATCCGTGCAATAGTGGTGTCTGTGCAAACAATGCTATTTGTGAAGTTATAGGTCATATACCTATGTGCCGATGTCCTGAAAGGATGACTGGAAATGCATTCGTACAATGTTTACAATTAATAGGTAAAGCAGATATTTTAATAAAATCTAAACTCAAAAAATTGACGTATTAAAACTCTTCTTTTATATATATAAATAAAAATGAATGTTGGTAAGCGCATAACTCAAGAATGGCTGGACCAATTCGCCTACATTTTTTTCGTATGTTTTAATAAAGATGAAAAATGAAAAATTAACGACAAATTAATTAAAATTTATATGGCTAACGCTGGCTAATAACTATTTATATCTATTTAAAATGTCCCTAGCGACGAATCCGAGCGAAGCGAGGGTGAGCCGCTAGTTTATAATATAAAATCAAACTATTTTCTTATATTATTTTAAAAATAACGTATTAAGTAAATATATATCATTAAGTACATACTACATAATAATTCTGTTTTCGTTTTAGTTGAAAGACCTGAACCATGTCAACCTAGTCCATGTGGCCCGAACAGTCAATGTCGCAATATAAATGGGCAACCCGTGTGTTCATGTTTATTGGGATATATTGGTAGCCCGCCATCATGTAGACCTGAATGTATTGTCAGCACTGACTGTTTACCAGACGAAGCTTGTAGTAACAGGAAATGTACTAAGCCTTGTCAGGGAGCTTGTGGTATAGGAGCAAAATGTCAAATCATAAATCATAATCCAATATGTTCCTGTCCATCCTCATACACTGGAGATCCATTTATTCGATGTATTCTCCAAGAATTTAAACCAGAATCGATTAATACCTGCGTTCCCTCTCCTTGTGGGCCAAATTCAATTTGTAAAGAGGTCTCAGGCACACCTATTTGTTCATGTAAGCCAGAATACGTTGGAGCGCCACCATATTGTAAGCCAGAATGCATAAGTAACTCTGAATGTCCTACTAATCGTGCCTGTATAAATGAAAAATGTGTTGACCCATGCGAATCGTCTTGTGGTTTCAACGCAGAATGTCATGTTATAAGTCACTCACCCTCATGTTCATGTTCATCTGATTACACTGGAAATCCTTTTATTGAATGTCACAGAATTGAAATGGTAAATGAAGTTTTGTCACCCTGTGAACCTTCACCTTGTGGGGCAAATGCTGTGTGTAACGAGCTAAACGGTGCAGGCTCTTGCACTTGTTTACCTGATTTTCTTGGTAACCCATACGAAGGTTGTAGACCTGAATGTCTAATTAATTCAGATTGCCCGTCACATAAAGCCTGCATAGTAAATAAGTGTCAAGATCCATGCCCTGGAGCTTGTGCACCAAATGCTATATGTCAAGTAGTAAATCATGCACCATCTTGCTCCTGTAATTTAGGCTTTACGGGAGATCCATTTAGATACTGTATGCCAAAACGTAAGTTAACTTAAATCTATAATATTTGCTTATCTATACATATAATAAAATTTTAACTAAATCGAATGTGTACATTAAATATTTTTTGGAAAATCATTTATTCATTCAAGTCATTATTATCGACACAGATGCCGAATCTATAGTTTTTAGAATGTTTGTATATCTGTCTGTCTGTGACCGCATCACGAGAAAACCACTAGACAGATTTTGATGAAATTTGGTATGATGATAACTGGTTATCCAGGTTAAAATATCTTATTTTTAATAAATTTATACTAAACCTTAAAACGTAATTAGCGACCAACGCGAGCGGAGCGAGGGTGAGTTACTAGTTAGATATAATGTTAAATTTAATATCTACTAATTATTTCTTACAGAAATAGAAGATATACCTCAAAATATATGTCAACCTTCTCCTTGTGGACCCAATAGTCGTTGTCAAGAAGTAAATAAGCAAGCTGTGTGCTCATGTATGCCAAACTACATTGGTTCGCCTCCGGGATGCCATCCTCAATGCATAATTAGCTCGGAATGTCCAAGTAACAAAGCTTGTTTAAATCAGAAATGTGTTGATCCATGTCTTGACGCTTGTGGAACAAACACCGAATGCAGAGTTATAAATCACAGCCCCATATGTAACTGTAAAACTCTCTACACTGGTGATCCATTTACGAGATGCAATCCTTTGCCACGTAAGTTAAAATAAAGGCAATTAATATGAAAACTTTAATAAAAATAAACAATAACTATCTATATATTAATATTTTTTCCAGCGCCAGTTGCAAATTCTGTTTTGGAACCATATAAAAACCCTTGCGTACCATCGCCATGTGGACCTAATTCTATATGTCAAGAGATTGGTGAAATACCATCGTGTACATGTATGCCAAATTACATTGGAAGTCCACCTAACTGTAGACCAGAATGTGTCGTCAACTCTGAATGTCTTCCATTACTAGCTTGTATCCAACAGAAATGTCAAGACCCTTGTGAAGGTTCTTGCGGAATAGGAGCATTGTGCTCAGTTTCGAGACACACACCTATCTGTTCATGTCCTGAAGGCTACACTGGTGACGCTTTCAGTCTGTGTATCCCAAAACCATCAGTTGGTGAGATACTTTTATCATTTATATACACAATCTGTACTCATTTATTAATTTGGTTTTTTTTATAGCAAGGATTTATACCTAAATTTTTCTTTTAGTTTCAGATGTTATTGATAAATGCAATCCATCACCTTGCGGAACAAACGCTATATGTGATGATGGTCAATGTTCGTGTATAAATGACTACCAAGGAGATCCGTACATTGGATGCAGGCCGGAATGTGTTCTTAGCAGTGATTGTCCTAAAAATAGAGCATGTATTCAGAACAAATGTGAAGACCCTTGTCCTGGAGCATGTTCCAATTCAGCTGTTTGTGATGTTATAAACCACGTGCCCATGTGTAGCTGTCCACAAGGCATGACAGGCAATGCTTTTTATAGTTGTGAAACAATAAAAGGTAAGTAACTTAAGTAACAATTTATAAATTTATAAGATTTTTCTATACTAATATTATAAAGAGGTAAAGTTTATGAGTTTGTGAGTTTGTGAACTGTGAGTTTGTGACGTTGTAGGGGGTAATCTCTTGATCTACTAAACCGATTTAGATGAAATTTGTTAAGAAGATAGTTTGAGCCCCTGGGCAGGACATAGGATACTTTTTATCCCGGAAATTATCCCTTAAGTGGGTGAAAATGGGGATAAAAGTTTGTATGGGGAAGCAAGGTAGGGACAAACCCAAGCGAAGCGAGGGTGAGTCGCTAGTATTTAATAATTTGGGACGAGGACACAGACCTAAAACATTTTTTTATTTCCAGCTCCAATCAAAAGTGACCCATGTGTACCGTCTCCTTGCGGACCAAATAGTCAATGCCGGGAAATCAATGGTCAAGCAGTTTGTATATGTCTTTCTGGATATAAAGGAAGTCCACCATTGTGTCGACCTGAGTGTGTGGTGAGCTCAGATTGTCCCGCAAATAAGGCATGTAGCAATCAAAAATGTATAGATCCATGCCGAGGATCGTGTGATGTAGAAGCTAAATGCTCTGTTATTAAACACAATCCTATATGCACATGCCCACCTAAATATACAGGGGACCCATTTACAAGATGTTTACCATTTAGTAAGTAAAATTATATTTTATGTTCTAAAATGTAAATAATATAGTTAAGTAGGAAAATATTAAATATTTATCATTAAATTGCAGGTCCTGTAGTTGCAGATGTATCGCCATGTACTCCGTCACCATGCGGATTTAATGCTATCTGTAAAGATATATCCGGCGCCCCTTCGTGTGCTTGCATGCCGAATTTCTTTGGCTCTCCTCCTTATTGTAGACCTGAATGTTCTAGTAACAGTGAATGTCCGACCAATAAAGCGTGTATTAACCAAAAATGTAATGATCCTTGTATTAGTGCTTGTGGCCAAAATGCAAATTGCAAAGTTATAAGTCACTCACCATTATGTTTCTGCGACGTCGGATATGAAGGTGACGCATTTTCAAATTGCCGACCTCTACCACAACGAATTCCTGAATATTCTTCGCCTTGTGAGCCTTCTCCGTGTGGTGCAAATGCTATATGTAAAGAACGTAACTCAGCTGGATCCTGTATTTGTCTACCTGATTATATTGGGAATCCCTACGAAGGGTGTCGTCCTGAATGCACAGTGAATACTGATTGCACACCAAATAAGAGTTGTATTCGTAACAAATGCCAAGATCCTTGCCCTGGAACATGTGCACCACAGGCTACGTGTGTGACAGTTAATCATCTACCAGTTTGCACATGCTCTCCTGGCTTCACTGGTGATCCATATAGTAGATGCAATGTTCTTAAAGGTAACATAGACAAGCAATATCCAATATATTATATATGTAAATACCTCAGCGTAAATAATTATATATATATATATATATATATATATATATATATATATATAGCGTAAATAATTTAACAAAAGTTTATTTAAATCTCAAAATACTAATTCTTATTATGTTATAATTGAACGTAAAAATCTTTGTTATAGAAACAAACGTAGAACCAGTTACGCCGTGTGTGCCGAATCCTTGTGGACCTAATAGTATATGTCGTCCAGTCAATGGCCAAAGTGTGTGCTCTTGCATGCCTAATTATATAGGTTCTCCTCCAGGATGTAGACCAGAATGCACAGTTAGTACAGAATGTCCGACTAACAAAGCCTGTATAAATTTAAAATGTGTGGATCCATGCCCCAGTCATTGTGGAACAAATTCTGAATGTAAAGTGTTTACACATAGTCCTATTTGCTCGTGTAAACCAGGTTACACAGGAGATCCATTTACAAGATGCTATCAACAACGTAAGTGACAAAGAACTATGTAATAACTTCCTTCAATCGTGCTTATGATAATTTATGAAAGCTTAATTATTAATCTGAATATACACACATATATGTATAATTCAAAAGATTTTTCTTTTGTCATATTATCACGTAAAATCTACTGAGCGTATCAGACTTTAATCAAGTGACGCGAATACGTATATTTCTGTGTAGAAAATAATCTTAATTTTGTTTTAGCAGCAATTCAAGTATTTTCGGAAACACCTAAAGATCCATGTGTCCCTAGCCCATGTGGTGAAAATGCAGTGTGCAGGAATAATAATGGTTTTCCGTCATGTTCGTGTTTGCCAAACTTCCAAGGGCTTTCACCTAATTGCCGTCCAGAATGTGCCATAAATCAAGACTGTCCGTCAAATATGGCATGTATTAATATGAAATGTCGTGATCCATGTCCTGGTAGCTGTGGTCAAAACGCTATTTGTACAGTATTTAGTCATTTCCCTACTTGCTCATGTATTCAAGGCTTTAGCGGTGATCCGTTTACTAGGTGTATTTTAATTTCACCTATGGAAGGTAACTAACTTCACCATAAATAAACTATTTGAATAAGATATGTATCCGTTTTCTTAAACTTAATGTTCTTTTAGATGAATTTATTCAAGATCCTTGTAATCCATCGCCCTGTGGCTTTAATACGGAATGTAACAATGGAATTTGCACTTGTTTGAATAACTTTTATGGAGATCCATATTTAGGCTGCAAACCAGAATGTGTGACAAATATGGAATGTTCTCTAGATAAAGTGTGCTCAAGAAACAAATGCGTAAACCCTTGTCCAGCGGCTTGTGCTCCAACAGCAGAATGCAATGTATATAATCATATCCCTATTTGCTCATGTCCAGTAGGAATGACAGGAAATGCTTTCAGGGAATGTAACAGAGTTGAAGGTAAGTTAGAAAATTAAAACATTTTTAATAAAGCCATTATCAACTTCTCATCTACAATGTACCACCCATATGCCACACCACAGATAGTGTCTGAAAAAAATATATTTATTTACGCCTCGTTTTTCAATTTATTACGTTACATATGTTACAAAAGATACAACTTTTTAATTATGGGGTAAACAGATGTTTATTGTAAGCAATGGAATAGGATGCCGTGCGCACGGTGGTGTTACTAGGCGATGGAGTTGCTCCCTCTCGGGTATCCCCCAGCCCCACGAGAAGTTTTTTTAGGGGTGACAGCATCGATAGCCTCCCCGAGTGTCACTCATGCTTAGTTGTATGTAATTGAAACCAAGAAAGCTTTTTTTTAAGAAACTGTAACAAAGTGTTATCTTAACATTAAAAAAAAACAATTAAAATAATAATATTGTGTATATTTCAGTTTCAACAGTGCAACCGTGTAATCCAAGTCCATGCGGACCGAACAGTCAATGCCGAACAGTTAATAACCAAGCAGTTTGCTCATGTTTGCCGTCATTTATTGGTAGTCCGCCTTCATGCCGACCAGAATGCACTATAAGCGCTGAATGTCCACTAGATGAAGCCTGCAATAATCAGAAATGTATTAATCCTTGTATCGGTAGTTGTGGTTACGGTGCAAGGTGTGAAGTAATCAATCATAATCCTATATGCTCTTGTCCTGCACAATATACTGGCGATCCGTTCTCAAATTGTATTTCAATAGGTTAGTGCATCTCTGTATTAAATTCAAATTATTTTTATAATTTTTTTACTAAATTTAAATTACTATTTCAATTTAATTTTGTTGTCTTTTTGTGTCATATGAACATTATATTTTCAGTCTCCACTCCGTTAGCAACTATTGATCCTTGTTCACCATCGCCGTGTGGACCATATTCTATTTGTAAATTTATCGGCGAGTCACCTTCTTGTTCTTGCCAACCTAATTATATCGGATCTCCACCAAACTGCCGCCCGGAATGTATAAGTAATTCAGAATGTCCTATCAATGAGGCTTGTATAAACCAAAAGTGCAAAGACCCTTGTCCTGGAAGTTGCGGATATAATGCCGATTGTAAAGTCGTCAGCCATGCATTAATTTGTTCGTGTCCCTACGGTGAAACAGGTGACCCGCTAACATCTTGCAGTCCATTAAAAGGTAAGGTTGAGACAATTATATAAAATGCTATCAATAAAATATACATTTATTCAATACTAATAAAACTCTATATCTATATATAATCTATATCTATAAGTAGTGACTTACCCTAGCTTCGCTCGAATTCGTCACTGCGTCCGTTTTTTTTTTATTATGTTGGGACAATAACACACAGCACCATCTAGTTCCATGGTAAGCTACGAGGTCTGTGTTATGGATAACTGATAATTGATACACTACACATTTATAACTTTAAATACATACGTATTTTAAATATAAACAACCATGACTGGAGTACAAACATTCGTATTGATCGCACAAATGAATGCCACCAAAGGGACTCGAACCCGCGACCGCTGGCACAGCAAGTAGGATCACTACAAACGGAGCCAAACGTGCGAGTTTAGGACATACTCATGGTTGATATTGCGGATTTTTCTATAGGTCTTTTTAAGTTAAACCTTGTTAAGCTAACTTGTTTAGCTAGTGTTACTCCTTTAAATTTTTAAGGATGACTCAAACCCGTTATCGTGTTTTTATGTGGAAACGAAAGATTTTCATGTAGTAAAAGGTATAGGTACTAAATATTGACTCGAGTAATAAGTTATCATTAAACAAAATTGGGTTAAAATCGGTTCAGTGCTTTTTTGCGTGAAACGTACACAAACCTTTTTATATTTTATTTATTAGGAAGCCTACGTTATATACAAAGAATACATTCCTTAACTTAATATAGTTATATATATAAAAATTGTTACAAAGTATATCACAATTACAGGGTAACTTAACATGCAAATAATAATTGTTGAACTAAGAAAAAGGTTCTCGCTCACTTATGTTCAAAAAAATAATAAAAAATGAAATAAATCTAACATTTAAATAACAAAATATCTATGTAAAAAAAGAAAAAAAGGCATCATACAGGCAAATAGACAAAAAATGTATAACTATTGTTTTGGTGTCTATATTCTGTACACAATACGTTACAGTCATAATTTTTTTTTAATATTTCGTGTATCGGTATCGTTAAGTTACTATTTTATTATATGTAAAACTATTAACTTTTTTTTCTTGTCAGATTCTGTTATCGAATATAGTTCTCCTTGTGATCCCTCACCTTGTGGTCTCAATGCAGCGTGTTCCGAAAGAAATAGTGTTGGCTCATGTAAATGCCTCAAAGATTTCATAGGTGATCCTTACGAAGGATGTCGACCGGAATGCGTGCTTAATACTGATTGCAGCCCTAGACTAGCTTGTATTCAAAATAAATGTAAAGACCCCTGTCCTGGAATATGTGCACCAAACGGTATTTGTCAAGTTATAAATCACCTACCGTCATGCTACTGTCCGCCCGGTCTTACTGGAGATGCTTATACTTACTGTGTACAAAAAGTTGAAGGTAAGTTACTAAAAAATACTTTAAAATTAACTATATATATATATATATATATATATATATATATATATATATATATATATATATATATATATAGTTAATTTTAAAGTATTTTTTTTGTAAAGTTGTTATTAAAACTGATAGTCTATTTTAAATACGACATACTTTTTTCAGATGACGTCAAAGTAACTCCTTGTACACCATCTCCCTGCGGACCAAATAGTCAGTGTCGTGAGGTTAACTCACAGGCAGTGTGTAGTTGTAGCGATACATTTATGGGTACTCCACCTAATTGCCGCCCAGAATGTACTATAAATAGTGAATGCGCCCCAGATAAGGCGTGTGTCAATAGGAAATGTGTTGATCCCTGTAGAGACCAATGCGGTAGAAACGCTAATTGTAGAGTTATTGCGCACAACCCTATGTGCTCATGTCAAGAACTCTTTACAGGAGATCCATTTTCGTATTGTATGCCTCGTAAGTATTGATTTTGACTGTTAATAATTTGTGTGTTATTAATCAAATATATTATTACCACATTGAAAGCATTAAAATCTCATTTACTCTTCATTTTTAGAACTAACATCGATAGTGCCGCAACAAGATATTAATCCTTGTGTGCCATCGCCCTGCGGCCCAAGCGCGCGTTGTGAAGAAAACAATGGCATTCCTCGTTGCAGCTGCCTCCCGAACTACTCCGGGACGCCTCCGCGTTGCCGCCCGGAATGTACTGTCAATTCCGAGTGTAATGCAATCAAAGCCTGCATAAATAATCGTTGTACGGACCCTTGTCCAGGCGCATGTGGAAGTAACGCCCAATGTATAGTTAACAATCATCTTCCCATTTGTTCTTGTCTACCGAGCTATACAGGTGATCCATTTACGAGTTGCAACTTCATAATCCAAGGTATTATAGGTATTTTATTCTATTTTTACTTGTAATTGTGAAAACAATACATGAAAGATCCAGAATAACACTTTTTTTACACTTTACAGACATCGAGCCAATTAATAAATGTTCTCCATCTCCATGCGGAACTAATTCAGTTTGCAATGAGGGTATTTGCTCTTGTTTGCCAGAATATTACGGAGATCCTTATTTCGGATGTAAACCTGAATGTATATTGAATTCTGATTGCCAACGCAACAGAGCTTGCATTAGAAACAAATGTAACGATCCTTGTGTAGGAACATGTGGAAGTGATGCAACCTGCGATGTTATTAATCACATACCAGTATGCTCGTGCCCCTTAGGAACTACAGGCGATCCTTTCCATTACTGCACAAAACTAATAGGTAACGGCTATTATTATTCTATTTATTTTAATACATATTGTTAATTATTCCTGTAAGATATATTTATATGTATATTATGATATATAATTATTATTAATATATAACCTATATCAATAGTATAAGAATTTAATTAAACAATGCTTTCTTTTTATTAGAATATACTCCACGAGATTTATGTGAGCCCTCACCATGTGGACCTTATAGCCAATGCAAAGAAGTAAATGGTAACGCCGTATGTGTATGCGTCCAAGGCTATATTGGCACTCCACCAAATTGCCGTCCAGAATGCACAGTGAGCTCTGACTGTCCACTTAACAAGGCTTGTTCCAACCAGAAGTGTATCAATCCTTGTCCTGGAGCATGTGGACGAAACACTAATTGTATTGTAGTTAACCATAATCCAATATGCACATGTTTGACTGGGTTCTCCGGAGATCCATTCTCAGTCTGTCAAATAATACGTAAGTATATTATGATTATTACTTAGTTTAAATTACAAGTTTATTAGTAGTATTAGCACTGATTTTATTTATTTCTAATCCTTAGCGTCCTCGCCGCCTGTAGCAATAAATCCATGCCTGCCTTCGCCATGTGGACCTAACTCAGTTTGTACAGAAAATGGAAACAGTGGAGATTGTCGCTGTTTACCTGAATTTATTGGGTCGCCACCAAATTGTCGTCCCCAGTGTACGAGTAACACAGAATGCACTACAAATATGGCTTGCATTAATAAAAAATGTAGCGATCCTTGTATTGGATCTTGTGGAGTGAACGCTGAATGCAGAGTTGTCAGTCATACCCCAATGTGTTTATGCCAGAACGGTTACACTGGAGATCCATTCCTATATTGTAATATTAAAATAGCACTTATTACACAAGAAAGACCTACGCCTTGTATTCCTTCGCCTTGCGGAGCTAATGCAGAATGCCGAGAACAAAATAATGTCGGATCGTGTACATGTATGCCAGGTTACTTTGGAGATCCTTATGTAGCGTGCAAGCCGGAATGCTTGGTAAACTCTGATTGCCCATCTAATCAGGCCTGTCATCTGTATAAATGTCACGATCCTTGTCCTGGAACATGCGGTTTAAACGCTCAGTGTAATGTAGTGAATCATATACCAAGCTGTAGTTGTCTGGAACCATACTACGGGGATCCATACAAAATATGCTTCTTCAAGCCACAAGGTAAAGGTTTTTTTTCTGAATAAAAATCATTACTCATTTACATACTTGTATATCATATTTGCTTCTTCTATTCTTATTTTCTTTAAAAAATAAAATTCATTTTCAGTCGAAAAAATTAATCCGTGCAATCCTTCACCATGCGGACCCAACAGCCAATGTAAAACTCAAAATGAGCTGGCAATTTGTTCTTGTTTGAGTGGTTACCAGGGCTCACCACCTGATTGCCGTCCAGAATGTGTCTCTAGCTCTGAATGTGACCTCGATAAAATATGCGAAAATTTGAAGTGTATAGACCCCTGTCCCCGTGGATGTGGAGTGAACGCAAACTGTCGAGTCATCAAACACAATCCTATATGTGCATGCAAGGAAGGTTACACTGGAGATCCATTTACAATATGCCGTGAAATAACTCCTACAGAACCTATTTTAATGGAACCAATTAACCCGTGCGTACCATCACCATGCGGGCTCAACGCAGATTGTCGAGATATAGGGGGAATACATTCTTGTACATGTGCAGCAGGATTCTTCGGGAGCCCACCAAATTGTAAACCAGAATGCATTCTTAACACTGACTGTAGCAATGACAAAGCGTGCATCAATATGAAGTGTCTCGATCCATGTCAAGGATCATGTGGACATTTCGCTGTATGCAATGTCGTGAACCATGTACCCGTTTGCTCCTGCCCTGCTGGTTACAATGGAGATCCATTTGTAATTTGCAATATTAAAACACCAGGTAAAATAAAATTTCGTAAATATTTTTTTATCTATATTCTTTTTGGACAATTTTCAGTAGCAATAATCCCTTTTTTTTGTTTAAAGAGCCTGTACGAGACGTCAATCCTTGCAATCCAACGCCATGTGGTCCGAATGCCATTTGTAAAAACAATGGCGAATGTACATGTCTCCCAGAATATCACGGCGATCCCTACTTCGGATGTCGTCCGGAATGCGTCTTAAGTTCAGATTGCTCTCTAACCCAAACTTGTTTGCGTAACAAATGTGTTGACCCGTGTATATCCATGTGTGGAATAAACGCAGAATGCCATGTTTATAACCATGTCGCTATATGTAGCTGTCCAACTGGAATGACAGGAGATGCTTTCGAAAGATGCACCAATGTTCAGAGTACGTTAATCAAAATTTTATAAAAATCTATAATTATATTATAAATATATATCTTTATGCTTCCTGAAATAAAATTTGTATGATGGTTATAAAAAATATATTTACATAAATATTATTTACAGTTACTGTTACAAAGCCTTGCGAACCATCTCCGTGTGGACCAAATAGTATTTGCAGAGATATGAATAATCAAGCCGTGTGCACATGTATTAAAGGATACGTAGGCAGTCCACCAAGTTGTAGACATGAATGTACTCAAAGCGCCGATTGTTCCCCGTCGTTGGCCTGTATAAATAGAAAATGTCAAGATCCATGTCCAGGTTCATGTGCTTCTAATGCTATATGCAACGTAAATAATCACAATCCAATATGCTCATGTCCTCCACGATACACAGGATCTCCATTCACTCATTGTTATGGTAAAGAAATTTAAAGTATTTCAATAATTTATTATTAAAATCTTAGATCATAATGAATTATTATTATTATTATTTACTTACAGTTGAACAAATGGAACAACTGCCCATGAATCCTTGCTCATCTAATCCCTGTGGACTAAACGGCATATGCAGACTCAATGGAGTTTCCTATATTTGCTCATGTCAACCAACATTTGAAGGTACTCCACCAAATTGCAGACGAGAATGCAGTGTTAATGAAGATTGTCCGTCAGACAAAACTTGTAATAATTATAAATGCCAAGATCCTTGTCCTGAATCTTGCGGAATAAATACTTTATGCACAGTAAGACTCCATACTGTTATGTGCTCGTGTGAAGAAGGATATACCGGAGATCCATTTACATCATGTCACCGGGTCCAAGAAATACTAAAACCTCAAGATCCATGTGACCCAACACCTTGTGGCATTAACGCCCGCTGTAAAGTATCATTTAATAGTGCGGCTATGTGTATGTGCGAACCAGGATATTTCGGTAACCCATACGAAGCTTGTAGACCTGAATGTGTTGTTAATACGGATTGTCCATATAATAAAGCTTGTCTTAGAAATAAATGTGAAAATCCATGTCCGGGTGTATGTGGAACTACTGCTATCTGCGAAGTCATTAATTATCTACCAACTTGCAAGTGTTCACCTGGATATACAGGAAATCCTTACGCATACTGTCATATAATAATAAATGAACCTGGTAAGTAAACAGTAAAAAAAAGTAATTTATATTTTAAAAATATACTTAAATTCTTACCTACAATTTTAGTTGGATGCCTTAGAGGTCAACAGTGTTCAATTAACTGACAAATTTCTCCACGTTGCCTTAGTAGTTCGGGACAAAAACTTTAAAGTGTGTAAACATAAATTTTTCTGAAAACAAAATTAAAATGGTATACACAACATGGGCCGTGGCGTGTGAGTGATAGCGATTCATCAATTTGCAAAAATAAAAACATTTATAGCGACTCCGTCTAGATGTTGTTGGCATTCATCTAGAAGAGTTTCTTCTAGTTTATACTTTTACTATTTTTATTATAATTTTAAATTTATGTAATTTGTTACAGAACCAGTCCAACATAATCCTTGTACACCTAACCCTTGTGGAAGCAATAGCATCTGCAAGGAGAACAATGGAATAGCAACATGTACATGTATGCCTAAATATATTGGATCACCTCCAAGTTGCCGCCCCGAATGCACTGTTAATTCTGAATGCCACAAATCAAAGAGTTGTATTAATCAAAAATGTGTCGATCCATGTACCGGGGTATGTGGACTAAACGCCGAGTGCAAAGTAATTAACCATGCACCGCTTTGTTCGTGTCCTCAAAATTATGAAGGAGATCCCTTTACTAGATGTATTTTAAGACAAAGTAAGGAAGCTTTTTTGTTAAAATATTAATTTTATTTTGTTAGTGTTTATTATCCAAACTGAAATTTAAATTTCTTTTGTAGAAATCCCACCAGCTGATGTCAACCCTTGCACGCCATCTCCATGTGGTCCCAATTCAATATGTCAGACCATAAATAAGATACCAATGTGCGCTTGCATGGACAACTTTATTGGTTTACCACCGAATTGTCGACCAGAATGTACTGTAAATTCTGACTGTTCTTTGAGTAAAGCTTGTATCAATCGAAAATGTGCAGATCCCTGCATTGGCTCTTGTGGATTACAAACTATATGCCAAGTTTATCAGCATTCAGCTATTTGCAGTTGTATGGAAGGATATACTGGAAATCCATTCGAAAGTTGTCACTTTACACAAGTTATAGGTATGAATTTCATTTTCTGTTTAACTGTAAATATATATTTAAATAATAATTGAAATATTATTCATAAATATCAGTTTTAGTTAAGTAATTTCTAAGGGACTAAAACACAAAATATAATTATATTTTTTCAACTAATGTGTCTGTCTTTTGGTTAATTTTATATAAACATCAATATATAATTAATATAGATGTCACCATAAGAGTATGTTACAACTTCTTTTAACTAATTTTACTTGATTCATAAAGCAATAAAAAAAATTTCAGAACACACACCTGTCGTCTACGACAATTGCAATCCAAATCCATGTGGAGCCAATACTGATTGTAACGATGGAGTATGTACCTGTAAAAAGAATTTCTTTGGTAATCCTTATATGAGCTGTCGCCCAGAATGCACACATAATTCTGATTGTGCACCGAATTTAGCTTGCATGAATAATAAATGTATTAACCCATGCACGAATCTTTGTGGACAAAATGCCTCTTGTGAAGTTTATAACCACGTCCCAATTTGTAGCTGTCCGCCAAACACCATAGGAAATGCAATCTTCTCTTGTATATATGAAAAAGGTAAGAAAAGAATAAATATAAAATAATAAGAGAAAAATACTCAAGTTGTAGTTGAAAAATACTTAAGTGTAATTGCAAATTTTGCTCGATTTTTTAACTATTGACTCTACTACTTAAATTATAATCTAACTTCTTACTTAATATTATAAATGTGAAAGTTTAGATTTTGGATGTTTGTTACTCAATAACGCCAAAACGACTGAACGGAACTGGATGAAAATTGTAACAGAGATATAGTCCGAAATAGCACATAGGCTTTTTATCCCGGAATAATGCACAGTTCCCGTGGGATAAATTTGTTTCTATTTTTCTAGAGGTTGATATTGATGTTCGGTAGGTGAGTCGTTAGTTAGTTATAGTTACTTAAAAATGAAGTAAAAGCATAAAAAAGCAATAAAAATAATCCTATTAATATTATACCAAACTTTGGATACTGATCATGTTTTATTTTGCATTTCCAATTTAATTTTGTAACTAATAATTATAAAATTAAATTAATTTCTGATCTTGATAACTAGCTTTAACATAGTACTATAAATCGAATGCCGCAATATTTTATTTATTTATTTATTAAATATACCGTTTAGTATTTACTATGTTTATATGTACTTCAACAACACTGAGAGTAAATTTTAGTGTAATAAAAATATGATTTAATGTATCTTATTATTTCAGTTGAGGAACATAAAAGAAATCCCTGTGTTCCATCTCCATGTGGTCCGAATAGTCAATGTCGCACAGTACAAGAGCAAGCAGTTTGTTCGTGTCTCTTAGGTTACATAGGAACTCCTCCATCTTGTCGTCCAGAATGCTTAGTCGATTCGGATTGTTCGAGTGTAATGTCCTGCTCTAATCAGAAGTGTATTGATCCTTGTCGCGGATCATGTGGAGTAAACGCTGAATGTAAGATCCACAATCACAAACCAATATGCTATTGTCGAAACGGTCTTACAGGCGATCCATTTACACAATGCCTGGAAGTACTATGTAAGTTGAATCACATTAATTTTGGTAAAATATTTATTTATACATGACATGCTAATATTGACCATAAACCTATTTTTTGCAGATGAAAAACCGACAACACCTGAACCATGTTACCCATCGCCGTGTGGTCCTAATTCTGTCTGCAAAGAAGTGGGGCAAACATATTCATGTACTTGTTTAAGTGATTTCATTGGGAATCCTCCATACTGTCGACCTGAGTGTGTCACAAACAGTGAATGTAATTTCGACAAATCTTGCGTTAACAATAAATGTGTAGATCCTTGCATAGGTGCTTGCGGACACAATACAATTTGTCGAGTTGTCAGTCACTCACCGATGTGCTCTTGTGAGAGTGGATATGAAGGGGATGCGTTTGATCAATGCTCTCCGATAAAAGGTAAAATAGGCAAATACTAAACTGTATTTTTAATATCCAAAATAATCCATAAATATCTAAGTCAACATAAGTTTTTGGAGTATGGGAGAAATTTAAATTAACTCCAATAGAATATTATTTACACCAGTTTAATAATGTGAAAATCTATTAAAATTACATGACATGTATATATAAACTTAACTTTTTCTTCTTTCAAACGGATGAAACGAATTAACATATAAAAAAACTCATTTAGTGTTTCGCCACAATTATACTACTAATTTATTATTACTAAAAGAATCTCTATGTATGTCTTTTTCTTTGACTTTTATATAAATCGTTTTGTTATTATACTAAAAGCCTAGCCTTCTGAAAATAAATTTTAATAATATTGCCTTTATTTTCAGTGACCATACATAAGCCATTAGAGCATGTCCAACCTTGTTTGCCAAGTCCTTGCGGCCCCAATGCTATATGCCAAGAAAGGAATACTGCTGCAAGCTGTATGTGCTTAAGTGGGTTCTTTGGAAACCCTTACGAAGGCTGTAGACCAGAATGTTTGCTCAATTCCGATTGCCCACAAAACCTAGCCTGCATTAGTAATAAATGTCAAGATCCATGTGCCGGTTTTTGTGGAATAAACTCAGAATGTCAAGCTGTAAGCCATGTCCCTAAATGTAACTGCATAGTTGGATATGAAGGCAATCCATATGATCGTTGCATATTGAGAGTTGAAGGTAAATAATACATAAATTTTTAAATTAATTTTATATATGTACGTAACATAAACATTAAACTAAGTTACTTAATGAGTACATATTACTAAAGAAATTTTATTCTATATAAATTGTTTCAGAAAAACCAAAAGATCCATGTAATCCTTCTCCCTGTGGACCTTATAGTTCATGCAAGGCGATTAAGCAACAAGCTATTTGTACTTGTATTCCTGAATATAAAGGAAGCCCACCCAACTGTCGTCCAGAATGCGTTTCAAGTTCAGAATGTCCTCTAGATAAGGCATGTATCAATCAAAGATGCAAAGACCCATGCGTTGGCACATGTGGAGAAAACGCCCAATGCCGAGTCCATCGTCACAGTCCCTATTGCACTTGCCTAGAAGGTTTTGAAGGAGATCCATTTAGTAGATGTACTAGACAAGAGATTTTACCGCCAACTACGTTACCCTGTGAACCGAATCCCTGCGGTCCGTATGCAATCTGTCGCGATGTAGGCGGCTCGGCATCGTGTAGTTGTAAGCCAGGATATGTCGGCGTTGCCCCGCGGTGCTCTCCAGAATGTACTATTAACGAAGACTGTCCACGCGATAAGGCTTGTGTTCGGGAAAAATGTGTCGATCCCTGCATCGGTTCATGTGGTAGCAACACAGAATGTCGAGCGGCAAATCATCTCGCTATATGTTCTTGCTTGATAGGCTACCGTGGTGATCCATTCGTTGGTTGCTATGAAGCTGAAAGAGGTAATACATTATAATTCAATAAATTACATTACAATATTTTTTTACATTAAACATTTTTATAATTTTAATTATAATTGAATATGGAAATTTCATTTTGTTAATTGTGGGTAGGCTGTCTGTAACAACTATACCTTCAAGACATGTAACACCTCAGTATCTTCCGTGACCATGGATGCTGAAATGCATTCGAAACGTCGGGAACCAAAAATCAAAATAAATCCGCGAAATAATCCGAAAAGATAGTTTTATTTAAAAATGTCAAACATTCGCGTAAATTTAAGAAAGTATTATGTGAACCATTCCATTATTATAGTAAACTGATAAAATTTTGTTAGAGAGCATGATGCCTAAACAAAAAAAAATATTTTAATGTTATTATTTTACAGAAGTACTAAACTTGCCTCCGCCTGATGCTTGTACTCCATCACCCTGTGGTAACAACGCAGTATGCGATAATGGAACTTGCGCATGTATTCCCGAGTATCATGGAAATCCATACATAGAATGTCGACCAGAATGTACCACCGACAATGAATGTGAAAAACAACTTGCATGTGTCAACTATAAATGTATTAATCCGTGTAAAAATGCTTGTGGAATAGACGCTATATGCAAAGTTTATAATCATTTGGCCATCTGTGAATGTCCAGCACCTTTACGAGGGGATCCATTTATCGCTTGTCGTCGTGTTACAGGTTGGTGTTTTTTGTTGGTGTTATTTACTTTTCTGAATGATTTTATTTAATGAAATATATGTATACTTACGAGTATTATTTTAGTATACTTAATTATAAGATCATATCTTTTTTCCAGCCCCTTCTATAACAGATCCCTGTTCGCCAAATCCTTGTGGGCCAAATAGTGTATGTCGAGCGTCTGGAACTGTAGCTCATTGTTCATGTCGATCTGCTATGTTTGAAGAGCCACCGAGTTGTAGGCCGGAATGCCGCTTTGATTCAGATTGCCCACTAAGTCTTGCCTGTAGAAATAACAAATGTAGGGATCCTTGTCCGGGCTCTTGTGGTATACATGCTGTGTGCCGGACAAATGCGCACTCTCCAATTTGTAGCTGCCCTAACCAGTACTCTGGCGATCCATTTATTCGGTGTTTTGAAGGTAGTAAATTATTGGAGTTTTTTTACTAATTTTGTTGCAATGGCTTTTTTTGTTATTATTTAAATATTACCCATTTGTACAGTTACAGGTTATGAGCCTGAAGCAAAGTCCCCTTGTCAAGACTGTGGGCCTAATGCAGAATGCATCAACGCTGAATGTCGATGCCGATCTGGTTTCTTCGGCGTTCCTCCTTTCTGTCGTGTCGAATGTCTTACATCTAATGACTGTGCCAGGAATCTCATGTGTTTAAACAGACGCTGTGTAGATCCTTGTCCCGGAGCATGCGGCTTCAATGCTGTTTGTAATGCGGTTGCTCACGAACCACGCTGCAATTGTCTCCAATCTCATACAGGAAACCCACGTATAGAATGTCGGCTGATCGGGAATATTCGTAAGATAGATTTAACTGGACGATTGCTTTTTGTTTTATTATCAAAAATTAAGATGTTGCTCATCAATCACAATTTAGGGAATTTACATCGGGACCATCTTATGTTTTCGCTTTTAAAACTTAGGCATGGGTTTTAATTTGCGAATCTTAGAGGGTCCCTGATATTTCTCATGTGACTCGTTTGTGAAAAAAGCAAAGTTGCTTGTCTTATTTGCTTCTTTTTATAATTTTTGTAACAGTAATATAATCTCTATTTAATTTTACAGCTAAACTACCAAATGACCCCTGTAGCCCATCTCCATGCGGTCCTGGTGCTATATGTCGCTCGAGAGGCACTGGCGCGTCCTGCGAGTGTGAACCAAATCTACATGGCGATCCCTACACAGGCTGCAGACCAGAGTGTATCGCAGACTCAGACTGCTCTCCAAATCATGCCTGTATGCGATCACACTGTCGAGATCCATGTCAAGGAACTTGTGGAGTTGGGGCAGAATGCGAAACCGTAAACCATATTCCTCTCTGTTCATGTCCACCCGGAACGAGAGGAAATGCCTTTGAAAGATGTGAAGTCGTCGTTTCAGGTAACGATACCCACCAACCTGAAAAAAAAAATTGGAACATTATTTCGTGTTTCGTTTTACACATATCTGATTTTTTTTATTATAGTAGAAGGGTTTGTAGTTACATTAAGGTTAATATTAGTCTAAGTATGTTTATTTAGAATCCTACAGTTTTACTACATAACAAAAAAAATATATTACGCAGTAAATTAAATACAATCAAGCTTATTAATACTGGTTTTCGTTTACAGCTCCACCTTGCACACCGTCTCCATGCGGTCCTGGTGCTCTATGTACGGTCGTCGGTGACAAGGCTGTTTGTTCCTGCCCAAGCGGCACGAATGGAAATGCCGGTTCCTCGGGATGTCGCCCAGAATGTGTCGTGAGCTCCGAGTGCCCGCGCGACCGCGCTTGTATGCGCAACAAGTGCATCGACCCTTGTGTAGGCGCTTGCGGAAACGGCGCTATCTGCAGGGTATTTGATCATGCACCTATATGCTCCTGTCCACCCTCCACCATAGGCGATCCGTTCCTGAGCTGCAGAGTTAGAGGTTAGATATTATATTATTTAATTTTTCATAATATGTTTGTTCTTACATACTTTTGATTCCATATGCTTATTATATTAATCAAGAAAATAATAGAGAAATGTTTATTTTTTTAGATACACCAGTAACAAGTCCGACAGTCTACGATCCGTGTGATCCTAGCCCTTGTGGCCCACATGGAACATGTCGCGATGGCTTCTGTACCTATCCTGAATGTATTGTTAACGATGATTGCCCTGGAGACCGTTCTTGTATCAATAGAAAATGTTCAGACCCATGCATTAATGCATGTGGTATAAACGCAATATGCTCTGTCATTCGACACTCGGCAGTTTGTTCTTGTCCCGTTGGTTATACTGGTTATTCATTTGTACGCTGCGAGCAAATAAACACAGTTACTCCAGCACCTCCCCTCCCTGAATGCCTACGAGATGAACAATGTGCAGATAACGCTGCTTGTATTGATTCCAAATGCGCTCAAGTGTGTGGTCCCACAAATTGCGGCGTGAATGCTCGATGCCTAGCCAAACAACACAGAGCACGTTGCGCTTGCCTGCCTGGCTACGAAGGAGATGCTTACGTAGGATGCTATTCAGGTATAATTTATTTATGCTTCTTACATTATGCGTATATAATTTAAGTTGTAATACAATTATGTGCTTTTATTTTAAATAAATAAATATTTTGGGACATTAACACACAGCACCATCTAGTTCCATGGTACTACAAGGCTTGTGCTATGGATACCAGATAGTTGATACACTAAACATGATATATAACTTTAAATACATACATACATAATTATTATAAATATAAACACCCATGACTGGATTACAAATATTGTGCTCATCACACGAATGAATGCCCTCAGCGGGACTCGAACCCGCGACCGCTAGCAGTAAGTAGGGTCACTACAAACCGAGCCAAAGCTGTCGTCAAATTTTAAAACTATTACGTACTAGGTACGTTTTAATTTTTTTGAGCGGAACCCTAATTCGTTTTCTAAAATAATAGTAGCCTATGTTATTCCCTATAACATCAGCTATTTTCCAGTGAAAATCAGTCTAGCCGTTTCGGAGATTATCCGGAACAAACAGAGAGACAGACAGACAGACAAAAATAAAAAATGTGTTTTTCTTATAAGTCCCATATATAATTTCATATGCATTTAGTAAAACGCTGTTATTTTTTTTTTATTAAATCTGGCGATCAGCCTTTCAGACTATGAGCATGAGATGGTTCAAATGGCATGTTAGGCGCTACTCCCAGTGGAGTCTGCCCTATCTTTACGCTGTTATTTTGACATTACAAACAGACACTTCAATTTTATTTATCTGTATATTCTTCAAAATTCTACTGTAATAATCATTGACAAGTTTTATTCATTAATTTCCGTTTCTTTTTAACAGTACAATGCCATAGTAATAATGATTGTCCGGATGACGAGGGCTGCGTAGGCGGTTCGTGTGTGAAGGTGTGTCAACACGTGCGGTGCGGTGCCGACGCCCACTGTTACACGCGTGGACACGTCGCTTCCTGTGAGTGTAACTCCGGCACACGCGGAGACCCGTGGAGTGTGTGCCGAAAAGACGAGTGTACCGTAGACGAAGACTGCCCTGCTTGGCTAGCTTGCAGAACGAGAACCTGCCAGGATCCTTGTCCCGGTGCATGCGCGCTCGGTGCTCTATGCAATGTCGTACGCCATGCTCCTATATGCGAGTGTCCGAGGGGAACTGTAGGAAATCCAACAATAGAATGTAAACCAGGTAACACAATTATTATTTATTTTTATTCGCTAAATACTAGCAATTGTTTTCTTTATTTTAATATTTCACAACAACTTCTAATTTTTAATTTCTTAGTCCAACCAGACTATGTAGGCTGCGGGTCTGACGCCGAATGCACACCAGGATTAGCTTGCCTGCAAGGAAGTTGCAAGAACCCGTGTGACTCTACATCTTGCGGAGTACGAGCCGTTTGTCGCGTAGCAAACACACTGCCTTTCAGGACTCTTATATGCGAATGCCCTCCACCCTTAACCGGTGATGCCTCCATACAGTGTAATCCTAGTAAGTAATATATATGTCTTATTGTTTATACATATTGTTATGCACTCCAATAATATTTTTTTAGTTTTCAGATATTTTATTCATGCAATCTAAGTTATTTTGAATGTTATTGATGATTTGTGTTATATTGAAAAAATATAAAACCAATTATTGATTGAAATGTCTAAACTTACGTACGTACATTAAAATATTAAACAACTTCGTTTTGTATCATACACATTATTTTTATGTACATAATATTATTAAAACACGAAAATACACTTAGATACGGGCAAGTCCTTCCATTGTATGGCGTTCTCCTTTCTTCTCATCCAATAATACTAATAATACGAAGCATCTAAATAGCAGATAGCTCTTCACTTTATTTTGATGATATTTTATTACACTGTATTTAAAAAAGTTTATTGTATACATAAATTGTACATATTTTGAAATATAATTATAAACATTGTATAAATTGACTACAGATACACCGAGAGCTACAGAACTCTTACATTTGTATATTACTAACATGTATTGTTATGACTCAAAGGGGGACAATGTTCAGAAGACCTAGATTGCGGAGATGAAGAACAATGCAAGCAAGGGCAGTGTAAAAACGTATGCGAGGGTGCATGCGGCGTCGGCGCTGAGTGTCGCGCCAGCGCGCACCGCGCATCTTGCGTCTGCGTGCCGCCTTTAGAGGGCGATCCCAATGTAGCGTGCACGCCAAGTAAGTTGTGCATCACACGTCACAAACATTCATTTCGTTAATAACGAAATTTAAAAGAAAGAGAAGTGAAATGTTGCACGAATGCTAGCTGCATTACCCCACTAAATGGCAATGCCGATTCTTTAGCAAAAGTTTAATATATATCACTATAGTATATTAGTAAAAAAATTATAGTTTTTATTAAACCTATCATTATCAATCCAGGTGCGACAGGGGCGATGTGCCTCTTGGACACTGAGTGCGGTGCGGCTGAGGCGTGCGTGGCGCGGCGCTGCGTGTCGGCATGTGCGGGTGCGTGCGGCGCCGGCGCGCTTTGCGATGCGCACTCACATCGCGCGCGCTGTCGCTGCCCGCCCGGCACTGCCGGTGATCCTTCACGCGCGTGCTACACGCGTAAGTTTAATTAATAAAGATTTTACTATAAGATAGTACTTGTTCTTGTCTTATCTTAATAAATTAAAAAATATAATTGCTAATATGCTTAGCACGACTCCTTTAACTTTATTTATATTTTACTTACTTTCTTTTAGCGGAGTGTACTTCCGATGAAAACTGTCCATTTGATAAGAGCTGTCTGAATGGATACTGTCGCGATCCATGCGCTCTTGGTGACAATTGCGGCCGCGATGCTGTCTGTGAAGTCATCGCTCACACACCTACCTGTCGCTGCCCACCGGGTACCCAGGGAGACCCTCGTCGCGCCTGTATTTCAGGAATTTGCCAATACAATGAAGACTGTGATGACACTCAGATATGTAACAGGTTAAATCGATTGTGTCAGCCCGCGTGCTCAGAAAGCAGTTGTGCGCGAGGAGCCGTCTGTACCGTAAGTCGACATCGTCCAATATGTAGCTGTCCACCTGGCTACAGTGGGGACGCGTACGGCCGGGGCTGTCTCTCTGTACAGTTAACCGACGAATGTGCCACCGACGCGGACTGTGCGAGCCCGTTCGGCTGCGTCAACGCCCGGTGTGTCGACTTGTGTCTAGGCAATCCTTGTGAAGCCGGCCTTCTTTGCAAGACTGTAGATATACTGCCACTTCGCGCGGTCGCTTGCGTGTGTCCCGACGAAGGCCGCTCCGGTCCCGATAGCGGATGTCGAGAACCACCTGAAGCCGAATGTTCAGCCGATTTGGATTGCGCTAATAGTCAGATTTGCCGTAGGGGCAAATGTGTGGATGCGTGTAAAGCATCACCGTGCGGATACAATTCGCTTTGTGAATCTGTCGACCATGTATCGCGCTGCAGTTGTCCTCCCGGATATATTGGAAACCCAAGAATAGAATGTAATACAGGTAAATTGAAATTTAATTAAAGACTTTATTTGCTGTGAAAATTATATTCTTTAAAATAAAATCTTAATACGCCTTTTTTTTAAATAACAGAACCGAGACAAACTCCAATTTACGAATGCTACAAAGACGAAGATTGTGGACCAGAACAAGCTTGCAAAGATCGCACTTGCATTAACCCGTGTGCAGATGGTTGTGGAGTTGGAGCTTTGTGTCGCGTTATAGACCATAAACCATATTGCTCTTGCCCTATTGATTACACAGGCAATGCAAAAATACGTTGTATACCACGTATGTATAATTCAGTTATTTAAACTTGGACAATGTTACCCTAATTTTATAAAACTGCTAAAATAAAATATAAAATATGGAATTTAATTTTTCAGCATCTCAAGATGAATCTCTAATTCCTGTTGGTTGTAAAGCAAACTCCGACTGCCCATTATCCCAAGCGTGTATAAACAGTGCCTGTGCTAATCCTTGCGTGTGCGGCCCTAACGCCGAATGTACGGTCATCAGACACCATCCAGTTTGTTTCTGTAAAATCAATCATTCAGGAAACCCATACATTGGATGTGTAAAAGGTAAAAGCTTAAACCTATACTCAATACTATATAAATTTAATAAAATAAAGAATGGTATGTAAATGTTAAGTTTTATTTCAGTTGAGTGCTCATCCGATTCAGATTGTCAAGACAGTGACATGTGCTATAATGGAGCTTGCGTCAGTCCGTGTATCGTGGAGGCTCCATGTGCTATCAGCGCAGAATGTTACGGCGAAAGTCATCGACCTAAATGCCGCTGTCCAAAGGGCACCTTCGGCAATCCTTACGATAAGTGTAAAGCAACGGAATGCGAAATTAATACGGACTGTAACGATGACAGCGTGTGTATCAAAGGAGTATGCCACAATGCTTGCTCTGCTGAAGGCGGTAACCCATGCGCTTACAATGCAAATTGTTTTGCCCGTAATCATGCAGCATCATGCAAATGTCCATCTGCACTACCAAGAGGCAATCCATTAACTCACTGTGAGAAAACTATATTACTTGGAGAACCAGAATGTCGAATGGATGGCGACTGCCCTAGCGGACATGCTTGTCTTAGAGATAAATGTCGCCCTGCTTGTGAAGAACTCAAACCATGCTCTGGAAACGCTCGTTGTACCGTATCTGATAGCATCCCGTTCCGAACAATGATTTGCCGCTGTCCGGAAGGTTACATTACTGATGGAAACGGAGTATGCAAACCAGCTCAACTACCTCCATTGAGTTGCTCGACGGATCAAGATTGTAGCGACCAAGAGTCATGTGTGAATAGAATTTGCCGTAACCCTTGCAACTGCGGTGAAAACGCTGATTGCTTTATACGCGACCACAGACCAGTCTGTTCTTGCCATGAAGGCTTCGATGGCAATCCTTACCGTCAGTGCCGTATCGTTGGATGTCGCTCTAATTCCGAATGTGAATCGCACGAAGCCTGTATTAATGGCAACTGTATTAGTCCTTGTCTTTTAAATAGTACTTGTGGCCCCAACGCGGAATGTTTCGTAGAAAGATCTCAACCACTTTGCCGGTGCCGCTCTGGCTTTGAGGGAGACGCTTATTTAGGTTGTAACGCCGTAGAATGTAGATCGAATGGCGACTGTCCTCTAGATAAACAGTGTAATACGCACAGATGTGTTAACCCATGCCACCTGTCGAACACTTGTGGTAACAACGCCGAATGCTTAGTTCGCAACCACATTGGTGTTTGTAAATGCAGACCAGGTTATACTGGCAGTCCCTACATAGAATGCAGACCTCAGAAATCAGCAGAATGCTACGTCGATGCCGATTGTCCACCTAGATTAGCCTGCTTGTCTGCGAAATGTGTAAATCCATGTACAGCCTTGCAGCCTTGTTCGTCTCCGGCAGAGTGTGAAGTATCACCAACACTACCTGTACGCACTATGATCTGCTCATGTCCACCCGGATATGTAAGCAATGGAAAAGGCATTTGTAAACCAGCTACGCCAATTTTAGATGTAGCTTGTGAAACTGATATCGATTGTACGTCTAACCATGCGTGCGTAACTTCTGTGTGTAAAAATCCATGCGAATGTGGACCGAATACTGAATGTCAGATGAAAAACCATAAACCAGTTTGTGCCTGTAAACCTGGATTTATTGGCGATCCACGTACGGGCTGTTACGATATAGCATGTCAAGCCAATAGCCAATGCGCAGATGATGAAACATGTATCAACAAACGCTGCGTGCCCGCCTGTGAAGTTGAATCGAACATTTGTGGAGAATTTGCAGAATGTTACGGAGCTGAACATCGCGCCTCGTGTCGTTGTCAAATTGGTACATTTGGTAACCCAGCTTTAGCCTGCTCACCCATTAGCTGTCGAGCTAATTCTGATTGTCCTCCACTTAAATCAAAATGCATTAACTCAAAATGTATAGAAGCTTGTACCTCGAATACTTGCAATGAACCAGCTGAATGTCGTGTGCATCTTCACGAAATTTATTGTGTTTGTCCTCCGGGATACCAGAGCACTAGTGAAGGCTGCAACAAAACAGTATCGCTTTGCAACACAGATTTGGATTGCCCGCCGTCTACAGCGTGCTTGTCAAATAAATGCGTCAACCCATGCTTAGAAATAAACCCATGTGGAACAAATGCCGAATGTAAAGTTGCCGACACAATGCCAGTCAAAACAATGATATGTGAATGTATACCTGGATATAGAGGAAATGCCCTTGGGGAATGTACACCATATAAACGTAAGATTTTTTTTTTATAAAATTAATAAAAAAAACCTTTAATAAATTATATTTATAAAACAAAAAAAATATTCAAAATATTAAATTATTCTATTCTATTTTTTCTATACAATAGGATATCTATGTTTATTAAAAATAAATTATTTTAAATTTACAAATCTTTGCAGCACCTATCGCGAAATGCGCACGTGATGAAGGTATAGATGAATACGGTGAATGCTCACCCTGCGTAGAAAGTGATGGCAAAGTGGTAGACGCGAGAGGGCATTGTGTGTGCGACTCGGACCGCGGTTTTACAGCGCGCGGTGACGCATGCATCCCCACTGGTTGCCGCGGTGACACTGAATGTGACGACGCTTCGCGCTGTATCAACGGCAAGTGTGTGCCCGCATGCGAGGCTGAGCCCTGCGGCGTGCACGCCACTTGCGAGGGCATCGGCCACCGCTCGCGCTGCGCCTGCGTCACCGGCTACGATGGCAACCCCAAGGTGCACTGCAATGCTACATCGACTCCTAATATCACCTATCGCACTGATTTCCCTCTCCCCGATATGCAGGTACTTTTAACTTTTGTTCATTCATATATTTTTCATTTATTATTATTTATCCTAACTTAATAATTATATTGCAACAATAAATCCTGAAATATATTTATTCCTGTGATATTTACATTCAGGTATACTGTCTTGCAAACGGAGTAAAAGTGAGTCTGAAAATAAAAGACTTTAATGGAGTCTTATACGTGAAAGGCTATAGCAAGGACGAGCGATGCCGTCTTGTGGTACATGCAACAGAGAATCAAGAAAGTCCGGTAGACTTCACCGTATTATTCGGCGACTGCGGATTAGTTCATGTTAATGTGAGTAATGTTATAAATTTAAATTCATTTCATTCATCAATGTAATATATTTTTATATAAGTAAAACAATAATCATAAAAAACACATAAAAATGTAATCAAACTTGCAGGGCCTTGCGAGTTTCGTCCTTGTGATGCAGAAACATCCCAAATTAGTGACATCGAATGCAAAGGCTTTCCACATCAAATGTATATATAAGACTGGAGAACAGAATGTGACGCTCGCCTTCAATGTGTCGATGTTAACGACGGCCGGCACCATCGCCAACACCGGCCCGCCGCCGACCTGCTCCATGCGCATCGTATCGCGCACCGGCGACCAGGTCAATTCCGCGGAGATCGGCGAGAATCTCGTCTTGCAAGTGGATGTTCAACCTTCGAGTAAGTTATCCTAGATTAATTAATATAAATAAGTATATTAGAAGTCCATTATTGATAAATAATATTATGCTTTTTATTGCGGACAAATTTCATAATAATATTATAAATGTTTACAGGCATCTATGGTGGATTCGCCCGCAGTTGTATTGCAAAAACTAGCGAAGTAGCTACGAACATAGAAAACGAATACACTGTCACAGACGAGGACGGCTGCGCAACTGACGCCGCCATATTCGGAGAGTGGGAAAGAAGCGAAGACGGAAGCGCTTTGAGAGCGGCTTTCAACGCTTTTAAATTCCCTAGCAGTGATAATATAAGATTTCAATGTAATATACGAGTATGTTTCGGAAAATGTCAACCGGTAAGCAAACAATCTTTTATAGTGTTGTTCAAACCAGAATTTTTTTTGTTATTCATAAATCCCACATGGATATATAAAATAAATATAATTTTCAGGTTAATTGTCGCGGTTTGGACGCGTTCGGGAAGCGTCGAAAACGAGAAACGATCGAAAGCGATGGTCCGCTCGCGGGCCAACTGCGCGAGGAGGTGACGGTCGAGTCTAACCAGATCCTGACGCTAGAGCGGCGCGACCCGTCGCGTGCGGCACGGCAACGAGACGGCTCCGGCGCGGCGGGCGCGGGTGCGGCAGGCGGAGGGGAGGTGTGCGTGTCAGCAGCCGGGCTGGCCGTGGCGCTGGCGCTGACAGCGCTGCTGGCGCTGGTGGCTGTGGCGGCGGCGGTGGCGTGCTGGCTGGTGGCGTGGCGCCGCGCGCGCCCGCCGCCCGCGCCACTGCCCCACCCGCCCGACTTCCCTAACCCTCTGTTCCAGCGCTGAGCGCTGCTAGTCCACGCCCCGCTCCTCCGCCGGCGCCGGGCGGTGTCGGCTCTTCCTCTCTCCTCGGTTACTATGTGCGCCGCCGGAGGACCGCCGGGCGAGGCCGCCGCGAGCGCCGCTCCCTCGCACGCGCTCGCGGCGTCCTGATTAGGTTATCGTAATTCTATTTTTACTATGATTATTATTATTATTAACGTAGACTCGACGCCTCCTCTGAACTTTGTGATAAATAATAAATATTCGAAATCACCATAATTTTTGTAAAATAATTATTGAACTTAGTTTATAAGCAAATATTAATAAATAAAAATAATATAAGCACCGTTTTTTATTTAACTCATAATAAATAAGACCTTAATTTTTGTGTGGTGTCAAACGTACAAAACATATTTTGAATCTCGTGAACAAACAAGTAACAAAATCATGAACGAGATTTTAGTTGTCGCCCGGATGTTAATACTAAAATGAGATTATGGATTATCGTGCGATTTCGTGTGACACTAGATAGTATTATATGATCTGTGGTGTGACTATAACTGCCTCGGTGGTGTAGTGGCTAGCATGTACGGCTGCACACCCGGAGGTCCTGAGTTCGAGTCCCGGGTCGGGCCAAGTTTAGTTATTGAGTCTTTCTGTATAGTAAGTCTCAGTAACAGCCCGGAGTTGGGAAGTTGGCGGTGTTTCACCCCCGTGCCTCGGAGAGCACGTAAAGCCGTCCGGTCCTGCGCCTTAACTCTCACCGGTCGTGTCGAGTGGTCGTCCCACCGGAGTATGAGAGGGATAGGAATAGAGAGTGCACCTGTGTCTGCGCGTACACTTGAGCACTATAATATCTCCTGCGCAGTTGGCTAATCTCAATGAGATTGGCCGCCGTAGCCGAAATCGGCTAGGAGAGAACATCATCATAACCAACTACTCGCGAAATTTGCGTACGCCCATTTTTTCGCCCCAACAAAACTTAGAAAAGCTTTATACATTTGTTAGTGTTAGAGTTCAATCAAATCTATACATATAATAAAATTGTAACTAGGCCGAATCTGTACATTAAATATTTTTTGGAAAATCTTATTGAAATAAACATTATTATCAATACAGAGGCTGAATCTATAGTTTTTAGAATTTTTGTGTCTGTCTGTTACCGCATCACAGAAAAACCACTGGAGGGATTTTGATGAAATTTGGTATGGTGATAGCTAGTTATCCGGGTCAACCTATAGGATACTTTTTACCGCGGGAAAATATCTCATTACTGAGAAAAAAATACAAAAACTGCAATGTAAGTGTATCCTATGTAAAACCTAAGAATTTGGTTTTTGGTCATCTGAACGCGGGCGAAGCCGCGGGAATTGCTAGTTATATATATAAAATATTATATATAGTCTATCTATTCCATACTAACTGTTATAACGTACCTAGGGACGAACCCGAGCGGAATCGCTAGTTAAGAATAACGTAAACAAACATGTTTGAAAAAAGAAGAATGATTCATTTTTTTACCCGACTGCAATGAAGCCCAAAAGATCATTATGTGTGTTGACCTGTATGAATATATCCGATCCTATGTTCCCTCGTAAGTCGTAATAACTAAATGATTTTTATATTCATACGTTATTAGATTCGCCTTGACAAAGCGAGTGTTATGGGCCATAATACAAATATGGATACTAGCGGCGCTTCGTTACGTAACGTTCGCTCCGCTCGGGTTCGTCCCTAGTTACGTTTAACCTTTAGTATAGATTTCTCAGAAAAGAGATATTTACCCGCAGCAAATGTATCCTAAATGTTGACCCGGACAACCAGCTATCACCATACCAAATTTCATCCAAATTCCTCCAGTGGTTTTCTCGTGATACTTTCCCAGGCAGACAAACAGACAAACAAACAGACAGACAGACAGACAGGTAGACAACATTTTAAAAACTATAGATTCTGCCTCTTTATCGATAATAATGACTATTTCAATAAAATTTTCCAAAAAATATTTAATGTACACATTCGACTCAATTAGAATTTTATTATACATATGTACCACCTTTGTGAACTATGTTTACTTTGTTATTTTTTTTCTGTATCATAATTAAGTGCAATAAAGAATATAATAAAATGTATAGATAGTAACTTAGCGAAATCTGTACATGACCTATTTTAAAAAAAACTATGACTGTAACGTATTGTGTACGGAATATAGACTACGAAACAATAGTTATTAAACATTTTGTCTGTATGTCTTTTTGTGTGTGCACGATTCACGCAAAAAATACTGAACCGCTTTTAACTAAATTTAGTGTAGTTATAACTTATCTCTCTTACTCGAGTCAACATTTAACAGTAGCGGATCCAGAGGGGGCTCAAGCGCGGATCTACCTTTGTGGACACGGTAGGCATGCCCACAACCCTAATTGAGGTCTATATGCTGATAAATAAAATAGAACCCATAAATACAAGCGACTCTCCTGGTGACCGTATCTCTCGCTAATAGATAGCTTTCTATTCTACGCATAATAAAATCTTTGTTGCGTACCTTAATGTTTGCTTTACATAATGGCAACGTAGATATCGAAGAAACTATCAACGATTTTGTAAAAAAGAAACGTAATCTGAATTTTTTTGTTTAAACAAGCACTTAAATAAAATAATTTTAATATAAAAGGTAACTATAGCAGCTTTTTTAAAACTGTTAAGGATTTAATCGGTGAATACTTTTTAGTCTACAAGTGATACTGCGATGTGCAAGGAAACACAAATATAAAAGTTGGATTATAAATTACAACAATATATAGGTATGTAGTAAAAGTTTCTGGGTTCAAGAAAAAAAAAGATCTAACGAGAAGGCTAAGACGGGAGCTACGCTTCGCTTCTTCTTATCGTCTACATTACTAACCGATGGTCCGTCTGACCGATTTCTCACGGAATCTCAATCAATCTCACTGAGACTAACAACCTTCGCAGGAGATATTATTGAACACAAATATCCGCGCAGACATAACATAACATGCACTTAATACTTTCTTAGATTTACGCGAATGTTTGACATTATTAAATAAAACTATCTTTTCATTCAAAATAAATCCGCGAAATAATCCGAAAAGATAGTTTTATTTAATAATAACATACACTCTCTATTCCTGTGACTTTCATACTCCGATGGGACGACAATTCGACATAGCCAGTGAGAGATCATGGCCGACGGTTTTACGTGCTCTTGGATTCACGAGGTTGAAGCTCCGTCAACTTCCCAACTCCGGACTGTTACTGAGACTCTCTTAAACACAAAGCCTCAATAACTAAATTTAAACCAACCTGTGACTCGAACCCAGGATCTCCGGATCTACAACAGAGGTAAAAATCATAGTTACCTCCCATAATCTGAGTCGGATCTGTCATCTGTCAACAAGCCTAAAATGTTTAGCTATTAGTAAGCTAATGGTTTTGGAAAAAACTTAAATGTATAACATAATTGAGTTAGAACTTGCACATCGTCTTCGTTTACATCTGGAAAATGCCTAGGTACTAAAAACATCGCTACTGATCCGTTCCGTGTACTTTAAAGCAACTGCACAAGTCCGGTCCGAGGCTGGCATTGCCAGCATTTTCAATGTTGCGATAGCCTTGCACCAAGGATCAACTTTAAGCTTGTATTTGTTACTCCTTATTAACCGTAATTAAGACCTGTTGTAATGTATCGTTATAACAGGGTGGAATCGTTATAACCGGCAAAAACGCGAAAAGAAAGACAGTCACTATATTATCGAATTAATCTAGTCTATGGTAAGAAGAAAATCCGCCGCGTTTTTTAGGGGTCACAATGTCCCAAGGTCCATTAATATTCCTGCTCTTATTAAGCCAACTGAAATAACGCGAGATGATAGTAAGAGACCTGATGGCCTGTCGCTGGATCCTTGAGAAAGGGGATGGGTCCTATTGTGGGACGCTACATGCGTTGACACATTGGCACCGTCCCATGTCAGGCAGATGGTGTTTAAAGTCGGAGCCGCGGCGGAAGTCAGATCTTGAACTTCAAATTATCCTAAGTTATCTACTCCGTGTAAATAATTCGATTGTCCAAATTTAAGAAGTTCTATTAATAAATAGCAAACACTTTTGTAGCAAAAAAAAGGAATTATGTTTTAAATTTATTTTAGAATGTTGTATGTTCTTAAGAACTATAGAACTTGGCACCCATTTAGATCTCAATTCTTTTGTCGGTGAAGTGGACAACCGCGCTTATTCTTAATATTGAACTTGGCTCCAATTTTTACATTTATGTTTTTATGGGATCACCTCTACTGGTGACTGGAAAGGTGATATATTTTTCGCCCAAAGCTGCGCTGAAAATGCGGCTAGCATTCTTGCCACTATTTCACACGAACATGACTTGTACAGTAATAACTAAGAGTATATTTGTTTTGTATATTTTGCATATAATATCTTATATCCATACTCTATACATATAATAAAATTGTAACTAAGCCGAATCTGTACATTAAATATTTTTTGGAAAATCTTATTGAAATAGACTATTATCGATACAGAGGCCGAATCTATAGTTTTTAAAATTTTTGTCTGTCTGTCTGTTACCGCATCACGGAAAAACCACTGGAGGGATTTTGATGAAATTTGGTATGATGGTAGCTGGTTATCCGGATCAACATATAGGATACTTTTTACCGCGAAAAAATATCTCATTTCTGAGAAAAAATACTTCCTAAGAAAAAATACAAAAACTGCAATGTAAGAGTATACTAATATGTAAAACCTAAGGATTTGTTTTTTTATCATCTGAACGCGGGCGGAGCCGCGGGCAATGCAATATTATAAATGTGAAAGTGTGTTTGTTTGTTTGTCTTTCGTTCACGTCGAAACGGAGTGACGTATTGACGTGATTTTTTGTGTGGAGATAATTGGAGGGCTGGAGAGTGACATAGGATGCATTTTACCTCGGGATATTATTGTATTCCCACGGTAAAACACGTTAAAATATAACTCAAAAAAATATTTATGATCAGAATTGCTTGAAACTTGGTATTAATGCTCTTCAATACAAATAAATCAATACTTGTTTCAGCATTTTTCGAAATTCATTCCATAAGGGGGTAAAATAAGTGATGAAAGTTTGTATGAAACCTACTTTTTTAGAGTTTTTTTAGCAGTTTTAGCGCGAGCGAAGCCGCGGGTTCTGCTAGTATACTGTAAAACAAAGTCGGGTTTGTTACAGCACTTATAACTCAAGAACTGCTGGACCGATTTTTATGATTTTTGTTTTATTGGATTTGTCTTCATCTCGAATTAGGGCGCTTTTTCGAATAACTATTAAAACATCGGCAAAATTCACGAAAAAAAACAATAAAAGAGAAGAAAGAAAATATCTGATTAGGTATATATAGTAAATGAAAACTAACATTCAGTTATTTATTACTTTTCAACCGACTTCAAAAAGGAGGAGGTTCGACTGTATGTTTTTTTTTTTATTTTATGTTTGTTACCTCAGAACTCCGTCATTTATTAACCGATTTGGACAATTTTTGTGTTGTTTGAAAGTGTATACTTCCAGATTGGTCCCATTTAAATTTCAAAATAAAAATACCACCCCTAAGGGTGGAAAAATAGCTAATGATGAATTTAACCTACTTCTAATTGTCATATTGACTTGAAACTTTGCAAGTGTTTCTATTTCCATTGATAGTACAGTGGTTTGGTATTGTTGACCTGATCTGATGGTAAGGCCAGAAGGTGGATAGGTGGAACTCTTCAACGGCTAATAGTAGATACTTTGAGTTTGGGCTTGTTTTGTTTGATTTGACAAGCCTAATACGTTAGAATTCTTACTTTGCTACTACTGTCTACACTAAAAAGGGAAAAATAAAAACTTTTTAACAAAAAAATAAAAACCGACTTCAAACAAAAGCACTAAAAAGTAAAAAATAACTGATTGGTAGTTTTCATTTACTATACATACCTAATCAAATATATTCGAAGTCGGTGTGCTTTGGCTAAGTAATTAAAGCCTACCTATTAAATACATACCTAATCAAATATTTTCGAAATCGGTGCCAGGCCATATAAAGCAAAGCACACCGACTTCGAATTTATTTGATTAGGTATGTGTAGTAAATGAAAACTACCAATCAGTTATTTTTTACTTTTTAGTGCTTTTGTTTGATGTCGGTTTTTATTTTTTTGTTAAAAAGTTTTTATTTTTCCCTTTTTAGTGTAGACAGTAGAAGCAAAGTAAGAATTCTAACGTATTAGGCTTGTCAAATCAAACAAAACAAGCCCAAACTCAAAGTATCTACTATTAGCCGTTGAAGAGTTCCACCTATCTACCTTCTGGCCTTACCATCAGATCAGGTCAACAATACCAAACCACTGTACTATCAATGGAAATAGAAACACTTGCAAAGTTTCAAGTCAATATGACAATTAGAAGTAGGTTAAATTCATCATTAGCTATTATTCCACCCTTAGGGGTGGTATTTTTTTTTTGAAATTTAAATGGGACCAATCTGGAAGTATACACTTTCAAACAACACAAAAATTGTCCAAATCGGTTAATAAATGACGGAGTTCTGAGGTAACAAACATAAAAAAAAAAACATACAGTCGAATTGAGAACCTCCTCCTTTTTGAAGTCGGTTGAAAAGTAATAAATAACTGATTGTTATTAGAGCTTTATGTTTTTAAGTAGTTTTTTATTTATTTTTTTCTTTTAAATAGGTTTTAATTAGAAAAATCTCAATATTTTCTATAATAGTGGAATAGTTGTTTACTCTTTTGTTTTTATTATTAACTATTTAGATATTCCCGTAATAAGTTTTTTCAAAATACAAGCAAAAAAGTGGCAAAGACACTTTTGTTACGAAAGTTACAGAGAAACACCCTTTTAACAATTAAGTGCGGTAAAATCTCTCAATTTCATTTGAAAATACAAAATTTAGTTCGAGCGTAAGTCACTGTTCTATATCTACCTATATGTTTAAATTGTATAAAACCAAGCCGATTTTTAACTAAGTCGACATTTGTCTGTTTCTCCGCTTTTAAAATAATCTAAACCTCGCATCGAATTTTGATACGATTTTCACTAATAGATAGAGCGATAAACGAGGAAATTTGTGTATGTAATTTGTAAATATTTTGTGAAATGTGGCTGGGCCAAGGCGGTGTTTTGTCGAAAAAAACTTTTTTCGTACGATTATGTACATGGCTAACGCTGGCTAAACCTTTAGAGATATATGAAAACAATGTTCTAGAAAATTGTAGGTCTTAAAAAAGCCTACAAAAAAGTTCAGTGTAGCATGTGTCTATGTCCTAAGGTACGTTCACAACAACTCTTTTTATACATATAAAACGTATCTAGGGACGCACGCAAGCGAAGAGAGGGTAAATCACTAGTGCATATTATAATTTATAACCTATAATACTCAGGTATTATCAGAATCGGATTATTAGTTTTAGAAATATTAGTCTTTACGTATAAACTCAAATTATGTATAATATAGTATATACTATATAATAGAGATGCACCGAATGTTCGGCCGAATATTCATATTCGGCACGTTCGGCAATTTCTTTTTTGTATACGTATTCGGCCGAATATTCGGTTAAAATGCCGAATAATTACCGAATATATTAATAGTATTATGTTAAAACTTATAATGATTTTAAAAATTAAAAAATTTTTACTCTAAGAAATACATAGTATGTGTAAATGAAACTAGCACTACTAGACCAGGGTCGATAATTTTTGTAACCAAAAAATAATAATAATAGGATGAAACCCATTGGAAAAGGAAGAGAATATAACAGAAATGAAAGGAAAAATAATTTACGGGCGATCTGAGGTCGGGAAGTGGGAGGGGGTGAGTTTTTAAGAATAAAAAAAGGTTCATCTCGAGTTCCGGCAAAACTACAAGTCGTATGGAAAAAAGTTAAATTGCAAAGTTGTAGGTAATAAAAAGATCTACAACTTTTGTATTTACACTTTTTTCACATAACCTTAAAATTTATGTGAAAAATTCAAATAACCAAGTTTTGTTTCTTTATAATTATATTATACAAAAAAAAATCTTTTCACGAAATTTGGTGACAACTTTCCTTTTTATGTCCCAAACATACTGTAATTTTTTTGATTTAAATATATAGAAAATTATCTGCTTTTTTAAAAAAGTCGGTGGACTTTTTGTTCGTTGAAATCTCTACTTTCTGATGGTGTAAAAAAATATTCCTATGGTAAATTTTATCAAATGCAATGAATAAAGTTAATATTTAATAAGACATCTACAATATTTTGAGAAAGTTGTAGGTAGAATCTTCTTTAAATTATATGTATAGATGCTTGATGATTTATTGCTATTTTAAAATAACTTATATATACCTGAGTGACCTACGGAAAATTTTAGCCCATCAGAAGGTATTTCATAGAGAAGTGGGGTAAGGGGCTAGGAGAATCTGGCCTATACTTTTAACATTTTCTGAGAAACTTGACTTTAGTAAAGTATATTTTTTACGCCATCAGAAACACTAAATAGACAAAACATGGATAGGTGTTTTCTTAATAAATACAAAAAAAATAAAAGCACTCTTTTCTAGAAAAACTTATGGTGACAAGATTTAAAAACAAATAATGAATATACATAAATGTAAATTAAGTAGGTACAAATACATTTCGTATATTTAGTAAGAATAAACTTCCTAATCAAAAAATAACTTTATTTAAATATACACATATACTGTAAATAGTATTATTATTCATACATCACGACATCAGTCAGACGCAGACGCAGCGTTACGTATCGCGGTCACCTGAGCGCATGCGCGGCCTCCTAACTCCCCCCTCCTTCTCTTCCTTTCCTGTGCCCTCCCCACTCTGCAATAACAGAATCATACTTTGTTTACCAATTGCCGCGACTAACGAAACAGTCGGTCGGCTGACTCTACCGACCTCACTCGTTTTCGGTCATTTGCACGCCAGCTGCGCGTTGCCAGCGGCGAACGCGACATCTATCACTACGTTATGACCCTGTGACGTAACAGAATGACTAAAGCCAATACCTCGGCGGAAGCCGCCTTGCCGAGCATGGCGACCCACGTGGATCATTACGAAGACCTCAATCAAGAGCAGTCAAAACTTCTCGATCCTAATTCTCCAGTGCCGATTGTAGCGCCCTCTGTACAAATTCGCAAAGTCAAGAGTTTTACCGATACACACAGAATCCGAGATGTAAATACTGCCTCAGGTGCAGCGTCCGCTCGAAGTTTACGCCCTTATGACCCAGTGAATTCATACCCAGAGGGCTCAGATACCGGAACAAACCATTATGCGCCTTCCATGCGTTCTCTGGCTTCTATCGGAATGGGGTGCACTGATGGTCGAAAAATGGTCATCAGACGGGTACCGACTTCACCCACGGAACTTTTTCATCTAGTGCGTCCTCCTACGTGAGTATCTTTGCGGATGTCACATCCTCTGAGAATCCATTATTCAATTGCTTTAAACGATTACTATTTTCGCTTAGTTATTTAGTTGTACATTCAAAATATTACATGTTGCTTTATTTTTATAAAACTTTTTAAGATTATTATACTGATTTTGTTGTTGATGGTTATTTGTAATAGTTGACTATTAACATTTCTGAAATTAGTTGAGCATTAATTTTAACCTATAAACTATATCTCATAATATCATTCAAGTGTATATAGACGCGGTAAAGATAAAAATAATAATGATATCTTGCTGCTATAATTAATTATTATGGTTTCTTAATTATGAATACTGTTATTTGAACCAATTTAACTTATGTTTAAAGTTACTTATTATTCATTATTCGTGTGATATTAAAAAATATTACTTTCGGAAATAAAGATTTCTTTACATTTATATTTTTTTTCAATAGAAATTATGTTATCATCATAAGTGCTCTCAATGAAGCAAAGCCGAGTCTAAGAACTAGTCTGTGAAAACCACTTTAAGTAACTGAGAAAAAGCGAGATGTGTTTTAAGCATTGAATTGCAGGAGACATACATAATAAGGACATGTTTTATAATAGCTGCGTGTGTGTATGTCTCCGACTGCATAATACACTAGTATAGTATTATATGATTTGTGATAATACTATGTTCCTTCGTCAACATGCTTCCATCCTTTAGTTCTTTTTACTCAGTCGGATTTTTTATTTATGTAAATAATTTTTTTATTTGTCATTTTTTAGCATTTCTCATTCAAAATTACATTTAAACATACAAGTTGTACTTATATATTTTTGTAAGCCATTTATAAAACCTTATATTTGGATATCCCACTCGATAGGTTTAAAAAAAATATATTTACAGACTAAATAGTCATCAATAGTAGTTGGCAAATGCCAAAAGTCGGTAATTTTAATTTTTTAAACTTTGATATACCCAATGTCACTCCGACAATTAATACGAATCTGACGACACCTGTCAAGCTAAAATCCATCTAACCGTTTAGGTTACAAAGCGTGCCATAGAAATATACATACATACACTCGAAAAACATAATCCTCCTTCTAGTGCAATCGGTAAAAACTACACACAACAGTTACTAAACCAAAAATATGAAATCATTGATTACGAATAGATTGCTGCGGTAGATTTACTAAACACTAAAACATTTGAATATTATCTATTTATTGAATTCAATTTTATTATTTAATAAGTAGGCTATCAATGATAATTTAAAATAGGTAAGTATAGACTTTATGTAAAGGTTCAGTCAGGAGTTAGGACCAATAAAACACATAAATTATAAATATTTTTACTTACAAAGTAGTGGACACCTACTCAGGAATAAGCTAAAACCAAAAGCTGTTAAATAAAAAGTTATGTAAATAAAAAGGAATGTTCAATGTAAATAAAAATCAATATACAAATCAAATCTACAATCGTTGATTAGGATTTCAGAAAAAAATATGAATATGCATGACATATTTATTATGTTTAAAGTTTAAACATTAACAATAATTTTTTGAAACTTCTGTTTTTCGACGGTTATGGAAAGACATCTATCTACACAGACAGACGGACATCATAAGTCCTCTGCCAGGTGCTTACCTTGCAAACCTTCTTCTAGTTCTATCACTATTTAGTAAATTATAGTCGATACAGACTCCTCCCTGATTACCTAATCATGATTATTTTCTTATATTTTATAATTTCATTCAAATAATCAGGGATGCTCATTAATATCGGAAAGTGGATTAAAAAATCTCTATACCTAAGATCTGTGACAGATTTATTATTTAATAGCTGTAGCCTACAATTAAAATTATTTTCCTAAATTTTTTTATAAATTATATATCATATATTCCTTTTGTTAAATCACATGCCATGAAGGACAATATAGAGAAACAAAAAAAAACAAAATTATGAGTAAAATCCCCGTTTAAATTTAGATATTTTTAAAGAAAAGTCGATAAATAAGACATGAATATAAAAATATGAAGTTAATTAATCATTTAAAGATAGTAGTTTAATATTAAGTAAGTAGTTTAATATGAAGAAGCAGATGCATCCTCCTGGAAATAATTCTGCCGCAGCCCATGCTGAATCACTTTTATAAGTATTTTATGGTGTAGAAATATTTTATCCATATTAACAATTTAAAGGAAATTTTCATTGCTTCTGTCGACTATACTGCCAGAAAACTTAAGTTGGGAATATTTATTGTAATATTGTATCCGAAATAATAAACTGAGAGAATAATATAATTATTATATCAACTTATATGAAAATCATTAAATCGTTTCCTATTTAATAAAAAAAAAATTATAGAGCTTCAGTTCTCATTTTCGTGATAAGTAGACTTAACAAACGTCCGTTACTCACGAGCAATTACATTTTATAATGTTTTATTTTCTACAAAATAAGATCTTAATATAAGATATATAATGAAATCAAGGACAGTCGCTAAAGTGTTATTTATTATAAGTATGTACGTACCTATACATACATTATATTTTATTGAAACTTAACATTAAAATCAAAGTAGAGATTATGAACACAATAATAGGTAAATGGTTTTTTCTTTGGTATTTCTGGTAATAGTAGGGGAGCCCAAGAGGGGATTTTCTGTAGTTACTCGAGCGCGGCAGATTAACATAAAAGAGGTTACCTTGCACTCTATTGAGTACTTTCACCACAATATAAGTCTTCTATATAAAGGGGCGCGTCTAGGGAAGCCGATTAAAATATTTAAAAAATGTTTTGATAAGGTAGAAATACTTAAAACCGTCAGATTAAGGTGTGGTAGGCTAGTCACTTGTCATATTTTAATCGGCTTCCCTAGACGCGCCCCTTTATATAGAAGACTTATATTGTGGTGAAAGTACTCAATAGAGTGCAAGGTAACCTCTTTTATGTTAATCTGCCGCGCTCGAGTAACTACAGAAAATCCCCTCTTGGGCTCCCCTACTATAATGGTATTTTCTTTGCATTTGATCAACATATTTAATTCCACCAAAACTTTTTAATGGTTTTATATCAAACAGAATCTCATTAAAGTTGCCTCGTTCATGCTCATTTAGATTTTCGCAAACGGTCTCGGAAATCTGAATCCACTTGTAAAGTGGACACTTTTGTTTTGTCTAAAGTATGAAAACTGACTCGATGGAGAAATAAAACGTATCATATATTTTTTTAATTAAAAATGAGCTCACTCTTGACCTTCATTTTAGCTCGAAGGCAATAGATAAGGTCTATGATCTAGCGAGTTTGCCCAGGAGAAGCCTGTTACCGCACGTTAAAAAGTTTCAGTTCATAGACGGACATAAAAGTCCAAGCCTAATTACTACTCCTTTCTTCGTTAGGATCTTAGTACTTTACTACCCTAACCCGGATATCCAAAATAATATTTCAAATTCGAAAGTAACTCAGAGCACAATCCTATGATTGCTAGAATGCATATATGCTAGTTGCTTAATAGACTTGTTCGTAAAAACAGTAATTTTTGTTATACTTTCAGAACGCTATATATAGGACGTATTATGAGAATTTTATAATGTTTTATTTCAGTTATATCTAATCTATTTTTAAAGTAAATACAAATAGAAAGAATAATAAGAAATTATAAAAACTGCAATTAAGATTAACATTTATACTCATAACTTACACTCAAGATTAACATATAACTCGTGGCACATTATTATATTTACAGTTACAATGTATTTCTTAAAGAACTGTAATTCAACAATTTATAACATTTTTTTTTTGATAAGTCTGTTTAGATAAGAATGTGTAGTAATCTACAATATCTTTGTGATAATTTACGTTGGATTGCAGAAACAATTTATGTCGTACCACAATTTCAGTGTCAAGATCATAAAAATGACAGTGGTATTCACAATTTTCTCAAAATCTGGGTGGCTTATATTTCTTTTGAATTTAAGTGACTTTTACCGTCGTCATTGGTCGTGATAACATTGCATTGCCGCTATCTTCTCCCGCGTATCTCGCTCAAAACATGAATACGATTGATCGTGCGCTCATTCTTATCACTGACTTTTTGATAATGATTTTAAAATACGTTTACATACTTACATGTTGACAGCAGAGGATTACCTTTCTTTTGTTTAAATTGCGTTCTAATGTTTATTTACCAGTGTCAAGATAGCTAACTATAGCAATTTTTATGTCTCTTATTTTTTGTGACATTTAACTAAGTATGACTTTAAACTTTTTCGATGTGCTCGTAGATATTCATATATAAATTACAACCTAAAATTATTTACTTACCACTTGGCACTTACGATTTACTGCTGGTTTCATTATTTCGAACATGATTACCACTTTATCTTATGGTGAAGGAAAATATAACCTAGCAAGTTTTCGAAAGACATGTGAAGTCCGCCAACCCGCACTTGGCCAGCGTGGTGGATTATGGCAGTATTAAAGGGAGACCCATGGCTAGCAGTGAGACGTAAAAAAATGGCTGAATACTTACACAATACATACTTACGCACTAGGTACTATTACAAAATAAATAGACAAAAAAAATAACTGTCAATTTGTGCATACTACTACTACTTTTATAATAATTAACACCTCCAGGTGTATTTCTAAAAAATTAATCAAATTTCTAAGAAATCTATTGTTAACTGACACGCCGGCGTGTCCGCGGTCGTTGAGGGATTAATCTTTTAGACTATACATGCTGTGTGTAGGTATAGTAATAAGTGCCTAATAGAATGCGTAGTATAATATTATAATATATATACATATTATAATATTATACTACGTATACATACGTAGTATAGTATAATATATTTATTTATATACAGATTTCTTAGTTTAATTAATTTCTTAAAAATTTACCTGGCGGTGTTAAAATTAAACTTACGTAAGTTTTTGATTCTGTATGGATTAATAGACTGTGGATATGCAGCTAGGGACATACACATGTTTTCTACTTGCTGCGAGTCTAAATCAGTCTGTCTAAAATACTATTTGATTTTATTATATATTTTATTATTATTTAGTAAGGGTTTAATGAGAATATATTAATTAATAAAATAATGTATCAGTTATCTTTTTAATTTTACAATTTAGATTTGAATAGGTATACTATTTTAAATATCATTATTAGCGGTTTTTTGGTAGGTAAGTACCTCTTATGAATAAAGTGGAGCTACTTTTAGAAAAGTATTTAAGGTTGTAAAATAATTATCATATTTACTTGACAACACAATGTAGACTGAAGTGTGCCATAATGTTTAAGTGAAAGTAAAATATAAAAATATCTATGAAATTAATATATGCTATCCATAAATGGTGAAAAGCTGTATACAATTTCACCATTTCACACATTATCTTAATTCTCTAAGCAATAAAAAAATAAGCGTTTACGTAGTTAGATTAATCCTTTAAGCAGTGCGACCTCACTTTAATCGTTTCGACACATAATCCAAACAACTGGTTTATCAATGAAGTAAGTAAACAAATTTAAGATGAAGTCTTGATCGATGTACTACAAGTTAACATAAATTAATATGATTTCCTAGATTGTGTGAAATTGAGTTCGGGTTTGGGGTGGGAGGTGGTTATAAGTTGGTAAATTAGTAGTTTTCATCAGTTTTTTCTTAAAAAATTCGAAAACTATTCGGTGTGCGCAAAAAGTGTCATATACAAAATCTATAATAAATTGTAAACAAAAATGATTCCGATCATAATCTAGCTGAACTGAACGGTTGTAAAAGTAGCAATTTTTCGTATTTATTAGATTTTTTGGAAAAAATTAAACATTATTGAGGAATCTATGTAAGTTAATCTAATATATAAAATTTCCATGTCACAATGTTAGTTACCGTACTACTCCGAAACGGCTTTACCGATTTTTACCAAATTTTATATGCGTATTCAGTAGATCTGAGAATCGGCTACTATCTATTTTCCATACCCCTAAGTGATAAGGGTGGCCCACATTAGGGACGAACCCGAGCGGAGCGAGGGTGAGTCGCTAGTATATTTATAAGTAAGTGAGTATGTAAGTAAAGTAATAAAGTAGTAACAACTACAAATAAAACTGTCTGTTACTGTACTAAATTTTCAAAAAATAAAAAAAAATTTTAGTTACCCCCGACACAAAAAAGACTAAAAAGTAAAAAAATAAAATTTCTCTCTTGGCCTTTTAACTTCATTAAAAGTATCCATTAATGTTTTGATGATGAGCGCAGTAGCGTTGGGGGACCGTTAACACTTTATCATTATCAATCTTCTTTTTACTTTTGTAATCATTATAATCTGTTTTTAATTTTATTTACTTAGTTTTTTAATTTTACTTACGGTACCCGACGCGGTGATGCTTTATGATTTTTCCTTCACCGTAAAGCATGTAGTAATCATCTTGGAAATGTTTCGCACCTGAAAACAGACAAGCGGTGCGAGACCCGTGATTTAAAACCGATTCACTAGGATTCCCAAGCGAACGTGTTACCACGGAGCTACCTCAAACAATTATTATGTCAGTAAAAATACACAAAAATCTGCCACTCCTGCACTGACGACTTTAATTGATAATAAAAAAATTTAGACTTGCTCTAACTAATAATTAGATATCTATTAATTATAATATAATTTTGCAGAATCACCATTTTGTGTATAAAATAGCGACACCTGCAAAAAAAAATTGTACATCGTACAAAATGCTCTTTTTTGTACACACTTCCTATGTAAATTCATTCGCGTTATGGCTTTAGACAAGGAAAAAATATTGCAAATCAGAATCTTGTGAATATAATAAAATTTATTAAGTTTCACATATTCTATTATGTATATTAAATCTACTAACTATTGCAGTAGACGGCGAACCATTAGAGTACATAGATCAATAATTTTCGATTTTTTTAAACTTTGACTGAATGAAAATTTTCCTTAAAAATATCGATATTATGTTGATTTTAAGGTGATATACCAACGCCCATCTCGACTTGTCTAGATAGGTAATATTTAGATATCATAAAATATGACAATCGTTCTTAAAATTGTTACATGCATAAATTCAGTGATACCTTCCTATTATTATTTTTATTGTTATGGCGCTCCAAACAATTCAAACGTCTAGATATACCTGAAAGGTAGTAAAAGATTTTTATTATATAAACCACTTTATAGTGGTTTATATAATGAAAATCTTTTACTACCTTTCAGGTATGTCAGTTACTATGTACCTACATTGTACATATAATTTATACACCTACTTTTAAATACTTTTTTTCTTGTACGAAGTCGGAATTTAGAGAGCATTGTTAAACGAAGAAAAATTTAAAACTATACGGAAAATTATTACATTATGGATAAATTACAATTATTTACATCTTTAAACTAAACAGAATAGTTTTACCAAAAAATATTTGACACTAATTGAATCTTTCAACGTGATAAAAATAACTATCCTATTTCCAAAGCACATATATACGTATGTACGTGTCTACCAACAGACTTTATTTTCATTTTTTTTATTTTGACAGGCCACCAGACGAAGATTCAGCCTCGCATGAAAGCGAATATGGCGAAGAAGAGGAAGACGCTGAAACAGTGCATTTAAAACCCAGAAGACCATTTTGGGCCAACAAAATTCAATTTGTGTTGGCTTGTGTTGGTTACTCAGTAGGTCTTGGAAACGTGTGGCGATTTCCATATCTTTGCTATAAAAGTGGTGGAGGTAAAAATTGAAACGTCAAATACAATTTTTTAGCAAATAATTATACCATTTTTTTGTAAATTTCAGCTTTACACTAGCCTTTTTGAAAAGAAAGATTAACACCATCTCAATTTTAGCATAAAGAGCTTTTTTGTAGAGTCGCTTAATGTGTGTAACGTGTATACACTATATACACGTATTATTTTTGATACTTTTGATGAGTTAAAAGTTCATAAATATGTTTTTGATTAAATAAAGGCTTTTCAAACGAAAGCTTCCTAAACGAATAATAATTCAAAACTCGTAGAGGGTGCGACATATCTATACTAATATTATAAAGAGGTAAAGTTTGTGATCTTGTGAGTTTATGAGTTTGTGAGTTTGTTAGTTTGTGACGTTGTAGGGGGTAATCTCTGGATCTACTGAACCGATTTTCAAAATTCTTTTACCAATAGAAAGCCACGTTCTTTCTAAGTGTCATAGCATAACCCGAAAAATGAAAAGGCTTTTTCGTGGTAGTCGGATTTGCAAAGTAAGTCGGAGAAAAAACGGTCGAACGAAAACGTTTCTTACGAACGCTGCCTTAACGATGAGAGATATATGATTATGTTCTAGAGAAAAGTTGTAGAGCTTAATAATGCCTACAAAAAAGTCAGCGACAGCATATGTCTAACTTTTATATTTAAGTCACAACAGTAGATTTTTATATTAAAAAAATCATTTAAATCGGTAGGTCATGTTTATTGGTCATATTATCAACAATTATGAATTCTTATCAAAATAAGTAAATTTATCGTCTAAAATGTTTAAAATAAAAGACTTTTCCCTTTTACTGCATATAATTTGGACAAATGGTTAAAGAGATAATACAACATATTCGTAGGTATGGACGAACCCGAGCGAGCTGTTTGTCTGTTTTTCTGTTTGTACGGGCTAATCTCCGAATCTATTGGACCGATTTAAATAAAATTTTGCATGGTGGTACCTTATATTCCCGGGCAATATCTTAGATACTTTTCATCCCGGAAAATTAAAGAGTTCCCGTGGGATAGTTAAAAAACTATAACAACTTATACAGCTTAGTACACAAAAACTATTGATTGGATTTTAATAAAACTTTACAATAATATAGTTCATTCATCAGAATAACAAATAGGTAACTTTTTATCCCGGAAAAATGTACTTTTCTCGTGGGATAGATGTTTTTATTTATCTATAACGTATTATGTACACAACATAGAGCCCAAAACAACAGTTATTAAAAAAAATGTCTGTTTGTCTGTTTGCCTATATGTCTGTTTGCCTGTATGTCTGTTTGTCTGTTTTTGTGTGCGCGTTTCACGCGAAAAGTAATGTACCAATTTCAACGAAATTTGGTGAAGTGGTAACTTATTACTCGAGTCAACATTTAGGGTACCTTTTGTATGTATGTATGTATGTATTCAGCCCTTTTTAACGTACCACTGCTGGGCACGGGCCTGCCTTCAGTACGAGGTGAATCAGGCCATAGTCCACCACGCTGACCAAGTGCGGGTTGGTGGACTTCACATGTCTTTCGAAAGCTTGCTAGGTTCTGTCAGACATGCAGGTTTTCCTTCACCGTTAAGACAAATGGTAATTGTGTTAGAAATGATTCGCACATGAAAATATCAGAGGTGCGAGACCCGGGATTTGAACTACTTGCTTCACTCGGTTTCCCAAGCGAGCGCGTTACCACTGGGATACCACTGCCTAGATACCTTTTACTTCAAGAAAATCTTTCTTTCCCAAGGGAAAATACAATAACTGGTTTTATCGAGTCCTCTCTAGAAACATTCCGCTGGCTAAGCCTTAAGACATACATACATCAAAACAATATACTTAAAATTGTAGGTCTTGAAAAGTCCTACAGAAAAGTTCTGAATAGTATATGTCTATCTCCTAAGTTACACTCGCAATATTTATTCTTATCTATACCTATAATAAAACTTAGTCAAATCGATGTGCGCGTTTCACGCAAACAGTACTCAACCGATTTTAACTTAATTTTGTATAGTGATAAAACTCAGTACTCGGGTCAACATTTAGGATACCTTTTACGACAGGCTAATTATTCATTCCCATGGGAAAACATAATAACTGGTTCTATCGAACCGTCCTTAGAAATTTATATGGCTAACGTTGGTTCAACCTTAAGAGATAGATCAAAACATTGCACAAGAAAATTGTAAGTCTTAAAAAGGCCTATAGAAAAGTTCTACATAGTATATGTCTATCTCCTAAGGTACACTCGCTACAACTATTTGCATTATTATATATTACTGTTTTATTATACGTTATTTATTCTATCTGAATATACATATATGAATAATAAAACTGTAGGGGTCGAATGTCTGTACATAGATGATAGAAAAAAATGCTAAAAACCGAGTCAGTTCTCTTCTTACATCCCGTAAGGAGAGAAATTGAACAAATCCAGATTTTTTTCAATTTTTTTGTTTCTCTGTTTATACGGGCTAATCTCCGAAACTATTGAACCGATTTAAATGAAATTTGATACTTTTTATTCCGGAAAATTAAAGAGTTCCCGTGGGATAGTTAAAAACTATAGTAACTTAAACAGCTCACTACACAACAACTTATGCACCTAATTTAGTAATATTTGGTATGCTGATACCTTATATTGCAGGTTTAACAACAGGTTACTTTTTATCCCGGAAAAATAAACGGTTCCCGTGGGATAGATCTATTTGTGCTTTTCTAGAGGTGAACCCGAGCGAAGCGAGGGTGAGCCGCTAGTTAATAATAAGTATGAAACCGCTGTAGCGCAATGAAACATAGCACTTGCGACAATGCCTACTACATCGTAGGACGGCGAGTTGATTTTATTTTTCACGATGCGAATGTTTTTATTGACGGATATATTTTTTCCAATGTTATTGAAACATAGTGTCACGTTGTTCATTGTTTAAATCTTAATAGAAAATATTTACTTTAATTAATTAATTTGAAAAAGTCATAGTATATATACCTATAACCTAACCTAAAATATAACCTACCTACTTATTAAATTGGTTTAAATATGCTATTATTATTATTATTGTGTTGGGTGTGGTGCCGAGGTCGGCCCTAGCTACGTCGACCAGTTTTGGTCCATTGTAGCTCCCTTTATAGTGAGTTCAAAGTTCTCCGCTTAGTCCTGTTGACTCCAGGAACTTCCAGATTTTCTGAGCGGGGAGCATCTGTATCTCTTCCGGTTGCATAATATGCTGCCCTAGATAGATACTTCTGCGGTGCTTGAGTGGACCGCACGAGCAGAGGATATGCTAATAAGCTTATATAAGCGCACTAGCGACTTACCCTCGCTTATAAAATATAGTATAAGTTATCACTACAATTTTTTGTTAAAATCGGTCCAATACTTTGCGTAATACATACAAATAGACATATAGACAAACAAAAATTTTAATAAAATTATTGTTTTGGGGTCTTTATTCTATACACAATACGTTAGTCATTGTTTTTAAAAAATATTTCATATACAGATTTCGATAAGTTACTGTTTTATTATATGGTTAGATATTTATATTATCAATTATAATCCTACTTATACATTTTATTTTAATGACGCATATTACACATAGAATTTTTAACATTTGCACAGTAAATTATCATTAAAAATAAATATACCAATCTCATAACTAGGTACGAGTACGTAGTCAAATAACTTGTTAACTAACGAGACACACCCACTTATTTTTCCAATCGTGACCAATTTATTTGCATATATTTTGAGATAGATAATATGTATACATATATGACATATCTCATATAGATATTAAAGTCATTTAATTTACCTTATCTTATTTTACATCTGAATATAATCCCATTTATGTCAGTAATAAACCTATTGCATGCTATTAATATATCTATTGCACAGAATTTTAGACATTTGTACAGTACATCCCATTAATCCCATTAATTCTATTAATCGCATTAACCCATCAATATAATACAAATGCGAAAGTTTTGATGGATGGATGTTTGTTATTCAATCACGCCAGAAAAGCTGAACGGATCTGGATGAAATTTGGCACAAAGATAGATTATAGTCTGGAATAGCATAGGTTACTTATTATCCTGGAAAAATGTACAGTTCTCGTGGAATAGATTTGTTTTTTGTTTTTCACAGAGCAAGAGATCGACTTCCTATTCCATACTAACCGTTAAAACATACCTAGGGACGAACCCGAGCGAAGCGAGGTTGAATTGCTAGCAGTAAATAATATTTAAAATACCTACGTATATTATGTACATATGTATGTACGTACCTATATTGATTATAGCTATGTTGCCAAACTTGCTAAATAACGAGACACACTCATTTATTTTTTCAGTAGTACCGTGACCAATTTATTTCGCATGATTGGCCCATATTTGTTATTAATTATTATGTATTGTGTGATTACGTATTAAAATATCGTGAAAAATAATTTAACACAAAGCACTAAACGTAAACATACATCGCCTGCTAACTACATTATCTCACCCAGGCAACAAAGACGTCGTGACCACTAGGCTTCCACACCCACAAAATATGATCCGGGTATTTAAATATACGTAAATTATTCTATTTCTGTTATAAACTATTCGATAATTTATTTAACTACTTACTACTCTATAAGAACATACGTAATTTAATAAACATTGTCACCACATCACAACATATTTTTAACAAAAAACAAAAATATGTAGTATGTCTCAAGTAATGAGTCTATAAACACATTTATATTTATCTATACTAATATAATAGAGGTAAAGTTTGTGAATTGTGAGTTTGTGACGTTGTAGGGGGTAATCTCTGGATCTACTAAACCGATTTAGATGAAATTTGGTAAGAAGATAGTTTGAGACCCTGGGAAGGACATAGGATACTTTTTATCCTGGAAGTCATTCCTTAACGGGTGAAAATGGGGATGAAAGTTTGCTCAACCTATGGACGAATCCGAGCGAAGCTAGGGTGAGTCGCTAGTACTTAAATA